ATATCCAAAATTAATTTGTAAGTGGTTGAAAAAATAAGGGGAAACTTGACACTTTCTTTATGGGGACACTTAATAGGTAATATTTAAACGTTTAAATATACATTTACGACATCTAAACCTTACAATTTCCACAATTTATGGAAAATTGGAAACAAAGAATTTTTAATTACAAAGTTACTTCAATTACGCAATGTTTGATCCAAAAAGTCGTAGTAAAAAGATAACTTTTTACTTCAGATTTTATTTTACATGAAAAACCTTCAGGCTACGTAATACTTATACATGCATTATTATACATACATCATAGAACAAAAATCCCTCTCCTTTAGAAAAGCATACATACATATCTTTAAGCATTTTTCATTTTTGGCTCACGCAGTCTGACCATCATCGCTACTTGCATAGGAGGATCCCAAGATCTGATCCGACTTGGATGAATGGACCCGCATACACACATCGCGTTGAGTTTGAATTTTTGCAGAAATTATTCATACTCAAAGATTTATGCAAAATCCAGCAACTTTCTTCTTCTCTTATGTGCCATCACCAGCTCCTACGACCCACCCGTAGCGACGAATAAGCGATTCACTGACTGGACTGTCTTTTCTCTCTTTTTATTTTTCTTCAAAAACTGTAATCTCATCTTTGTGAAGTAGACTAAAAACTGAATAAACTTTTTTTCCCTTCATCCAAAGATTCCACATATTTATATTCGCCCAGAATACAGATCACGGAAGAGAAAGAGGCAAAAATTCGACTCGAATAGGAAGAAAATTGTGATTTTAAGCGAAATATATGGAAGTGAAATGCTCCATATTTCTTTCATCATGTGTAATTTAGAAAAACAGAAGAAGACGAGGGCAAATTTACGCTTCTTTTATACAAACAGAATAATAAGTTAAGAAGAAAACTCATTCAATTTCTGGCTCCTCATTCCTTTTCCAGGTTATTGTTAAAAAATCTTTGTCCTGTAAAAAATATGGTAATCCTCCAACAATTACCTATTTATTTGAAGATCTGCTAGCCTACTTTTATACATATAAATATTGCAAATTGCACAATAAATTCCTTTCCCCACAAAGATCACGTCTAATTCATGTAGTCAATTAGTGTCAAAATATCCTGATTTTGCTCCATTTTAGTACCTGTGATGGGTCACTGGGAAAAAAACCTCCCCTTGTAAAAATAGACGACGTAACTTTCAGGTGATTTCATCCCACTTTATTTCACTTTATTACACTTCAGTTTAAACGTTCAGGGGTCGTATAAATAAAATATAAGCCCAGCCAGACCAAGGAAAACCAAGGCATTTACCCTTCTTTTAGTCAGTTTACTTCACGGATACGATTTCTTTACTCGATTTTCCTTCCTCCTTGATCATCAAAGGATCACAAAATCCAGACCAAAATGTTCTTCCCCCATACATAATAGTTCACATCCACTTATATTTACTTCAACTTTTCTCCTTCTTCACACATTGCACCGTGATGATTATTACTTACACTACATTACATTACTTATGTATAAGTCGGTTAAATGGATTTGTAAAATATTCCGAAGAGCCAGCAGGCAGGAGAAGTTCAGAGGGGATAATAATAATGTGGTTCAAATCTCACAAAAGATTTAACTTCTTTATGGAATGGACGGTCGCAGGTTTTGGGGTCTCTTTGAATGTGGAAAAGATACATTTTTCAATAGATATATGGCTATTCATTCAGTCAGTCACTTACATTTTTCATTGTACTTTGTCACACATAGGAAATAATGGTAATAATATCTGTGGAAGGGATCTTACTTTTAGGATGACCTGTTCCCGTACAAAAAATAAATTGAAAATTATTATTATTTTTCTTTTTAAAATGCTGGGCACAAAATCTGGACGGGAAAAAGTTGCCCCTTGTCACACTGTCCTTAAATTCAGGTTTTTTTCAGTATCACATTGTTGTTGGAGTGGGTCAAGTTAGTATGAAAATCAGGTTTTTGGTAGTGGTTTTTATTTATTTATAATCCATAACGTCCAGTATGAATTGTATCCCGTTTTTAAAAAGGAATGCGAGAAAGTGTGATTTATTTCCATCTCAAATTAAAATGAGCAGGTAAAAATTATCCATATTTAATTTTACCATTTTTAGGAGAAAAAAACATGAAAGGAAGTAATTGTTGAGTTCATAACTCATATTTCACGTAAACATAAATAATTTTGCCCTAAAAGAAAATACATTTTTTAGGGTGAATGCATATCAATGATTAATTTATCAATTTGTGTGTCGAAAAAGGTGATGGAAACTATGCCGAGAATTTTATCTAGACTACGAATCTATCCCCAACAACCTTTGACCCGAGTCTGATTGAAATTCTTGTTAATGTCGAGACTGATACTGGATCTTGTTGGTTGGTTGGTGGTCCAGTAGTGTGAGAAATGTGAGAATGTGTGTTATTGATAAAGGTGGGTGATTGACAGGATGGTGTCCACCCTCGGAAGAAATTATATATAGTTTTCCCATCATCCTGAGCAGTGGCCGCGGAAGCCGTGGGGACATAAGGGGACATTAACATTTCAGGATAGGGGAGAGAGGGGTTTAATAACATGGGGAGATGATGGGGACATCGAATAACCGTGGGGACATTGTCCCTCTGTCCACACCCTTCCACAGCCACTGATCCTGAGAGACTGGAGGTACTTAAATGTACTTATGTTGCTTGCTGCTCTTATTAAAGGGAGGGTTTGTTGTTCTTTGTTGTTGCATGCAAAGTTTGACAGTTTTAATTGTCGAGGTAATGGAAAATGGACGAGATGGGATTACGAATTGTTGGGTGGTTTGGTTTGAAGGAACAAATTGATGATTTGTTTAGTGATTAATGACTCATGGCAGGGCAAAGTGGATAGGAAACATTTGCCGAGTTGATTGATTACGTTGCTCTCTAGAATAATGTGATGAGAATGAAGTGGTGATGGATTTATTGGTATAGATAGATTTCAGACTGGTTATTTAGTTGTTTCAAAGACACATTAGTAAATTGGAATTGGCAATTTTCAAGATGTCTACAATTTGCACATAATAATTTAAAACAGCTAATTCTGTACATACAAAATGCGGAATTTTAATGATTTGGCTTCAAATGATAGATAATTAACTCGTTTAACAAGTAATTAACCTTTGTACATGCATATAACAAGTTCCATACTTACTCTTTTGTAGCGTTTCCTTTAATTTACCTACCACCTGTAAAAAACGAAACGCATCCACGCGTTTTTCTCTCTGATTATCTAACGATGTGAATATCGCAACTGTTTTAAAACTGGTAAATTTTAAGCGTATGCATGCATGCATTGCAACTTGTAATACGTAATAAATAAGGTAAAATCAAGTAAAATGTCGGTAGGGGTCAGTCGTCGGTCGGTTGTTGGGTCTGAGGAGAGGCAGCTTTTGCTTTTAAGCAATTTAAGATTAATTGTGTAAGAGATTAAAGTGGATGGATGAATGCACGGACACACGCCGTTTTACTTAATAGCCCTGCCACCTGCTATTCGTACATACGGAATTATATTAGCCGTAGCAGAGCCATGTAATGAAATCGATACACATAATATCATCACTTTTCTCGTCGTAATGAAAGCACCAGATAGAATTTCATTAGTTATTACTTGAAGTGCCGACAAGACTGACTCTCTGACCCCGGTCCAGACCAGCCATAAGTTTTAAAATTCAGCACAAGTTCTGCAGAGAGAAAACGAGTTGATGATGACGGTTCATTAATTTTGGATAATAATGATCATTTGTTGTGTGGAAATAATAATGTCTATATTTTTGTTGTGACGACATGAATTGTGCAATTCTTGCAGATTTGATTTTAGTCTACTGATTTTATGTCATGAATAATGATGATAGCCGTGTTTTGACTAGCTGTACGGGTCTTCGGGGCAAATGGTAATGAGTCTCAGAATCGTAATTATTGTGTAATGGGAAGGTTTCAATTTTAACGATTTGTCTCAAGTTCCATGCTCTTTTGACGTGTTCGAGTGGTACGAAATATTGGAATGTAGTGGGTCAATAGGCAGGAATAATAATGTACTTGTCACAGGCAGGTATTTTAGTAAATGGAGAAAAATTAATTAAAATTCAGCCTGTCTCAATTTGATGGGATGATATTATGTATTTTCTAGTAAAATTATATAATTTTATACGAAATGGAGGAATTTAATCATAAATATCAAGTGAGAAGCAATGAGGGAGCAGATTTGCGTGAGACGAGAGGATGAAGGAAATTGTGATATTTTTGTATTTCTTATCCTGGAATTACCTATTCTCACGGAAAACTAGACTAGGAAATATGTAATTTCATGTGTGGGTTAATAAGACTTGGATCGGCTTTTAATGAAAATGTGGAACATTACATAAGCTGCAAAGGTGAAGCAGCATTGCTTGTCTGGACCTTGATCTTTTGAGCATGAATGTGTATGAAAAGGGCAAGAACCAATTAATTTATCGCAAATTCTGCACTTGTGTAAATGATATGAATCCCCCGCACCATTTAATCCTTTCATTCAACTTGCTCTCTTTCTGCAGTTAACAGGAGGATGAAACCACTTGACACATTAAAGTATTTACCTAACACGTGTATAAATTTTGGCAGTATGAGTGGAAGTACTACTACATAACATACACATACATGCTTTGCATAATTACACGTATCTTCGGGTAGTAAAACTGTTTATACAATAAGTCTTGGAGTTTGGACCTGGTTCGGTTGATGCATGCAAAAAACTTGACATTTTTTAAAGCCAAGCTACTTAACTAACCTACTCACCACACCACTAACGAACATGTAGCTAACTGGTCACTGCCCTGTATCCACACTATTAGTTCAATGGTTCTTATGTATTATCTCATCGCCTGGTTTGGTGGGACGATCCACATCACGCAAATGAACTTGATAATGAACTGAATGGACGAACACGTTGGAATATCACGCCATATGATGTCTCGCTATTCTTCATAGTGGAAATTTTCTTGACCAGTCCAGTCAGTCGAGTCTTCGTGGTGGCACGTTTGCAATTAATTCGCTCTCTTCTCTCTCCAACCGGCTTTTTACACTATTTTTCTACAAAATGTCTGCCAAATTCCTCGAAGTGGCGTATCGCCAGCCACCCCCATCCTACATTTCCCTGGCGAAATACGAAGCCGACTTCCCCCTCACATATTGGCGACAAGTTTGGGGAGAGTGGTGGCACCTGAGTGGGTATATTGCCGCAATTTACGTCGTGCTCGTCTTCTCGGGAAGATACATCATGAGTTCAAGGCCAGCTTTTAAACTTAACGGACTCCTCACCGTGTGGAATATTGGACTAGCGGCGATGTCAATTTACGCCTTTGCAAGAGTCGCTCCAGAATTTTTCCACGTTTTATTCGGACCGAATGGTTTCCATAATTCGATTTGCGAATGGTATGCACATATTTCTATATAGCAGAGAAAATATTGTGGGATGGAATTTTTAGTAATTTGTGATCCCCAAATAACAGGCCGGCTCATAACGGTGCCACCGCATTGTGAGTTTTTTAATGCAATCTGATAGAATATGAAATAGATGTAAGAAGAATGCGAAAAAAAATATATTTGATTATTATTAGCTGGAGCTTTGTCCTTCTTCTGAGCAAAGTTGTCGAGCTGGGGGACACGGCTTTCATCGTTTTAAGGAAACAGAACCTCCTCTTTCTTCACTGGTATCACCACGTGACCACTTTAATGTCTTGGTGGATCATGTACTACCATTACGAACCAGTTCAGCTCTGGTACATCGCAATGAATTCGTTCGTACACTCATGGATGGTAATTGCGTTACTGTAATCCAATTTTTATCTGGGGGAGAAAATCAACCACCTATTTGTTTACCTTTTAATTTATTTAGTATTCCTACTACGCCATGAGGTCACTCAAAGTATCGATCCCGCGCCCAGTCGCGATGGGGATCACAACGATACAACTGCTTCAAATGGTGTTTGGCGTGATTTGCAGTTTATATACGTATTACATCATGTATTTCAATGGTAAGAGGTCATCTACACAAATTTAGTTGCGGCGTAAACAATAATTGGTGAATCTCTTGTCCCAAAGGCACCCCAGAAAACTGTCCCCACCGGAACTGGCTCGGTCTTAAAGTTTCATTCGGAATTTACGTCCCGTACACGATTTTGTTTGGAAAGCTTTTCATCGATTCGTACATGTCAAAGGGAAAGAAGGGGCAGCAGACTTCAGAGAGCAAGAAGGGACAAGGGAAGAAGGAGTAAATTCGTCTCAACGAGATTTAAACTAACGAGCAAAGTCACAACAATTTCCTAAATACTTTTCCTAAAGTCTAAAACAAAGTAACTATTTCTATGTATTTGTCGATCTGACTGAGTAATGGGTTCGCCGTGATAAAGAGACAAAGACAAAGTTGAACTCGATTATGTCAAGAAGAATAAGAGGAAGTGAGAGAACAACCGGTGATAATTAATAAAATGTAAAAAGAGTAACATTTAATGTCACGATGTCATTATTCAAGTTGTTATACATACTTTGTGTAACAGCGGAAAAGGGGGGGAAAGGATGTTGAAATAAGTACAGGGAAAAGAGGGCCCATACTAATGAATGATGCATATATCGACGAGATACTGGATTAAGAAAAGATGCATACGCATATTTGTTAAAGAATTCTTCTTGGTAGGGGACCAAACAACTACGTATAACCAATATTCAAGTAATAAGAATACGATGCGTGAGTTTTTCTAAAAATGTGTTAAACACGTGTGGAAAAATTTCACTTCTTTTGCTTTGATGTCCAACGTGACAACTTGGAGGGTTAAAATAGCATTTGTTTTATGGACGCGTGCCCGTTTCATTCCTGATTTGAAAGAAATCTCGCATTCTTTGGATTTTCGGATTTGTTTTTCGAGAAATTCATTTATTAATCTGTAAACGGGGTTGACAAGATAATGGTAAAAGTTGTTAATTTTGGATATCCAAAAGAACTTGAATGTATATAAATATATCAACTTGTCAATGTTGTTAATCATAACTTACCTACATAACACAATCTATTCTGGAACAGTAAACTTTAAAACGAGAAAAAACATTATACATTATAACTCACTAATCATCCAACATTATGACTTCATGAGTTTCACTTTGGTGGCTGTAAAGCCTCGGTTTTGACGGGAATGATTCGCCACAATCGTAACAGAGAAAGACTTTTCGTACCTTGGGGGTCATTTGATAACCAAGCACTTTTCGTTGTTTGTTTGCTTTATTTTTCCGCGTTTGTGTTCTCTTCTTTGAAAATGTGATCAACACAGCTTGAGACTTGGGCGGGTATTGGGTCATCTCCTTTTCATGGGTCGTAGTGGCGTTGGTTAATATTGGGTTCGGAAGGGAGGATGGTGGTGGAGAACGAGGACTTTGAGGCTTATCCTTGTTGCCATCGGTAGTAGAGCAGTATTCCACATTTGTCGGCATGATGAAGCGTGGTGCAACGGAGGGGATCACTACCGAGGTCACTGGAGTGGTTGTAGTAGTAGTAACTCGTTGTAAGGACGTTGATTTTTGCGACACTCGACCCAAAATATTTGGTCTAGTTGACGAGTTAATTGGTACCGTGGTGGACGGAGTGTAAGAAACTTTTACTGTTGTAATGTCTGAATTGTCCTGTGTGGCGGCGGTGGACGTTGAGGGGGCGTTGTACTTGTTGCCTCCATTCTTAAATGGCGGAATATCAAACATCTTAGAAACTACTTGTGACATTGTGAAGCGCGGTGCAACGGATGGGGTAGAGTTAGTTGGAATAGTAGTTGAAGGCACTACTTTTGGCGAAGAAGATCCCTTATCTTGATTCGTACACGTCGAGACGGCAGGTGACGAGACTTTAGTTTCTGGAACTCGTAAAGTTTCTGGCTCTGGTTCTACTGCTACTTGATTAGTTTTCGGGGTGGTGGGACTCTTGGATGGAGACGGTTGCGAATCTTTGTCTGGAATTGATTGCGTTGACATTTGAGAAATTTGCTGATGTGGAATCTCGAAGATATCATTCAATCTATTGTCAGCATCTTGAGAAGAAGATGGTTCAGTCTCTTTTGAGTTTTTGTTGAAATTCGGATATTCAAACTCCAGATCTATTGATGCATCCGAGTCGTAGTTGTGAGGAGGGGTTGGTGGTACTTTAATTAACAATTGTACAATAATTTAAATCCTTTATAATTGTCACAAAGCTTAATTTCTTGTCGTATTTACCTATTAAACTCTTGAGACAGGTTAAACCCCGGACTAAATCGGACGAAATCGTTTCCATCTTGCATAATTGCTGCTGTAACTTTGCCACAGTTTCCTTTAATTCATCACATCCAGAACAATACGTGGTTTGAGAGGCCTGTGTCGCTGTCATTTTAACCGCCCTGCCAAGGATTGTATCAAAATTATTATTGAACAGTACAACTCCATAATTTTACCTCTTCCGAACATACCGATAGCATTGCTGGGAAAAGTATTGCCCGATTTTATCGCCAACACGGGAGAAACAAATCAGGCAATTATCAATATCACAACTTGAGACACACTTACCTAAAGATTTGGGATGATAAGTGATGACGCGCCAGGAAGATGATGTTGTCAAGAGAAATTGCCAGGTGAGAGTCATGAGGACCGAAGGGCAGCAGGATGGTGGAGAATGCAGAGGTTGCAGAGTTCATTGCACTATAAACCCGAAAATGTCTCAAAGTGCCCCAATTACAACTAATTATTACTCATTATTACTAATACACCCTAAACCTTTAAATACGAAAATCGGCGACAATGTTTTCCAAAAATTTTTATTTTTCAAAACCGCACAATAGTAGGGGTTCATGAGAAAACATCAAATTTTGAAAAAAATCTGAGTTCGTTCAAATAATATCAAATAATATTATGTGCAGAAAGTATTCCCAGTTTACATAACCTGTGCTGTGTAGGAATAAAATAAATAAGGTCTTTCCGTCGTCGCAACTGAGGGACGGAGAAGAGTAGATAGTAAGCAAAGTTAGGTCATATGTCGCCTCGCATCCCCCATCATGGGAAAAAGGAATCCGATGCTTCCATTTTGTAGGCACGTGCAGGCAGAAGGGCCCACACCCGAAGGAAGCTGATCTCAGCCTCTGTTCCCACTTTCCCACCCTGCCAAGGGACGAAGGGATCCGGCTCGGGAGAAAATAATAAAGGGTCCAGTCTCTCACCTCGTAGGCTTAAATTCAATGAAACGCTGTATTAAATAGAAATGATGTCGTGGTGCAATAAAGAGTTGTGCAAATAATGTGAGAACGTCATCCCCACGAACAAATAGCGAGTTTATGTACATACATATGTCTGTGTGGTCAAATAGAAATTATTTACTTGCAAAAATATTTCACAACAATTTCCGAAATTTCGCATACAAGAAATTACGAAATAATTTTCCAATTCATGAAAACATCATGCTCTTTGACTTATTCAGAATAACTTTTGTATTGAAAGAGTTGTCGTTTTTGAATCGTTCTATATGGATTGGGATCGTGCCGAACAAAGTGTAAGAAGGGATTGATGATGGTGATTTTTGTGCAGATGTGCCCGTCCCTTTGATCTCCCTCCCCTTCCTCTGACGATTTCTTGTATTAGCAGCACCACTACCAAACTAACCAAACCAACGCCATCACTGGAAATCTCAACCCTGCCAACCAGATTTCTATCCGGAGCGTTGCCTTGGTGGGTCCTCGTGCCCTCTGTTCAGTAGTAACTCTCACTTTACTTACCATTACCAAACACAGTTGAACTTTTTGAATGGAATGAATGCTGAATGTAATGCTCGTAAAGTGTGCATAAAATATAACATTCGTGAAAGAAAGGAACCATATCTACATGGTATTCAGTACTTTAGTAGCTGGCAGGCAGGGTAAAGTTGCTTCAAAGTTTCAAACTTCAACCCTTTCTTTCTTCTTTGAGAGCGACGAGTTTTGAGTCATCATCGTGAGGATGATCTTTCATGGGTGATGCGATGATCATCACCATATATTTACTGGTTTGAGGATGTTTGATATAGTGGTATAATTATGGGGGAGGAAGGGTGATACCTAAATATCTGTACGATTCCTTCACAGTTTAAAAATTAAGTTGTTATAAAAAAAGAATGGATTTATAATTTTGGAATGAAACTAAATTCTAACTATATCTGAATTATAATATCGTTATAAAGTAATAAGGAATACATACGCATATCGACCTCAACCTCTCACAATGTATGTGTACTAAAAACTGAAAGTCTTTTAAAAAATTATGAGCAAATCACTAAATCGCTGAACCGAAGTGCTTTACAACATTTTTTAACGTACAAACGCATCAGCATATTTCTGGTTATTACGCATACGCTGGATACGACACCCACCCCCAAATTCGAATATGAACGCACATCCGCAAAAGTTATGACACTCACACATTTTACAACTTCAGAACTGACACCGAGTTTGTCTACAAATCTTTATTATCCATCCTCGCTCCCTCTCTTTCTCATCCAAATATTATTTTAAAAGCAAAGAGCACAACCCCCAACATAACCCCGTCATCATTCCACCTCCAACTTTTTAAAAAAGCATCAAGGAGGAATCCGGTTGGCCGCAGAAGGGCAAAGTTTTTTGAAACATTGTCGTCGTATGTACATTCGTAACTACAAATAAGTATGGGTGCATTTTACCATTACTGGAATGAAATCCGGTTTAAAGATAACAATAAATAAGATGATGATAAGTACTTAATGCAATTTCTATGTAGTTTTTCTAACAATATTCTATTTTGAAATGTGTTACAGGACGAGGAGGAAGAACAATAATAGGGAACAAAATCGTCTCTCTAGGAGGAGCAGATTGTGAAAAACTTTGAAATAAGTTTGAAAATGGGAGGAATCATTTCCTGGCTGCGACTTGTCCTTCTCGGTTTGGCCGTGATTGTTTTGCTGGCTGGGAGGGCGGAGGGGACGAGTCGTGCCATTTTTGGGGGATTGTGCCCAGAGCCGGTGTGCGAATGTGACCTGGATGAGCGGGGTCGGATGGAGGTCGCCTGTCTGCACGGTCACATGCACGAAATTCCGATGAGCAGGATGAACCCGTCGACGGAAGTGATACGAATCGTGGCACCGGCCCATCAACCGAATCAACTCACGATTGGAAGGTTCTTCAGACAATTTAAGAGGTTGGAAGAGTTGCACATCGTAAGTGAATTTTTACAGTTTTGTTGGTAAAAATATGAAAATTACTAGATTTACGATGAACAAGATTTATGGGTTATCGGTTTGCAACTATGTAAAAAAAAACGATAATTAGGGCCATGTTACGATTTCTATTCTAAAGTTACTTCTGCCTTGTCGATATTATACTGTAATTTCGAAATTGTGAGATTATTGGAAACATTAAAATGTGAAAGTGCTCAATATTTCTTTCTAAAATGGGGTTATTACTGGAATCCTAATTTTTTTTCCATTACTCTTCAAATAACCAAAAACATCAAATTGTCCACCCTTTACTTACCTACCTGCATGCATCTCACATTGTTGGCAACCAATTTTGAGAAAAAAACTTTTGGAAATCTGCCACAGTTGGAAGAAGACGCAAAAAAACGATACTTTCTTGAGAAAGTACTTTGTGCAGATTAGGTAATAAATTTAGTAGCATGAGAGGATAAGTAGTCCTACCTATTCAATCGACCAGTGACTCTGACCTTGTCCTTTGTGCACGTCTCCAACCTTAACCTATCTATTCATAATAATTAATTAACTAAATTTTGTCCAGATTTTCTCTCCGACTCCGAAGTTGCACATCTCAACAAAATTTTCAATTAGTTGCAACACTCTGCATTTCTAAACCTAATGACAAAATAACTCTGACTAATCCCCTTTCTCAAAACTGCACCGCATTCCACTGCACCCTTTGCAAAGGTCAAACCATAAATCATGACTCGGCACGCACGAATTATAAGAAGCAGCTACGTACAATTTCTCAAGTTCACAAACTTTCATAAGCTTTCCCCCCACGTTCACCCTCGTTCGTCGTTTCTCCGGAGCAGCAGCCACGTCATTATCAGAGGAGAGAAAGTCGTATGGCGAAGATTTGATGGACCTCATCATCATCCTCCGAAAACTGCTTTCCCGTTATTTATCCCTGTCTTCCTTCTCAGTGGCCGCGGAAGCTTGAGGGGACAGAGGGACAATGTCCCCACGATTGTTCGATGTCCCCATCATCTGCCCATCTTATATAAACCCCTCCTTCCCCTATCCTACAATGTTAATGTCCCCACAGCTTCCGCGGCCACTGTTACACATTGTCCTCTCACAACTTTCCCTTCCTCCACCCAGGAAGAAAATTAAGCAATTCTTCTTCTCCCAACCTGAGGATGAATGGGTTGATTTGATAGATTCTCGTCCGTCACGGTGATTCGGTTTGGGTAAAAGTAAGGTAATTAGGCATGGAATGAAATCGCCTCCTCAACCAACAAACGGGACCAAGATTGAACTCTTTATCCATTGTTGCCCTCCTAAAGAAGAAGTTGACTCGAGTAGTCCCTGTTGAGCGAGATGAGATGTAATCACAAGTCTGACTTTGATAAATGAGCCTCACTTGACTCAAACTCCTCCATCCCACACAAAAGTAAGTAAGGAAGTAAGTAAACGGTAGTATTTGGTTCAACCAGAAATTCGGATTGTTCCCGGATCGGTGTGTTTATGTGTGGTGTATGAATGGGTGGGTAGAAGAGCAGCATACGGGCATCGAAGACTGCGGGGGATAATCTGTAGCTCAAGCCAACTTTTTATGGACCACTCCTATCGTTAACTTTTATGAGTTGCTTTCATGATGGACAATTCAACGAAACACACTGTTCCCCAAAAAACGAGAGGAAGGAAAACAAAACGAAACAATCAGAAGAGGAAATCAAAATAGAAATAGATGCTTGTCGTAAATTTGACGGTGGTGAAGGAAGGAAGTTGTGGTCATTCGAGATTTATGCGATTTCTTCTTTTCTCCAAAAGAGAAAGTTCGTTAGTTCTTTGTGGGACAAAACTTAACCTAACTCGGGTTATGTTTACTATTAAAAGTTATGAGTTTTGGCCACAACCGTGCCAAAGTTGTATGGACATGATTTGATGTGATGTGACTTTTTTGGCACAAATTAAGAAGGAATTATGGAATGAAATTGGCCCCTTGTAATCCAATGTTAGTAAGCGAGTATAAAAACAAAATCGTAACAAGTTTGGTACATATTTTTTACGATTGCTAATTCTTCGAATTTCTTCGCAAATATCGTCAATCCGACGTGTCGTAAATAATAATCGTTTCTTTTCATCAGAAGGAGACGGTTGGCTGTGCGTATTATTAGCCTGAGGTTAAGTGTCCACTTTTAATACCCTAGGACCCCCCTAACTTTATTAGGCTGGCTTTGTTACCAAGTAGTTAGTAGGGGACTAGCATGTAATAAATGTAACTGGTTAGTACGCAGTTAGTGGTTAAGAGGCTGTTTTGCTTGCCAAATGTCTCGAAGATGCGAAGTGAAGGTGTAAATTCCTGTCGGAGCCGTTACTGTCGCTTTCCCTTTATCTTAATGAGAATCATTGAACCACAAAGTAATCCCAATTGGTTTGGTTGGTTGGTTGGTAAATACGGAATGTACGTACAAAGAAAGGAATGAAGAAACTTAAGGAAATGATTATTAGCACGGATGAAATGAATGGAATAGCAGAGAGTAGATTAGGAGTTGGTTTGGTAAATATAATGATGGCACGTGGAACAAGGAGAGATGAACAAAGGCAGAATGTAAAGTGGGTACAATTTTGAATTTCGAAGTAGTGGAAAAAGAAGATCTTCTTGAAATTAAATTAAGTCAAAATTCTGAAAAAAACATATTTCAACTTTGAATTTATAAAAAGATCCAGAATTCTTGAGATTGAATTATTTAAGTTAAAATTCTGATTACTTTTTCTTCCAGGTCGGCTCCAATATTCCGAATATTGGTGAAAATTCCTTCTGGGGCGTTCAATCCCTCAGAATCCTGAACCTCACTCGGAACAATATTTCCATCATTGTCGATACCAACTTCAAAGGTAAAGTATTTGTGCATATAAATTGAATTTAATAGTTTAAACATTTCAAATATTAGGACTCGTAAACGTGGAGAATCTCAGCCTGGCAGAAAATGCGATTGAATCCTTTGTCTCCGCCTCGTTTCAACACCTTCCGAAACTCAAGTCGCTCGATTTGGCGAATAATCGTGTCAACAAATTGGTGGTACGTGATCTTTGCAGCCTTTGTAATTTGCATTATGCAATTCATTTCTTTACCAAAATGTTTTTTTTCAGGAACGTCTCTTCTACAATTTACACATGTTAGAAATTCTCAACCTTTCGGGGAACTGGATACGCGAACTTCACCCAGGTAAGTACAGGATGAGTGATAAGCATGTTCCATCTTATCTCAAAATGTACATAATCAATGCTGAGCCGGAATTTCAGATGTGTTTCGAGATATCTGGCGACTTAAAGAACTGCGATGTCGGCTGTGCGGGTTAAAAACGATTAATCCACTGCTTTATGCACTCCTTCCAGATTTGAGGGTGAGTATAGTAGATAAGTCTACGGGTATGTAGTAATTATCAAAAAGTTAATTACTCTCGGCTTAATTAATCCGTAATAAGATTTTTCCTTATCTGTCCCCATAAATCTAAATACCCGTCTCGCATGCCACATTACGTATACCACCAACTTTTACCAGATTCGATCCACTCCCATATTTCACCACCTTCTGAATTGGTGGGTGCTTGCTTATGGCACCTTGATCCATTAATCTGGACCAAGTGGCCATAATTTTCGCTCTGATACCCCACCTCCAACCAAAAGTACCACCACTAAACTGAACAGAATGACCAAACGTGTAGAAGTAGAATACAATGAAGGAAAAACGATATGTACGGACCTACCAGCAGCAGGAAACTAGCAGGATCACCAACCGGAAGGGGAGAATGGCATTAAAAATCACGCCAATGTGCTTCCCAAAAATGTCATCACTCTTGTCGAGTTCCGGTGAGAGGAAATATGTTGGTTAGCTCACGACGACGAAATGGAGATGTTCTCTTGAGTTCGTTCTGTCTGGGTGGAGAAAGTTCGCGGAGGGAGAAAGTTGGTGGTTTTGGTCTTGTGGTCATGAGGTATGCAGTGCTTCTGTTCTTTCTGCTCCCAGTCAGTCAGGTATTTCTTGAGCAATTTCACCATCTATTAAAAACTGAGAGACGAAATGTATATCTGCGATATGTATGAGAAATTCTCCATTTTTGATGCATCATTCTTCTTCTTCGTGGACGATTTCGCATCACAAAGCACATGAGACCGGGTCATTCAGGCAGGAGTATAATAACATCATTGGAAATTCGAGGCAGGTCCCAAAACCGGAGTCAAGATGGAAAAGTCCTGCTTTTGTATGTCCGGGACACTGTAGAGATGTGTCCTAGTGAGGTCTCGAGGGGCCCATTTCTCGGATTCCTTTCCATCGACACATTTCCCTCATAAAATTAGATAGGGCTGCGACGACGACGACGATGTCACTCGCGCTGCCCTTCCGTTTCATCTCCTCCTCATCCGGTCATATTACTTCTTGACTCCTCACTCCTTGATGACATTTTCCGGACAGAGTTAAAAGTGCGAAATGCTTTTTCCCTTTTACAAAAAAATCCTATTTCCATAAGTCTTTCTTTCCTAAACAAATCCAATCTTCGCAATCGAGTGGTTGGTGTATGCGCTTTTTTTTTTACTTTGAATTGATCATTCAACGAAACCTTTTTTAGCCCGAACCAGGGCTTATGTAATCGTCATGTCCGTCCGTCTGTCCGTCCGTCTGTCTTTCGATAACTCCCGAACGAGTTGACCGATTTGGACCAAATTTGGTACAGACATTTATCTGGGCAATGCAACGACCGAGTTCGAAGATGAGTTCGATCAGAAAAGTTTTGGACCGGTGGGGGTCATCAGAGTGGGTTGGGTATTACGCACCAAAATTTCAAAATTGTCGTAGAAAGCTGAAATTTGGCACAGAGGTTGCTAATGGCTCCTAATAGATAAAAATGAGTTCAAGTTGGGAAAATTTTCATCTTGATTGACCCTATGGGGTGACCCATACTGATTTTTCAAAATCGTCATATCGAGCTGAAATTTGGTGGAGAGGTTGCTTATGGGTCCTAATGGAAGAATATGACATGAAATTGGTGAAATTTTTATCTAGAGCGACCCTATGGGGTAACCCATACCGATTTTTAGAAATTAACATAGAAAGCTGAAATTTGGACCAGAGATCCTTACTTTCTCATGAACTAATGTGAAGTTAAATATACTGAGAAACATGGGTTTACTAATCCTGGTTCGGGCTAAGCAAAGCTGTACTGATAGGTTTTGGAGATTATTTCTCACTTGGTTTGACTTTCTCTTTTTTTTTAAGTTGACATTTCTTGGTCAAAAACGAAATCATGCATTCCAATCCAATCCGATCCGAGGAAGGAAGGATGGATGAAGAGAAAAGTCTTGTTTCGTTTCTATTATTGATTATTGAATTGACTTTTGAAAAGGAGGGAAGAGGCTGTATGTTTTTTTCTTGGGATGAAAAAGGTGACGGTGAAAGTTGAAAGTGGGCAAATGGAATTTTGTGGCTGTGGAGAGAGCAAATTATTCGTGGCGAGAGGTTTCAAACTCATCTAGGATAAAAGCGTTTCGTGGTTTCAAGTGGAGAGACCGTAAAAGTTGAAGAGATGATGAAACGAAGGACGACGACGATGGCCAAGCTTGCTGGTCGTCGTCGTCGGACGGGTGGTGAAAGAAACCGACCTTCTTGATGGAGAGGTTCGATATCAAAGAAGTATTGCCTATAATTTAAGGGTCTTCTTGTGTGTGCTTTCGCTTTTCCAAAATAAAATTACAGAGATAGGATTGCATGGTTGGTTGGTTGGTTGTGAGTATAAAGAATTTTATGAGGCAATTTGGCCAGATTCGAATTCAAATGAGGGCATAAACTGCTTTATTTTACTATAATATTTTGATGCCCGTCTTCTTCTTCTTAAAGGAATTGGATTTATCACACAACGAATTCAAGTATTTGAATCGTGACGAATTTGGAGGATTGGGTCGTCTCGAAATTTTGCACTTGGATGGGAATCAAATTTCGGGTAAGTTTGCTAATTTTGTGTAGCTCAAGTTTTTTATAAGGTAAGTATTTATGTGTACCTTTCTTTTTCTCGGAAATCCTCAGCCGTGACCGATGAGACGTTTCGATCACTCCGATTGCAAAAGTTGAGCCTCAATTACAACAGGATTGTCAGAATTGACAGACACGCATTCTTCAACTCAACAATAGAACGACTCTTCCTGTCAGGTGAGTTAAGGACTAACTGCGTATTTTATAATGAATGTTTTCCAACAAATATTTGAGATGGTTTGGATTACGGATTATGCAACATTTTCAGGCAACAAGTTTGAGACCCTGGAGCGAGTGACTTTCTCCGAGATAAAAAAGTCTTTAATAGAATTGGAACTGAATAGAAACCCGAAGCTAAAACTGAGCTCGTTACTCTTAATATTGGCCGAAAATCCTCAACTCAACCGACTTTCTCTAGCCAATAATAACTATGAAGACCTTCCCCTCGACCTGTTTGAGCTGCAGGGTGAATTACGGTTTTTGAATTTGTCCGGAAATAATCTCTTTGCCCTTTTTCCGCATCAGTTATCACATCTCTACAAATTGGAAATGTTGGGTAAGCATGCATCATTGATAACAATCTTGAAAAAATAAGATTTCAACTATTTTAACGAGATGAATATTTATGTAACTTTTTTTAGATCTAAGTCATAACCAGTTTAAAGGATTGGATCCCGACGTGCTGTCCCACATTCAGAGACTCAAAACCTTCCATCTTATCCGATTAGAGGGAAATCCTTGGATTTGTGACCTGTGTAATATCCAAGGTCTTTTAAGATGGGTGCAAACCGCTGAATATTTTCGGGGAGGGTGCTCAGATCCGTTTGGTAAGTTGAGTAAGGGTGAAAGTTGTAAAAAAAATTTTCTCTGATTTTTGAAATAACATTCATCATCGTCATCATCATTTCGTGTTCTGTTGTCCATTTCGTGATTGCATGCATGCATTTCATCTCTGGCAGATGAGAAAGTTGTGCTTATTGTTTATTGCATGCATGCATTCTACTTATGTGGTCAAGTGAAAGTGAAACGTAGGACCACGACATGCAACTCATCTTTCTTGACAAGGCTCTCACTTTTTTGAGTGATTGATGAACTTTCCACGCTCTCAAAAACAACAACATTATGCTCATAATACAGCATAATTTGTTCTCATGATGAAGAAAGTTTAGGAGAAGGAACAACTGTTATTTTTTTCTTATTATTTATCAACACAACATATGTACATACATAGGATGCATGTTTCTCAAATCTTATTACACCCAATAATCCCGAGAATATCTAACAAACAAACATGTTTATTTATTATTCTACCCACACAATCTTTACTTACTTCCGGTCCAGTGCATAAATTTTTGTGGAGAAAGTTGGACCAACTTTCTCCTCTCGAATATCTCATTCTATAGCCTGGGGACTGGGAGGAGAGAGAAAGTGTTGTGTTTTTCGTACATATCTGACCAATCCGTACGTACATGAAAGAGAGATCCGGTTTTAGTTTCTGTTTCTAGAGTAGAATTTGTGACGACGAAAACTTTCACCGTATTATTATTATTATATTATTTCCCTTCTGGTCCCATTTCTACGAGCAGTTTATATTATGATGAGGAGAGAGAGAGTAAGAGAAAAGTGAGTGAGTGAGTGAGAGCAAGATGAGAAAAAAAGAGATCTCATTTTTTGATGTGGATCGATTTGAGGAATATTATTGGAACGGGGATGGAATGCTAAAGGAGAGATTATTATTACTGGAGCTGGGGACGAAATAGGAGAAAGTGGATGATGAGAGAAAGCGAGGAAAGCAAACAAGGGGTGCATGGTTTCGGGATTCGTTTCGTTATTTTTACCGCAAAAGGAGGAGAGATAACTGCGTGTGAAGTCAGTTAATGGAATTTTTTTCCTCGAAATATCTGCAACAAATAAAATAAAATAAAACGTAATATATATGCCAGCTAATTTCATGCCTTATCGTTTTCTACTTATCTATAGGTCCTCACTGTCTTCGCTGCAGCGGTCCGCCACCTCTAGTCGACAAGTCGTTAATAACCTTGGAGGAATCTCAATTGGAGTGGTGCACTCATGGGGCCCAACCCACAATCTCGATCTTATCGGATGATCCCCGACTGGGATTGTTTATCGGGTGTGGGCTTATCATCCTCGTCCTGATTGCGGCGGCGGTAGGGATTATTGCGAGGTCACGGTGGCATGCAGCGCACTACTACACGCACGAGTCGGAACGGCCAGAAAACCCGGTGCATCAGCAGTCCGTCCCACCTCCGGGGGAGATTGAGGGGAATAACGGGAACAATGGGGAAGGATTCGACAATCTGTATTACAACAATGGAAATTATAAGAATAACAAGTGGAACAGAATGATTGCCACTATAGACGAGATAAATGCATATGTCGACACGCCATACCCAGAGTTGGAAAATAGTCTACATCATCATCACATTACGGATACGGATACGAATATTATGTTACCGCCACCGTCGTCGTATAGATAGTTTGATAGTAATTAAGTTAACTAAATATGTTAACTAACTGGTAAAGTTAGAATTACAATTTTTAAAGTCCTTGGGTCAGATGATTGAATATCATGCGATGCTTTCTTCGTCCGACTATCTATCTTACATATGTCCATTTGTAATGTGAATAATAGAAATGTAATAATCATTAATCATTATAAATATTTATTGAGCATTTCAATTATCATGCATTATTTATTATAACTCTAACATAAAAATTTACTAGTAATTTGGAATGCATGATTGTTGCGAATTGCTAAGAATTAATACTAAATTGTTGGCAAATTGTACATATAGGAAACTACAAAAGTTCTTCTAGGTGCGAGGAGTTTACCACTGCTCTCTGCCTGGCAAAAATCTTACTGAAGAAAAAGCTCAACACCGCTAGCTGCTAGAATTTTCAAATGATCTGCATGTATGTGTAAATTACTTAGCCAATAAGTTAATTAATAGTTAACAATTATTATACGATTAAATCAAGATTAATTTTGAAATAAAAATTTGAAATTGAATTATAAGTTTTCAAAGAAACGTGTCTTTGGGTTGAAAGTCGTCCAGAAATAGCATGAAGGAAATATCTCCGTGGGATTCGACAACCTCATTGAAGCCTGGGTCGACAGCTTCTTTGGCGATTTGGGCGACAAAATCCTCGATGCCTTTAGTGGCAGAATCCTCAGGGACTTGAGTGACAGGGTCCTTGGGAGCTTGAACGACAGTGTCCTGGGGGGCTTGAGTGACAGGGTCTTCCAGGGCTTGAGTGACAACTTCCTCGGGGGCTTTAGCGACAACTTCCTCGGGGGCTTTAGTGACAACTTCCTCGGGGGCTTTAGTGACAACTTCCTCGGGGGCTTTAGTGACAGGCTCCTCGGGGGATTTAGTGACAACTTCCTCGGGGGATTTAGTGACAACTTCCTCGGGGGCTTTAGTGACAGGCTCCTCGGGGGATTTTGTGACAACTTCCTCGGGGGATTTTGTGACAACTTCCTCGGGGGCTTTAGTGACAGGATCCTCGGGAACTTTAGTGACAACTTCCTCGGGGGCTTTAGTGACAGGCTCCTCGGGGGCTTTAGTGACAGGCTCCTCGGGGGCTTTAGTGACAGGCTCCTCGGGGACTTTAACCAAAACGTCCTTCTTGGGAGCCTGAAATACAGAAAATTATGTAATTTCTAAAAGTTCAGTAGTTTTATACAACTAATGCAAAGGTTTTATGATTACCGTGTCGTCAAGCTCAAGTTTGACGGAACTAGCTATGGATTTAGTCTTTTGCCTCCTCCTCCTCCTTCGTCTAGACGTCGTGAAACTACGATTTCTCGTTGCTCTTTGTGCATAGCGGTTTTTAGACTCCTGTTTTAACGCGCGAGTGCGTTCCGCCCTCTCCATTCTAATCTTTTTGAGCGCAACAGTCTTACTTGCCGGACTCAAAAGTCGAAACTTCGCAGCTTGTGATTCAGATCTTGGCTGTCCTAAAACAACAGAAAAGAAGCCAAAGTGGTTAGAGATTAATATTGGAAACATAAACCTGGTGCACCCAAGTGAAGGAAAATATATCTACTGCTAAATTGGTAAATTGTTTCGGAAGTTCTTACGGTGTGCCTGGCGCATATGTATGTGCAAATCTTTGTCCTCAAAGAAAGAAAAGTTGCACTGAGCACATTTAAAATCTCGAGTCATTGTATGATCTCGTTGCAGATGCTGTATCAAGGCGTCGTTTTCAGTAAAGTCGATATTACAGATTATGCAACAGAACTGGCTTCCACCTAATAAAATAAATGATTAGTCTGCCTTAATAAATAAACCGGTCAAGATACCGCAGAAATTTAAATAATCTTACCAAAATGCATCGTCTTCCAGTGTTGATTCCTTGCCTCCGAATGTTCGAACTTCTCACCACAACGCCTGCACGAATATTCTTTTTGCACTTGCCTTCTTTTTTCAGCTCTTGCATTCTTGCATTTATGTGCACCCAGCGAAACTTGGTGGATGAAGGCTATTCCACATTTGTCGCATTTAAAAGGCATAGCATCTAGATAGAACGATCGAGGTTAATTATACTTGTTAAATCTAAATACTTTGGGGTCGAATGTCACATTGATGAATTAAACTTACCTTCAGGAATTTCCTTCTTGATTCTTATAGTGACGACAGAGTGTTGTCCTATGGAATTAAACAAATTAATAATAACCAAATTTGTTCTCGCCAATGCGAGAATACTTTGAGAATCAATATTCTCAAACTTACCATTAGCACCACTTCCTTGAGGATTGCCAGCTATGGATGCATTTCCAGAACGATCTTGCCCAGTTTGATCAACCGCCAATTTTTCTAGATAAATCCAATTTAAAAAAATCCCAATTGGTCAAGTAAAGTTAGACCATAGAAATCGTACCTTTTTTAATTCTCGGCTTTGGCTTTTCAACATTGACCGTTTTTCCAGAGTGGCAATCTTGTCCAATTTGGTGGACCCTGTATCTGTGTTTTGAGAAATGATCGGCCCTAGTGTAACGACGTTTACATTGGTCGCAAACTAGGACTAGCATTAGGAAGTAAAAAAAAACATGAGAATCTATGTGTATTGTCAAGTTTGCTTGACCATTAATTCGAAAACGATTACCTGTTTTCTCTTGTGTCTTTTTGACAGTGGGCATTTTTGCAAATCGAACTATAATAAAGAAATAAGAGACGAGGGGCTTTAAAAAATAGCTGTAATCATTAAAAACCGTACCTTTCATAATCTTTCGCCTTCCAGACAGCTCCTTATTGTTCGGCTTTGTAGTAGGAATCATTTTGTTTTTGGTGTGAAACTTTTTTTTGTGCAAGTCCAAAGCATTTTTAGTCTTGCAGTGCGCCTTGCATTTATCACACGCAAACAGATACACCTTTTTAACTATAATTAAAGGAATAGTCATTTTAAAACGGACTGATGACTAATTGCATTTAAAAATATTCAGTCTTACCATAATTCTTTTGAATTCCTGAATGCCGAGACATGCCTCTAGTAGTGTGAGACGTGACCTCGTGTACATCAAGGTCAAACTTGCCAGGAAATCTTTCATTGCATTTCTCGCACACGAACATCCCTTCATCTTCATCTAAAATAAAAACAAATAAAAAGGTATAATATATGACTTATCAGTTCAAACACAACAGATAAGATTGAAAAAGATGAAACCCTTCACCTAGCCTCCTTCCTTACCTTCCGACATATCACTCGATGTTGACCGATTCGGGCTGTCAAGCATTTTTGATGTCGACATATCGCTCGGAAGAAACAAATGATAAGATGCGACCGATTTTTGAAAATTTTCGAAAGTACAATTCAAAACTATTGGAAAAATTCCGGGCAGCAGGAATTCACCGAGCTGCTTCTTCCCTGAAGTCTTCTCTCAAAGTGAAAAAGTGAAGAAAATGGACCACACCACGCCGGAAAAAAAGGAGCAACGGACAACCAAAATCTCAGCCACGCCACCACCGAGCCAATCAAATGAGAAGTGCAAATGGGGCCAATGACCGGATTGGTAAATAGTGATGTAAGACTGCATTTACAAGGGTAACGATTTATTGCATAGAAAGCGCTTTGTTTTATAGGTAAAACACATACTTAGGTTTTGTTAAATGTTGTTAATAATACATAAATTGTTGGGATAAGATGTTATCATAATATGGGAAACTTTACAATTAGAGACGAGTTGGCTAACTGACTAGAATTTTTAACAATGTGTAGTATGGTTATTGAGTCAGCTGTTTTGACTACAAAGTTAATAAGCTAATGTACAATATGTATGAGACTAAATGGACAAAACAATGAAATTTGATAAAAGTCTAATTGTATCACAATATTTTCATTTCAATTTTCATGTTTTATATCAATCGCTTTATTATTTTGCTTCTTTGGAAGGTGAATTTTCATCTGCAGACTTTTCTCTTTTGCTCCCACTTCGTCTTGTTTTTGGATTGACGTCGCCTTGAGCAAGTGGATCGACGTCTTTATTAATCTCGTCATCCTCGAGGTCAAGGGGGCTGGGTGAAGCTGTGTTTGATGAGGGGGGATGTGATGGGGACGTTTTTTCACTCGATTTAGATTTCGACCTTGACCTTCGAGCACGTTCTTCTTCCTCTTCAGTTTTCTGCTCAACTTGGGTTGGCTGCTCGTCGTCTTGTTCATCATCGTCGTCATCTTCTTCACTTTCGGAACGAGATATGCTCGGGTTTTTGACGTTTTCTTCTTCGTCGTCGTCGTCATCATCATCATCGTCACTGTCCTCTAGATAAGTCTCGTCAGTATTTGCTGATAAGTGATCTGGGATTTCTTCTTGTTCATCCGGCTCAGATTCGTCAACACTGTTACTTTCTTGTTGTACTTTTTCCTTTTCTCTGCTAAATGCTCTTTCATATGATTTCTGCATTTCAGGAAAATCTTCAGATTCTAGTAATTCTTCGCTCTCAGAAGATTCTTCGTTTTCCTCTTCTGACCTTTCAGCATTATTATCAGTTTCGGTTGCAGTACCAGCAGCTGGTTCATTCTCCTCAGCATTTCCAGCCAGATGAGGAATGTATGAAATTAGTTGACACATTGCTGTCGTGATCAAGACCAAAGTGAGAATAAATCCAGAAATATAGAGGCGAAATGTTCCCCATATGACCACAGCGAGTCCCATGATGTAGAACACGAAACGATGTAGTCGCCACAACATGCTGAGATTTTAAAATAAAAATTAGTCAACACTACTAAAAGTTGTTAGTGGTACTAATAATACTGTGCTTACGGGTTGAAGTTTGGAACATGATCTTGCCACAAAACAGCAACGGTGGGAAGAACCATCAGACAAAAGTACATGCTAATATCCCATTGTGGAGTGTTATCGTATCTATAATATAATAAAAACATGAATATTAGCAATATCAATACCACGAAACTCAAAACATGAAAATAAATGCATGAAATCTTACGAGAAAGATTTAACCCAGTGAATCAAACTTGGAAAATTTACAGCAGTAATAAGCAACCACATCATGGTACAACTGAATTGGAAATTAAGAGGGCTAAGTCCTTCAGCAACATCGTGAATCTTTGCTCTCCATAGATCACCAAGAATATCTTCGTACATTTTAAACAGCTAAACATGATTAAACAATAATGTTTTATTATTTTAAATTATGCACAATTCTCATAAATAAGCATGTACTTCGGATGATACCTTGATAACGAAGAAACACAATCCAGCCAACAGCCCGAATCCGCCACAGGTAGCCAACGCTATTGAAAGAAGGAAGACGGAAATAATTATTGGAAATTTTGCGAACGTAAAATCCAGTGCCATGTCTGCCACTTGATCTGGTAATGGAACTCGTAAGTTTGTCCATTTCGCGAATCTTGTCGTGAGCATTCTAAAACAATTAAAACAAAATTAAGCTTGTTCCTTTACTATACATGAATAAAATTATACTGTAAAAATCCTTAAAATAAATCATACCTTAAAAAAACTGCATGAACGGCATTTCCAAACGCAATGATCACATACCATGCCCCAGTAGCTACAAACAAGACCAAGGCGTACGCCACCAAGTAGCAGAACATTGGAAGAATGACAAAGTATTCAGGTCCGTCCAACATGTGAGGCCAGTCATTTCTAGTTATTACAAATAAATCTTAGAAAATATGCATGTATATCGATCGAATCAGACACAAACAGGCACTAATAATACTGAATTACGCACGGTAATACTGTGAGAAGAATGGAAACGACAAATCCTGGAAGAATTGTTAAATGGTACGCATTTGAAATGAGGACACGATGAAAATTAGACCATTCCTTTGCATCTCGTTGAAAGTAGAGCGACATCAAAATAATACTTCCAAAGAAGGATGGCAAAAGACGGAAATATGTCCTAAATATTTGTCCAGCAGTTTCTAAACTGGCGAGACGAACCCTGGAACAGATTATTAAAGTAAGATTTGACATGCAGGCGTATTCAACATATTATAAGAATTTTTCATTTCTTACTGCACAGTGTATTTACAAGTTGGTTCCAAATAAAGTTGAAGATTAGCCGTTGTTGCATTCCAATCGGAAAATCGGGCAACAATTGTTTCATTTCTTGGAAATCGGTTAACTTTAAAATTTCCATGCTCGAAAATTGCCAACGAGTTGTGCGACGCAACACAAGATTCGTCACCGTCTGTGCGTGCAGCAACATTCCAGGCAAATAGTTTTGAGAACAGTCCAGCTTCGAGGGGAAGCGTCAAATTGTAAAATATTTTGTTCTGCGTCTCAAATTTTACATTTAATTCTTTCGACCTTTCTTGAACATTGTAGACGTCTAGGTTAACGCAGCTCTGAAATTACAAGAACATTTATCATTTAATTTTTGCTTATGAAAGTAGTAAAATTAAATAATAATAATAATAATAATAAGCATACTTTTAAAGTGCATGGATCCATCCTAACGATCAAGTGAGAGTATTTCGAAATATCTGAATACTTTAAATGAATAACTTTACGACGTCGTCTAAAATGAGGAATTAATTCACCATCAGGTGATAAATTATCAGCTGCAGAGCAGTAACGTGTACTATCCACCACAGATTGAGACGTGCATCCAAATATCCAATTTTTAGGGTCTGAATTTGTCGTTAAAATCATAATTTTATAGTCCTCCGGATCTCCTTGAATCTTTTCTTTAATTACAGCCATTGGAAACATGAGATATGTTGTGGATCGAGTGGGGGGAGAACAATAATTATGAACAAGAAGTTCATTCCATTCAGTTCCTGGAGGTTTCCCAAACTCTGATTCACGATGAGCACCGTGAATTGATTTTCCACTCGATTTCTGCAAATTAACGAGACACGTCGATAATTTTTGTTTACTGTAGTGTACATTTTTATAGTAAACAGTAAATATGTATCAAAGCTTCCATACCTTGACCAAATGATAATTAAGAGTCTTTTGACGTGTTTCCGAGTCTTCCGTCATTGCATAAAATCCATTCGGCTGTTTATATTCTACTAAATCGAACAATGCTCGAACAATGGAGAAGACAAACTGTTTGCACCAGACAATGCAAAGATGGTCCGTTGACGCCCATACCCCTGGGACTGCTGTTGTTGTCGTGTGAATGTCCAAATGTCGCCCCCACTAGTTGATCAATAAAAAAACATTAAATGAATTAAACGAGTACAATTTAGGTGGCGTTAGTTAGACTAACCTTTGTAAACCCTTCCGGAACCAAAATATCCCTATCTCCTCCAGCCACACTGACTAAGGTTACATCTTTCCTAAATTTCTCGTCCCCATTTGTCCAGTTTCTACTCAAGTGAAAGTAGAATAGGTCCTGTTCTGGGTCAAAGACAAGGATTGGCCGAGTATGAGGAGTAGACAGACTGATAATCAAATTTGATAAAGGTTCATTATGTTGCTTCATCGTTTTTGTGACAATTCCTCCCATTGAGTGACCGATCAGTACGACGGAATGGTACTCATCATAAAATCCTTGAATTCTTTCAATCGCTGCGGCCAAATATTCGGCTTGTGATTGAAGCACATATCCATACAGACCAGAAAGTTCTTCGTTAAAGTCAACGCTGAAAAAGTCAAAATGGAATGGAGTTCGAGAGTCGAGCCATTTTCGTAAGGCAACCGATGCAAATGATCGAACTGCAAAAGATTGAACAAATATAATTCAAGTTCAATAAATACTTATTAATAATTAGTTACCTTGCTTGTACGATCCTGCATTTCCAGGTACAAACAGAACCGGAACTCCCGTAAACTTGTGTCGTTTCGCAAGACTGGTGTATTTCCCCTCGGCATACGCGTAAAGTCCATATTTCGCATATTTCTTATCCATATCCGTTTCTAGTTTGATGCGCTAGTCAAACGAAATTCATTCATATTTATAAACAATCTCTAAAATAACTATGCTAAATGATTTTTGAGCTGCTCATTTATCTACTTACAACATATTCTGGATACTGAAACATATACGTCATCTCGCACTTGTTGTCTTCCACATTCTTAAAATAGTCATAAGATCCGAAAAGAAAGACGAAAAAGATTGTGAAGCTCAGCGTTAAGACGAACGAATTAAGAATTCCTTTTGTCAGCATTTCGGTCATATTGGAGACACGACCTTTGCTTGGAACTCGCCCCAACGATGTCGTCTCCATCTGCTTAGAAAATTTACGATTAAGGAAATTTGCTAATTTATTTTATTAAAAAATGTACTGTACCTTCTTAAATGAGATCGGGATGGAGAGGAGATGAGTATAATCGGGTCGTCCTCGTCCCCTACTGTCAACTGCTTAATCGACTACTGCTCTTGAACTTGTCACGTTTAGAACAAAGATAAGCCAAGACCAACCCGAGTTCGCCAACGAAGCATTTTAAAAATAGAATTAGTTAATCCATGTTTTTATTGACTGAACAGAAATGCAATAAAATCCGTGTTTGCACGTGTCGCGGGCAAAAGATGACGATGCCAATCTTTGTTTCACCGAAAAAAAAAACACTCAAAACGTCTGCAAATCGTAAACAAAAAATAAATTGAAATTTTCAAGAGTTTTGGGCAATATTATTAAGTATTAATTAATGGTAATTAATAATTTAAAATATGTGAATATTATTTTCTTGCAAGTTTTTGCCCGAAATTTTGTTAAAATCGTTGCCAATGTTATAATCAGCATTTATTTGTCGGCTCTTTTGATTCTAGAAGAGTCGGTTTCTCTATCTTTGTTCCTCTACTCTGACTTTTTTCTTCTTTCGCATCTGAGATTATTTTTTCAACTAGACCGACATCTTCACAATTGGGATTGTTTGCTGTCTGTGATATCCCTGGCTTATCGAGATTAATTCCGAACCGCAAAAATGGAAGATGAGTATGAGCATGGGATTTTGAACGATTCATTGGAGGCCTTGATGGCTGATTATTTCGGTATGATTCATTTAATTAACGATTAATTGTTTATTATTGCTGGAAGATTTATTGGAAATCTATATTCTTTGTTTACTAGATAACACAGGTATCGTGTCCACTGGCGTTTCTTCTACTGCTGTTGTGACATCGACGACTTCCAAACCCATGTCTCAACTTCAACAACATGGTGTTGTTTCGAACTTTAGTTTGGGATTGGGAGAATCAAGTCTGTTCCCGTTTGGGGACCTTTCTTTTAGAGACCAGACCCAATTGACCACGGTCTCTAGGTCACCGGAAGAAGTTTTGGAAACGAAGGATGATGCCAACGACAATCCACCTACATTAGAAGAAAGTGACGACAAAAGCAGCAGAGTTGTACGCATCCGGACAAGCAGAAGGTCACTCTCGTACGATATTATCTTCAAGTCAGCCCAGCGGTCACATTCGTCCCTCCAGAGCAAGTCTGAGTGTGAAAGTGAAAGTCGTGAAAGCAGCCGAGATCCTCCAGAAATTTCAATTCGAATTCGAACCGGAGAATCGAGACGAGTCAAGGCATCTGGGAGAGAAAGTTGGTCCAAGAAACAGCCAGATTTTGTTCCTGGTCCTGGTCAAGTGTCGATTGTCAAGAAGGAGGAATCGCAATCATTGTCATCAACTGAGAAGGAAGATTATCTCCAAAGCTTAGAACAGACTGTATCAACTTTGAAGAACATTAATGCAGAGCTGGGAGAAGAAGTGAAAACATTAAAGGAAAAGTTGGAGAAAGCACAGACAACTATTGGACTGTTGGAAATGGAAGTGGTCGCAAACCTTTACGGTAGTGCTGATACTGATCAGTAAGAAAGATTTCTTAGCTTCAATTTATAAATTGTTTATACGTTATTCATGTATATTTTTCTTTGTATATATGCGTGTGGTACAATTTACTACATAACATTTTTACTATTTTCAAGATTGTAACTAGATTCAGGCAGTTCACAGTTTTATACATGTACAAGAGTTAACTTTTTGGTCGGTAGCAATAACGCAGGCTATTATTTCCTTGTGTAAGTTACATAAGTTGTCTATGTCAATGCACAGCGGTTTGTTCGCATATTAATAATAGTAATAACAATAATATTGGTGTAAATACATTTAGTTTTTTTATGGAGAAAGGTTCCAAAAGTCTATATTTCGGTGTGGAATGTGGGACGTTGAATTCCCATGAGTCTAAAGACCGAAGGCGCAACAAATGTTACGTGTAAGCCAATGAAAACATAGGTTAAGTATTTGGAACTTAATTCGGCAAATATTTCGGGCTTCGACGCATTATTCTGAAAAGTGGAAAATAATGATTAGCAAAAATAAATAGCTGGACAACAATTTGTGAGAGAGCTGACTTACAAGGTCATTTCGTTTCGTAATTTTCAACAGCTTGTAAAAGAAGGTGTAAAGGGTTGATTTCATAATAGCTCGAGAGGCGACGATAATGCATAACCCTATGATAAGACGAAGAAGAGAAAGTCCCAACATGGAGTATGAAGGCCACAAAATTTGATAGGGAGGATCGAGTGGTGGTCCACGAATGATTGATAGTTGAAAGTTTAACCATTGACCAGCAATAAGTCCTACGCAACTTCCCAAAATCACAAAAGTGTCACTCCTAAAATAGAAAATTTAAATTAATTATTAATCTTAAAAGAATTATTTCTAATAATGGGTTTTCTTTATAATGACGGGTCGTACCTTGCTGGAGACCAGCGATCTCCTCCAGGGGTGCAGAAACAGAGGAATACACCCATTAGGAACAAACCTAATCCTCCAAATTCGTTCTGTAAAATTAACGAATCTAGCCAATCGACAAGAGGAATTGCAGGTACAAACATGGTTATGACGAGACTTAGACCAGCCAATATATCAAGGACTGAGTGCATTCCAAGGTATAGTCGACTCATACAAACTATCGTACACCAAAGTACGGCTCCAATAACGCCCAATTCAATCGGATACTGATATCGAGACGATGTGAAAATTATTGTAGCGAACGGTACTGCAGCCCCCACAACTGCATGGGTTGATGGGAGACCTAGTTATTTATAAAGATTTTTTTATTTATTAGATTCAATGTGGACTTATTATTAGTCATTTTACCGTATTCCATTTCCCATTTCTTTTCAAGTCTTACAACGGGAGGGCACATTGGTCTCGGCCATCGGATAATATCCTTCAGTCCTTGTCCTGAATGAAGCATTAAATATTTAGCAAGTTATTAATTTTAATTGGTTGCGACAATTACCTATATACATTAGAATTCCCCACATCATTACAACTCTTCTCCCTACAGCTCCATCGATATTCCAAAACCAGAATGAAAACCAACAGGAGTAGAAGACCTAAAAAGTATATAATATAAATTAGAATATTAAATAATTTACTCATATATATGTATAATCCGACCGACCTCGTCTCCTAGTTGAGTCCCAAACTTGAACAAATAGTACCAAAATTTGTTTGTCACGACTTCGTCAAAGTTGAATTTGCTACTCAAAGTGGACTGATCTTCATCTTCATCGACACCTGAACTGATGCCGGAGGAACCGCTTGATTCATTCCTCGCATGACTATTAGCGTTTCCACGATTTTTCACATTAGAGGTCGAGGTACTTGGTACTGATGGGAGCGTCGTCAGCGTGGCAGATTTTTGTCCATTTGATGATAGATCCCACTCGAAATCGCAGTCTGCGGATTTCAAGGAGCGTTTCGATGAAGTACCATCAGAGTTACTACCAGAACTAATTTTTCTAACGGAACTGCGAAGAACACGCTGACTACTTGTTTGGTGGTTGCTAAGTTCTGAGGAGGAGGAGGAAGATTTGTCTGGCGACGAGGTAGGCGCATTGACACCAAAGTATCGTTGAAATCTTGCAACTAACCTCGGGTCATTAAGGTATTCGAGATAGGAGACTCCACCCATGATTGAAGGAGATTAGTTATCAGGTTTGAGAATTACTATTTCGGCGTTAACTGTCCCAGTTGGATTTATTTACGATTGTCGAAACTAAAACAGAAATTCAGAAATTCTTATTCACCTCAACGTATCAAATGGTGATAGTTAATATACTAAAGTAATTTTACCTTTATTCACAACTCGGATCGTTGTAAATAAATCCATCAACCGACTAGCAATTTCCGCACTTTGTCCTCCTTTGTTGAGTATCCGTAGTCGTGACCGCTCGTCACGTCACCAAGTCCAGTAATGATTTAGCCTCGTGTCGTCACCCAGTTATCAGGAATCAGCCTCTGTCACCAAATAATACATGAGCATATTATTACAGATTGTGTCATATCAAAAATGGACCAAACTCAACTCGTTTTATGTTTAGTGAATGAACAATCATGATCTCGTGCTCTCTCTCTCTCATTTAATCATTCAACCGCTGATAATTTCAACACCCTATCCAATTTACGACTTATCAAATAATGAGTCAAACTGGTTGTACTAAATACTACGCTGATGATAAGCGAGTCAATTGGCCATCAATACCAGAAATTTTTTGGACTGGACTCTCTCTGTCCCAAATCTAAATAATCTAATTCAATCGCAAACATCACAATCGACAACAAACCTCTGATTTTATCTAATTAAACGGCAAACCCAGTCGACCTCGAAATTATAAATTAATGATGTGATAAAAAATACTTTTGAATTTTTAATTACCTCGCACTCAACTTTCAGGTTAAAAAAATAAAAACAGCCGGTAGGTAGGTTCCAGGAAGTCCCTCAAGGTTAATTTATTGTGATGACCATATTTTGTACACACCCAAAGCAAAATTTTCAATTTCAGAAAATTTTCCAATTATTATATTTCTTTATAAAATTTCGTATAAATTGGCGAAGAGGGAACGGCCAGTCGGCTGACCGAATTACCGACTTTGTTTACCGAGTGAAACTGGTTTTTACTCACAAAAATCGCCCACTACTCTCATTGAGACTGCATGTCTGACTCATCATAAAATGCCAAAATAATAAATCACAATGTTAAATATTGCATAGACCAGACCAGACTTGCCAATTCAATCTCTTTTTTGTTTTAAGTATGCAAATATGGTGGTCTGGCTGGCAAATAGAGTGACGGTACAACACGGATGATTATCTAGCAGTGATGATGGTGCAGATGTGCTGTGGGCTAAATAAATTCCTTAAATATTATTAGGCAACCAGATACAGCCTTATAACAGTAATGCACAATATTGATATTATTATTATTATGCTAATACTGAGACAAGGTTGGGCTTAGCTATGTTTGCCTTGTCGTGATTGAAATTTTAATGATGAGACAGTAATTGTAATTGTAATTGCGTGAGGATGAATGGTTCATACGTGGGAGAGAAGAGTTATTTACATATTAGGAATTTTGACCATGAAAATAGTCTCACAAAATAAAATACAAATTAGTTGAAGAAAACTTCCGCAAAAGTTTTCATGAATTTTATTCTTGCAAAAATTTTCGAAATTATCTTTCTTTCAATAATTAAATTCTCTTTTATTTCACAAGTTTGTCAGAAGTTACGTTAACCACACATGAAATTGCTATGATTGTCAATATTGCTGCTGCATCATTTGTTAAATTATGTTTTTACAGTTGATAAGTAATTTTAAAATATATTGTGACTTTTTTTCTGAGTGAATAAATTGGACTGGACTAAAAAAAATTCTTGTTAACACGAATTCATTGATATTTAATTACTTTTGTGGCAAAGACTGTGCATTTTCTTAGATAAGTATACATACTTTCACTTTACATCAAACCAGCACTTTCCCTCCTTATCCATCAGTAGTTTAATAATTTTAATTAAATAGCAACAAACCACAAAAAATGAACAATTTATGTAATAAGTAGCATAATATTTAGTTTACAAACTCAATTAATAATTACAGTGTAATTTTAACAATGGTGCTCGTTCATGCATTTGTTGTCGGGTCGTATTAAATTGTGTCGTTATAAGAAAATGTTATTAATTTTCTTATTTATTTATGGAGGCGTCGCATTTCTTTTCGACGAGTTGATAAGATATTTGCAACAATGGGTCAAGAGTTGTTTCCCATTGGAGGTCGTGGGGACATCTGCGGTGTCAATTTCTCTCGTGTAAATGTCCAGACCGTATTGACCCTCTTCTGGAAATTGGATGGAGAACGAGACCTCACTATTTCGGACGGATTGACTGATAAACCTGAAATAAATATGCAAAATTATGTATATGGATGAATTAATCAATTTGTAATGTGTATTTACTTGGCTAATTTTTTCTCGTCCGTCCCATTTTTGTGAAGCGTGGCCATGAAATCGGTGAGGGGACGAGACATTGAAAAGTCGATGGCCACCTCACGACCAGAAAATATCAAGGGGTCAGGATGCGTTAAGGGGATAAGGCCAAAGAGACGATTGGCCTTGGCAGGTCCCCATTCTCCAGACGCGCAGTCGGGTAAGGGTACCATCACTGGGAGTAAATATACATATTCTTAATTAATAATTAATTTAATAAGTTAATTGTTTTGCTTTCATACCTGTCGATAAAGTGCCGCATTCAATCTTAACCTGAGAGAAAATTATTATTATTTACTTGTACGACGACGTATTCGAACCTACTAATTTTTTTGCATATTCATAATCAGCCAAACCTTGCAAACGGACTTGAACTTCATCGGTTCTCCGGTAAGATATTCTCGCGGTGTTACCGCGTTGGCAAAGACGTCAAGGAGAAAGGCACCAGAGGCGGGGGCGTGCTATATATTTGATACCATATAACATTTAGCTAGTAAACTAATAAGATATATACTTATCATGAGGAAGTACGTACCGTACGGAATGACACGACTGGAGGAGTCACACTCTGCATCACGAATCTCTTTAGACTGACGCCATCAAAAGTGTCGGACTCGTTATCGTATGATTTTAAGTTGTAGTGGAATATGAGGCAGCCTTCCATTTGTGGGGGCATCCCGATTCGAACAGTTGCAGCACCTGGAATTGTATGGTAAAAATTCAGGATTACTTAAATATTTTGGTATTTACTTTAGGAATTAACTGCTGCGATGAGATAATAAGTTCTCTTACCAGATTGATCCGTGGTCATGACCGCTTTACAATGCGAAATGACATCTCCATGACTGTTGGTAACGCCATCACAACTCTGCCCTTGAGGAAAGTAAAGTCCATATCGGAAAAATAGACTCCGAACGAACGGGAGCTCTTCAAACTCTGCCAGAGTGATGGGCCTCTTGAGCAGCTGTACAAAAGGGTATGGACCAACTCTTATTATTATTATCTGTCCCAAACAGTTGGGACAAACTGCCTGCTTATGAGGCAGATTGAGACATGCGTTAGACGAAAATGGAGTAAACAAGCAAGTTAGCAGGTGACAAGTCTGAACCCGACTCCAACTTTTTGGATATCGAGAGTGACTCTCACTCAGACAATTAGACAAATCTTGTAAATTTATGTCATTTCGAAACTAAGCTGATAAGATGGAGAAGAGTGACGAAGAAAGTAGAGACGAAGAGTCAGCCATGTTGAAATTGATAAGCAATCCTTTACCAACAGTCATTTCATTGGGAATGAAAAATGTAAAATTTGTAAAAAAAATTTTATCCAAATTATGACGGCATGATTTACTGTTTACAGTTGGTGGTGGGACGGTTGCCCGGTTGTGACATCGTCCTTAACCTCCCTGACATTTCAGGGCAGCACTGCAGTTTGGTGTTTGACGACAATAAATGGTTTATAAAAGATATTGTAAGTTTTATATTTGCTTTAAAGTTTATTTCCAACTGTTGGACAATTTCGGTTGTAAACATTAGTTATTTTTGCAATTTTTTTTAGAGTTTAAACGGAGTTTGGGTGGGAGACGAAAAACTAGAGAAAAACAATCCTCGACTGCTTGCCCACCGAGATTTGATAAAATTCGGTTCGAAACTCATCTATCGTTTCATGAATGACCAGACGAAGAAAACTTCTGCTGGTAAGAATACCTTTTCCCTATCACTGAGATCCCCAAATTTACCTCCCAACTGTCGGATTTTGAATTTAATTGCCTACTTATATTTTTTATTATTTGTGAAACAGCCGGGAAATTTTTTTTGGAACAGAGGTGGTTGAACGAGAACGAGCTGGGAGAGCGTTGTTTCATTATGGGCCGGTGGTGGACAAATCTTCAAGAGTGGTTGGACGAAACGTCCCAAAAGCTGGGTAAGCGGATAGTTCACTATTCTATCAACTTTATTTGCTGACTTGTGTATTAATTTGATGTTGTTTATTGATTTTAGAGTACAGTGGTCCTCCATCGCCATCTGTAATCGAGGAGGAAGGCGCTTATGAAAGCGTGGTAGAAAAGGAAGAAATTTCTTTAGGTAACTTCAAGTGCATTTAATATTTATATCCAAATGTTGGAGGTTCGTCACTAATAATCATGATTATATTACGAAAAAGTCGAAGAACCTGCAGCTAAGATAGCACGTATGAACGAAGTTGATGTTGGTGGTTCAGGCGGCGATAATGCCAGTGAAGGTTGGTTCTAAAGTCATTTGTAAACGTTGAATTGTTAAGGTCTTAATTCATGATACTTTTATAAAATTAGATCGCTTCATCAAGAGACGACTCTTCTACTGGCAATCCAGACCAGATTCCTCCTCTCCTCGCTCAACGTGGAAGCCACCAACTCAGGGACTTGGACTCCTGTTTTATTACATCAGGGACGAACTGAGATCTAAAGGTTGGAGAGGTAATGAAGAGGATATGAAATCCAGCGCTGAGTACAAAGAATGGCTACATACTTTAAAAGGAAAATCGGAATATCGAGAAAATTTGAAGGATGTGAATCTTAACTTTAAAGAAATGCCAATCTTCGTATGCCGAAACGAAGACATTTTATTCTATTCTATTGGGAAATTGAAAACAACCGGAGCAAGCGTTGGAAATGCTACAAAAGTTAATAGGAATGACTACGAGGTTAAACACTCCTTGAACTGGAATGCTGTCTGTTGTGATTGCTCTTGTTGGAAAAGGAGCGCAGTAAAGGGAAAATGTGAGGAACATGGTGAGCGGAGTCAGGAACTTTTTTTAGTGAGCGATAAACACAACAAGGACGTAGTGGTTATCATGATGTTTAACGCTCGCCCCCGATCCTCCGATTTCAACCAACAACATATGAACGAAATCATTCACTCCACGGAAGGTCAGCAAAATCAATCTCTGTGGGAATACATGAAGGAAAGAGGAGTCCCCGAGGCAATTCCCAACAACGTACGTAAAACACAGTACGAAGCCATGAAATACAGTGACAAGAATATCCAACAGTTGGAGAAAAACTACTGGAAACAGCGATTTTCGAAAGTGGAATTCGAGGTGTTGGCAAAATGGAAGCTACCGTATTCGAAAAAGGATGTATACAACAAAATCTATGACACCGTTCAGGTATTTATATTGGATTTGGCATTTGAAATTTTCATCGGTTGACTTCAGTTTGATTATTTTTTTAAGGTGGCACTTTCCATCCTTGTTTCCACCCATAACACGAAACATGCTAACAGCAAAAAATTCCGACTCCTCAAGAAAGATATTGAATTCCACCACACGTCTTTCCAATTGTTGGAGCAGATCCTTCGTTCCAATCACTTCAACATCTGCACTAGAGATGAAACAATTTATGCCGAACATGATCGACAGAATTCCCCCTTCCTCCCAACAAACGGTGTCAACAGCAAAATTTCTTCAACATATTTCATGCTCGAGTACGAACATGTCTACGATGGACTCAGGACATCTCGCAAACAATCTAATGCGGGAAATACTTCGTTAACAAAAAACTCTAAGTTTTCCTCGCATGGACAAATCTTGACGGAGAAAGATCCATCCAAATCCTTAAACACTATAGCTCTCTACCAAACCAAGTTTGACGAAGAATCCAACGATTGGAAAATATTGCAATCCATCTCTTGCAGAATCAAGGAATTTAACAAAGAGCAGAAAAGAGTGGTTGATCGTGTAAAATTGGATTGCGCAAAAGCTGAAACGATTGGACACCTGTCCAACATATTTGGAATAATAACAAATTGTACCATCGACGGAATCACTCTGAAGCTTGCAAACAAAAAATTCACCCATTTTGACGAATATGAAGATCATTTGATCCAATATTTGGAAGACCTTTTCGATTTTAAATTTGAGAAACGAATCACAATGACCTTTTCCCCAATTAACCTGGATACTTATGGACAACCTCTCTTTGACCTCCAAGCAGTCGGACAGTTTATGCAATAAACTATTTTGTTTTTGTTTTAGAATTTTTTGTGTATATGAACTTTTGTAAATAAACCAACTCATTTCTCCATTTTCATTTCACACATACTAATTTCACACATACCTGCCATTCCGTCGTTGTGGGGAAAAATTCGAAAATAAACTCTTTCGGATCGGTTAAAAAGTAGTGATCGTCATATTCATATCTTAACGAAAAGGAGAAATTAATTATAATATTTATTTACATGCACAAATAAAGTCAAATTACCTTAACGAGTCGGATTTGGACGCCCTCTCCTTCGCATTTACTAAATGCCTCGCACCCCAATTGCACTGGACGAAACGCCACCCTCCCGCGACGTAGACGGCATTCCAGGAATTTCTGAAACGCGAATCTGTAAATTTTACCCCCGGCTGATACCCCGCAGATTTGCTGAGCCCTTTAATGACCACGCAGTGAAGGCCGGCGTAGGAGCAGAGACGCTTAAAAAGGACGTGGTAACTTTCAGTTCCTTGTTTAATGCCTCTCAGGAGTCCTAAGAAATTATTTAGCATTATTTTTTGCTCTCTAATCATAGGATTCTAATCATGGGAAATGCATAGTCGAAATTTTACCCATGGGCGTGTCGGTGCGGACATCTTCACTAAAGTCCATGGCGTTCAAGTTTTTGACAGTAATCCAGCGGAAGATCGTTCTCGCCTTTTCTACGTCCGTGCCACAACGAGAAACGAGTTTTCGGACGAGGTCGGTAAATGTTTTCTGGTCTTCTTGTGCCACCTGAGGAAATTCATGGAAGGTATTTAATTAAGAAGTAATTGGTGCTAATTAATTTAAGAAATTAAGTCGCTCTTACGGATATGGCAATTTGGTCAATATCTGTGAATTCGACGGGGTCAGTGTAAATATGCGTCTTCCTCGTGGCTGGGGGAGAAGGTGGGGGTGGATTTTGTGGATATGGGAACGATTCCAGTTCGGAGGAAAGTCCTTCCTCGTCGTCACTTCCGCCCCCACGAGCAAACCATTCTCGCTTTCTCTCGTTGATTAAGTGGAGCATTTCCTTGCTCTGTTTTTCGAAAATTAAATAATTCGAATCAATTAAAGAATTCGATTAATTCGACATTATAAGTTTTAAATGGGTAAACTCCATACCTGTTTTTCGACCAAGGCGGCAGTTGCAGCTCTGCAAGGTAACAATAACGGGGTGAAATTTTGTGGGTATGAACTCCTGGTTCAGGTGAAAGCAAGAAATTATTTTTACCGTTCATGTTCCAGCAACTTTCTCGTAATTTGTTCTCTCTTTTTGTCCCTTCGAATGGTCATGTGGCGTTCCAACTCGTCCCTTTCTCTCGCCCTGAGTTTATTTATCGTATGGGGATCTTCTTGGGCTCGTAATGACTCGAATTTAGAGGCCAACTTGTCTAGTTCTCGTTCCCATTCTTCTCTGAATTCGGCATGAATACGAGCTTCCTAAAAATCCAAATAATACGTAGTACCATTTCTCATAATAAATGAGATCTTTAATACACACCTCTTCTTTCCTCGCTTTCTCAAACTTCCGGTACAATATGTCTTCCTCTTTCCGGAACTTCATTTCCAACTCGGTTTGTTCCTCTTTGGGCTGAAATTTTACGTGAAATTAATAAGCAATCTCCAAAACTTTCATGTGTAAATATTTTTTTTAATTACAAGATAAGTATGAAGTGGTTTCTCCTTCTTGTACGCCTTTTGAATCTGAGTGGCCCTTAGCGCATGCGCAATGTGTAGGGCTGAAGCATCAAATCTTCCATAATTATGACCAGGTGTACCCTTGTTAGTGACGTTCGCCTGACTTGTGGGACCTGCCCCGTCAAAGGCTGGTGAACCATTTTCCCCCCTGCTGTTTGACCGAATATGCAAACTTTCCAGGTCCAAGGTTCCCTTACCGGATGCGCGAATCTGAGATAGAGACATTTCCGTAAGAAAAATTTGGTAAGAAAAGCTTATGTAATCTTAAATTTCTACGTACCTGCTCATTGACAAAAGTCGTAGATTTCGGGACATTTAGTGCCGACCTGATCCCTACCGCACTACCGTCCAAATGCCCAGGACCAGGTTTTGGTACGTGTGAAATGCAGTAAACTTCCTTGTCCTCTTGGTCCTAAGGATAGCATTTTATCAAATTTTGCGTAGAAATATAGCATGCAAATAAGTTTAAAAATATGCGGAAAATTTACATGTTGCGAGTGGTAGTATGTCCGGAGGCTGAGTCGACTTCCACAAACGCAACATTTAAAACAGCCAGAGTGGAAGAAGGAGAAATCCTTTAAGGGTCCCACCCTGTAATAATAATAATAATTCAAATTAGTATTTAACTTACATAATTATAACGTTTCTTTTTTAAAATTTCCTAAAAATTTCCCCCATTAAAATACTCTGATTGATTCATGAGTGACCTCAACCTCTGCATAATTTGACACGTGGAATATTGGTCTAATATAATGTGGAGGTTTATGTTGTAGGACGAAAGTGAAATGTTCGCCCAAATCGGGTCCACCCACCTACACACACCAAATATTTTAGTGGATCGGCCCACACCCACACGCAGCCAGTTGGTCATTCATGTAAGCACATATCTCATAATACTACATGTGCATTTGGACTAAATTCATGCATCTCGTAGTTTTTATTATTATTTCGATATCAACAATCTCTTGAAATGAAGGTGGACGACAGGAGACGATGAAAGCCAGACAGGGTCGACATACTTGGTAACTTAGATTTTTTTGTAAAAAAACAGTTACGTAAAAATGAGAAATGCAAAGTATGCCTGACTGAATCTGGATCATTTATGGGGTGCAATTATTCTATTTTTTTAGAAAGTTCCGGTTGCAGAAATTGTTTAGTTTGGGTATAGTTTTTGTATTGATAATTAAGCATATCGATTTGATCCAGAAATTAAAATTGGTGGACCGACTTATTAGGACAGATGGCTAATTAAGTTATGATTGCTTTCTGTTGTGGTGCATATCCTTGAGTGTTTTTTTTTCTTGAGTGCTACTGTGAAGGTCCAAGTAATAGAAGATAGAAAATCCAATTATAAGTGTTGACATGATAAAGCTCAAATTTAATTATGCTATTTTACATTAAAACGAGCCATTAAATTCAATTAATGTCTTACATGTAACTATCGTTGAATAAACTGGACCCGAACACAATACTTTAAAACCTATCAGTACAGCTTTGCTTAGCCCGAACCAGGGTTGATTAGTAAACTCATGTTTGTCACAATTTTCAATTATAAAATTTCAAAATTCAATCCTCCAAAACTCTAATCCCAAGTTATTTTTTCGACTCCACACTAAATTATAGCTGAATATATTAGAAATCGGTATGGGTCACCCCTTAGTGCCCCTCTGGTTACTTTTTGTTCATATTTGACTTTATATTATTTCATGCGAAGCCATTAAGTATCACCGTTCCGAATTTCAGCTTCTTGCGACAAGCTATGAAAATTGGTATGGGTCACCCTAACGGGTCCCGGCTTTTAAAAATTTTACCAATTTCATTTCATATTCTTCTATTACGGGCCATTAGCAGCCTCTATACCAAATTTCATCTCGATTCGATGATTTTGAAAAATCGGTATGGGTCACCCCCTCGGGTGCCTCCGGTTTAAAAATTTTCCAATTTCACTTCACATTCTTTCATTAGGAACCACTAGCAACCTCTGTACCAAATTTCAGCTTCCTACGACCATTTTGAAATTTTGGTGCATAATACCCCACCCACTCCGATGACCCCCACCGGTCAACCACTTGACCGATTTTGCCCATCTTCGAACTCGTTTCCTAACTTTGTCCAATATGCATATGGTAAAAATTTCAAGTCAATCGGTCAACTCGTTCGAGCGCTATCGAAAGACAGACGGACAGACAGACAGACAGACAGACGGACAGACGGACATGACAATTACATAAGCCCTGGTTCGGGCTAAAAAGGAAGCTTAATTTGAAAATTTGTTTGTTTAATTAGCTCGCCAATCTTGAAATTTCAAGGACATTCACAATAAACTAAACTTATTACAGATTTGCCACATATCTTTGTCGAAAACCGTCCGGGTATTATTTTCTCTACCAAATTACTATTTTTTAAGACCAAGTATTCCTTTTTTGTCTCAACTTATTGATAATCGATCTCAAATCAGTAACCACACAATTGCAATAATTTTACGATAACAGTACATATTGCTTTAATTGACACATATTTTTAATGGGACAGTGATTTCTATAAGAGATGAAAATAGTGTTTCCACTTCTAAATACGAAAGTTGTAGAAAAGTATCACAAAAATCAATGAGTTTGTGCGGTTTACATTATTACAATGGAGACTGTTACTCAAACCACAAAATTGCAAATTAATGTTACTATCTACGACTCGAGGATAAAACTTTTACACTCAAAATACCAAAAGTAGAAAATCTGTTCTGTACACAAAAACAAATTTGGTGATCACAGAAGGAGTGATAAAATTAGTTTTTAAAAAATTGGTGGAGAAAGTCTCAAAATATTTGAAGACATTCACACAAAAAATAACGAATTTCTATTGCAAAATTTACTAAAATTTTACTGAAGTTGAAAGCCAAATATAATTTTTTTTCATATTCATAAACAGAAAATTGCTGGTCACACCAGCAGTGATAAAATTAGTTTTGAAGAAATGATGGAGAAAGTCTCAAAAAATAGAATTTCAATTTCAATTTTTACTACAATTTAACGAAGTTTTAAGTCAAATACACATTTTTCCAAATAATTTTTGAAATGAGATTTCTTGTCAAATTCTTAATTTTCTGGACATTAATTTAGTAACCCACCTGTCGACCGGATATACCGTCTCTTTGCACCGGAGACAAGCATGTTCTCCACTTCCACGATACATTTCTCCCTACTTTCACTCCACAAACATGCTCAATTCTCACTTTCTTTCTCACTTTTCTCTCCAAATTTGTGATTTACACCATAACTCACACAAAAACCAATCACATCACAAACTCGGGATGATTTTATCATATACAAAAATTGATCCCCTCAAAAAAAAACAGCAAACTTTGTCTTCTTTCACCATCCAATCTTCAAGCACAATCTTGCTAACCAGGTGCCATTGTTGTTCTATCGTCTGCTGTCAATCAATCAAAATAATGGGGCAAATTCGTTTTCAAATTAAATTACGGGATGGTAATCACATTATAATTCACATAATTTTCATATGATTCTCTTCATATTCATACTAATTGCGAACTCATTATGTTACGTACATGTGGATCAAATTGCTTCCTCTCACTTCATCAAAGTATTTACGTATAAATTTTTGCACTCCAACTTAAACCAGATCCTCATTAGGTTCACTTCTCTCTCACTTTGTTTGAAAAGTTAATGACTTTTAGCCACAAGCGCACAATTAGTTCTCGGTCCACTAATTAATCATTAATCCGGATTAGATTCGCCGGTAGGTGAATTTCCTCCTCCTCCTCCTCCAATATTTTTCAAATTGCATTCGACACCAAATTTACAAACCGTCGTCGTCGTGTTCGTCGTCACTACGTAGCTTTTTATATATACTCAATCAATGGCAAACGGTATAATTTTTGATCGGATGGTTGATGATCGAGTAGTGAGTGAGTGAGCAGCAGAATTAGTAGTTTAACTCTTTTTTTTCTCGTATCTGCAATGATGATGATGATGAGACTTGTTCTGAAGACGAAGAACCAAGTTTTAAGCCTGTAGATCACTGCTGGTGGTTTGGTTCGTGGTACAGGAATGAAGATTCAATTGAACATTCAAACTCGTAAAGAGCTGATCTTCTTCACTGGTACCTGCACATTGGATGAATTGCATACGCCAAGTTTTACGTGTACACTACACATACCTCCTCGCACCACCTCAGATTCAGGTGTGGGATCACATCAGACATGTATCTAGCTAGCTAAGCTAACTTACCTGAATAGTATTCGATTCAAAGTTAAAATAATGCAAAAAAGCATCCGTTCTGTTCACACAACGCGTGACGTGTCGATGTCGAGGTGAAAAGTGGGATCTGGCAGGATACGAAATGTGACCACTTTGCTTGTGAAGCGTCTCTCTAGCAAAGTAGCCGAGTATAAAGTGGTTTCCATTCTTTTTCATGGGTACATATCTACTATCTACCTGTTGCGTAGGCATTGTTGGTTTGGTTCGTAATAATGGTGGTGGTGGAAGGATAGGATCCTGATCTGATCTTGGGTTTAGCTCTGTGTATGTGGATGTAATAAAAAGTGTAAAAAGAGGATCAACCCCGAGACTATACGAAATAATCCAATCCACCCCTTCATCCGTTGTTGCCGTTAACTATTACATCAACACAATACAGGTTGCACGGAGGGGCTCGATTTATGTGGTAGTGAGCCGTTGATATGATGATTCGGCGTGGCGTGGGTAGCAGGAGTTCATAATGTGAAGGCACCACCAGACAATTTTTATGTACAATTTGTGTGTACAGTGTGTGGCATGGCATGGCATGGGATTTTTTATAGGGCAGGTTAAACCTGGTAGTATTAAACAGGATTCAATGTTCGCCATGTCGTGTAAAGTAAAAAGCCTTGTTCGTCGTGTGTTTCATGTTTCCCACTAATTCTACATATTAGAGGAGGATGAGGACAATCGTGCCAACAACAATGGGAAGAGACGGTATGAATGATATTGTTGTTTGGTGTCCGCGTATAAGATGCATGCAAAAAGTGTAAGACTTGCTTTTTTGGTTTTGGTCGAATTATTAGGGAAAAAAATTCATTCAAAATTTGGGTGCTGTTTGATACGAGGGTGGAGGAATGAAAATTTATTTTAGGTTGGGCATGAAAATATTTGTACTTTTTTTGGTTGAATGGAACGTCGAAATTAAGTTTTTTGTAGAGTAAAGGAACTCATTAAAGATGACTTGGACCTTTTTCTGAATTATTAGTAGTACGAAAAATTAAAACAAAAATCCATTCAAAAAGTTGGGCACTATAAAATTCGACAGTGTTACAAGAAACATCAAAATTTAATTTTAGACTTAAAACCAATTTTATTTTTATGACAGAATTAAACGCCAAAGCTGAATTTTTAATTACAATCAAATATTTAATTTATATAAAGATTGTCTGAAGCAGAAACCACAAATCAAATTATTGAAAATTTTGACCCGATTACGTAAAACATGTCCGATTAAAAAATATATTTTTACATTTAGTCTAAATTGAACGTCAAAATTTAATTTTTGTTATTAAAATGATTCTTTCTTACGAATTGTAGATTTTGAGATGGACGAATCAAAAGTAAAACAAAACACAAAGCATGTAATTTGCATATTGACATATTTTTAATTCGCCATCATAATCCGCTTCCTCTAAGAGTCACACAAATATCAACTAAAACTAATCGTGTCCACATTTTTGCAACAAAGGTGTGACCATCGCGAAACTACATAACGCCTACTGTCATGTAGTCTCACCCATATTAAGTGGATTGGATTTTGCGTTGGACATACACGATTTGCATACAAACTCAATTCATGCTTTATGTATGCAAGCTTGAATTTAACCCACATTATTATTATTTTTTATCCTCAACATTGAACACAATGCATAAAAGTGACACTCCCTCAGCTTAAAAAATGTTCATAATGTTCATTCGTAGGACACGTCGGAAGCAGTGGCCGCGGAAGCCGTGGGGACAGAGGGACAATGCCCCCACAGTTATTTGATGTCCGCATCATCTTCCCATGTTATATAAACCCCTCCCTCCCCTATCCTACAATGTTAACGTCCCCACAGCTTCCGCGGCCACTGGACTCCAAAGAAGATACAAAATGTCACAACAAGCCGTATCACGTCTGATAATATGACGATGAGACGGTGCCGATTACCTTTGTTTTGTTTTAAGAACCTCATCTGTTTTAAGAATGCGGTCGGTGGTGTTGATGTCACTTTTTTCGTCTAATTGTAAATCATCGAGATAATAAAATGAGACAAATTACGCCCAAAAATGGAGATAATTAGGGTGCGAATGAATAAACAAAGCGGAGGAGAATGACGCCTAATTGCATAATGTTTGTGGAGAGGAGAGAATGAAATGAAAAGTGTCATCACTCATCTAATAGTAATTACCGTATCATTTTATCAAGTGTGGCAAATTTGTCATGGTTTTAAAATGCTCCACCCATACGGCATCCTAAATAATCGTCGAGTGGATGTGTATGTACGTATCTAGAAAATATGGCAGAAATGGAAATTATGTTCAGGATCACTTATTACGCAATCCACCAACATATTTATTTTACTACTAGGTTAATTGGTTTTCATGATGGGAAACTAATGTAAAATGTTGAGTATTATGTCTGATGAGCCATGTTTGGTTTAAAATATGTTACGCAACGGGAAGAGGATGCATGAGTAATTTCCTCTTATCGTACATCATGTAAATTAGTATGTACCTACGAATATGGAGATGATAAAGAGATGAATATGGATGAAAATTAAATTAAATTTATGGTATATTATTCAGGTGAAAAAAATTGGATCAATTACAACAGCATCAAAATTTTATTTGGACTTGGCTTACAAAACATCTATGCTATTTATCCATTTTTAATTTCTGGAATAAAATTCTGATCGGATTTGAACCTTTCCAAATTTATCCCATTTTTAATTTCTGGAATAAAATTCTGATCGGATTTGAACCTTTCCAAATTTATCCCATTTTTAATTTCTGGAATAAAATTCTGATCGGATTTGAACCTTTCCAAATTTATCCCATTTTTAATTTCTGGAATAAAATTCTGATCGGATTTGAACCTTTCCAAATTTATCCCATTTTTAATTTCTGGAATAAAATTCTGATCGGATTTGAACCTTTCCAAATTTATCCCATTTTTAATTTCTGGAATAAAATTCTGATCGGATTTGAACCTTTCCAAATTTATCCCATTTTTAATTTCTGGAATAAAATTCTGATCGGATTTAAACCTTTCCAAATTTATCCCATTTTTAATTTCTGGAATAAAATTCTGAACGGATTTAAACCTTTCCAAATTCGTTAACAAGTTTTATTTATTGAAGGAGATTATTTTCCTAATGCAAAAAATACATGATAATATTTTGGAAAATTATAAAATCAGTACTCGTACATAAAAAAAACTGGTTGCATTTCATACATCCATGCCATTCTCAGAAAACATCTCTCTCTCTCCTCCTGTCCATCCCGTTTGTAAAAATGCGGAAATACATGCAATTCATTACACAAAGATGACAGGAGCCCGTCAGCTATCTAGGAGGAGAACACGCCTTTTCGCAACGAAATAAAATTTTATCACCCTTCACATACGGGTTTATTATTTACTTATTAATTTGCAGTTACAATAAGACGAAGAGTTTAACCAATTATTAATTTTTTCATCGTTTCGTCTTGTCGGCAAACAAGAGGATTTCTTTCGTTTAACTCTCTCGAAGAAATCTTTAATCCGTTCTCGTATCAAAAGCACTTAAGAGAATGGCAGCAAGGAAGATTTGCTCGTGACAAGAATGAATTTCAAGTGTCATGTCATATCACATCACATGTTACGTTACAACAAATACAGTTTCGTCATCCCGTAAAACGAGAAAAAGAAGCGTTTTTTATTCAATAATTACTTTGCTTTTGTATTTTGGACCGTATTCTTGAATGATTTTAAGTAATTTATACACGCCTCAAAAATTGGGGAGAAAGGAATTTTTCTTCTTCCAATTCCGTCCCCTTGAGGTTTCTTGAGATGAAATACGATAACATAATTTCGTATTCAAAAGAAGTCTTACTAGATAACACCGGACTCTTAGAATTTTAAGTAAATACAGAAAACCTGAATTTTGAAGAGATTCTTTTTTGTTCCTCTCTGCCAAGAGGGAATTAAATAAAAGTAATTGGTGTCTTCTTCAGTGGCTTGGCTGCTGCTCAAATTCTGTGAAACACGATAAAACTCAACCTGCTTAACCTTTACGGAAAGGATTAGCGAAATTCAAATTTAAATCGTATAAAATCTTATGTTATGTAAGTAAAACCGTTAGGTTGCTTGCTAAGTGAGTAATCTCTAATTAATTACTATACATTTAACTAAGAAAATTGTAAAGACTGAACCTTTAGTAATTGTGTAAATGCATATTAAATATTTTATTTTATAAAATTGGCGTCGAAACTTGTGAATAATTTTGTCAAGAAATTTACAAATAGGGCAAATCTGACTGTAAAAACCTCCAGTGAAATTTAGCTGAGCCCGAGTCAGGTCTAATCCGAGATTAAGTTTGACAATCTGACCTTCCAGTATTATTTTCCATTTTTATTTTGTATTTTGTCAGGCTCAACGAAGTTTCACTGGAGGTTTTAGTCAGATTTGCCCTATTTGTAAATTTCCTGACAAAATCATGCACAAGTTTCGACGCCAATTTTATAAAATCAAATATTTAATATGTATTAAAGAAATTACTAAAGATGCAATTTTGAAGCTTTTTACCAGTTAAAGTGAGTAATAATTAATTAGGATATCTCGGACGGACGAACAGACCCAACGATTAAATAAGCCCTGCGAATATATATAAAACCTGCTCCCAACTCGGCTGAATAATAATTCAAAAGAGGCACCGAAACAATGCTATGCTAAAATTGTATCCAACTTCTCTTACACATTACGGTCGTCTCTGTTAGTGCGACCAAAACCCAAACTTATTACAGAGAAGAAGAGCTCTTCTTCCACAAACAATGGAAGATGACGATGTAAGATTTATTTAAAGAAAGTCGAAAGTCAAAGCTCACCTCGGTCGCTTCAAGACACATAATTGACTGTTTTGTTCATGATTAAAAAAATAAAATCTTCCATTCTCTCAAGTTCTTGAACTCCTCTTTCATCCTCTGGGAATTATAAAAGTGTTGATCTAAAAATAAAATTTAGACGCTGTAACTTGTTGTCCACATTTGCTTACTTACGGGATGACTCTTTTTATGGGCTTGATATTCTTCAATTATTAGTAGATCATTTATTTATTTATGTTTGGAGACAGCATATTTTGATGATGAACTGATTAATTGTGTTCACGTGTAAATATTTGACTGCATGCGATTTTGCAGTTCATATTTTGGTTGGGTGTTTGTATGTTGACGAAATATTTGTAAATGTGTCAGAGAGAAAGTTGCGATTTTTATTTAATCCGCATCACATCTGCATCAATCGCTAAAAATAATATAATATGAGACCAGATGCATAAATGTTGGCTGTCTTTGTTGGATTTTTTATGCGTCGGTTTTTGACCACGATTTTTCGTGTGGTGGACGCGTTCCCTATTACATACGAAGATTTGTTTGAATTGGATTTAGAATGTGGATAGGAAAAGTGAGACGGGTTTGGGTAAATGGTTGGATAAGAGGATATTATTGTGAGTTGATATGTTGCAAGAATTGGTGTTTTTAATTATGTAATTAATTAAAGTTAATTATAAATAGATATGGAACATATTTGCATAAATTAGAATAAGGCAGTATACAAAAATTTTGATAAGTGGATATCAAACTCGATTTTTCGTGTCCAAAATTAGACCAATTTATAAAATTCATGTCGCACCTTTCTCACCTAATATTTACTTATTATATTCATAATGATGAAAATCTACAGAAATTGGAAAACGTACTTAAAATGAGAAGAATCTGTAAAGTTATCTTTGCCACTTATCTTTCTTTTTACTTTTATTTCATGTATTTTTTTTTTTACTAAAAACGCTACTTTACTCCTTTTCATCTTCTCATTCTTCCTAAGCTGAGTCATTGCATACTCGTTAACCCACATTTTTACTTTCATAAAATCTGAAAAGTTTTTAAAGAGAAGATTCCACCCCACAAATTTATTATTCAAATTCCGAGAAATTATAAAAAATTAGGTGCAAATTGTATGCCCATAATTTCTCGGTATCTGCCAAATAACAATAATTGATAAGGCTATTATCTTCTCATTCATTCATTAAAGTTGAATAGCAGTTAGAGTAACGTGTGTGTGCAGTGCCTGCGGAAGCCGTGGGGACATCTGGGGACATTAACGTTGTAGGATAGGGGAGGGAGGGGTTTGTATAACATGGGCAGATGATGGGGACATCGAATAACCGTGGGGACATTGTCCCTCTGTCCCCACCCTTCCGCGGCCACTGTGTGCCAATAAATACTTACCTGTGCTGCGTTACTCCCACTGTTCCTCACAAAGGGTACAGCCAATGGTCTTTTGTCCTCTTTTGTCCACTGTCACTCAACCATGTGGATGAATTTGTATTGAACTTTAGGTAAAATACCAGAGCATGCAAAATTGGTGGTGTGGTCTCATTTCAAATTAATCAAAGCTCTGTTAACAAGGCTCAAAAAGTAACAATGCCAAATAAATAGGTTCGGATCAAGTGCTGACTATGGATTTTTTATTTATTCTGCATTCATGCATTCTTACATACATAATGTTGTGCAGTGCGTTGTTACATTTTTACTTTTGCATGCAAACTTTGCAACAGAACAGTAACAACAACAATATGAGGGCTACTACAACTCGGCTAAAATAACAGATGAGATTTTAAACAGTACTGATTCGAAGAACAAACTCAAACCAGGTGTTTTCTTCTACGTGTCAAAAATTTGTATGACGAGCATATGTCATCATTGACATGTGTAAATTAGTACAACGTCATTAGCATTAGAGAGAGAGGGGAAAACTACATATTTATCTATGTTGGGGGAGACAAAAGATGAGCAAAAGGAAGACCACTTCAACTAAGAAGTGAGTGGATATTTTAAAAGTAAACAAGTACAAGATAGAAAGCGAATTGCTGTTTGGTTAAGAAATTCAAATAGCTTATCACTGAATTTGAAACTATTTGAATATATTAGTTATGATACAAGTGACGTCTGTAAATGCGGGTGGTACGACGATAATAACTGAAGACAATCAGTTATTAACTTTAACTAACTTATTGATATATATTTATATCTAAATTCCTTAACAATGAGTCAATCTAGTAATACTTTAACGTAACCTAAACACTTGTAGACAAGAGTTATAAAGTGACACAACATTTACTATATTACTTGAGAATTTAGTATCGATTTTAACATAAATGATGACACGAAAAATGGCTCGACTCGACTAAATGCCAATTTATTAGAACTATCACACTTGTTCTTTACACCTTAGTTATTTTGAAGCAATATTTGACTGACTAGACAACGCTACTGAGCTGGGCTGCTGTTGCATCATCAAGTTTAAATTAAACACAAATTATTACATGAGACACGAACTTAAGTGAAGATACATTTTTGTGAGTGGAAAAGTTACGTGCGTACATTTAATGTATTTGTGTTAATTAATGTGCCTTTTCATCTTGAACTGAAGGACTTGAGTATCGCCACCGCATATAAGCTACCTTCATCCGATCCCAAACATTGTCTACGGAATCCATTGCGGGTCGTACGTCCAAAATGGCGAATTTGTATTGCTCGTCGACATTTCCTCCGTCATAGTAGTCAATAATGTAGCGGACCTCTTTACCACATCGGTCAATTATCCAGTCGTGGCGGTCAAAGGGAAGTTCATAACCCATCCTGCAAAGCAAAGTACAAAAGCTGCAAACTTGCAAATAAAATATTTTAGTACAATAATTTTACCAGCTACGAATTCTCGCACGGGGTGAAAAATCTTGAGCTCGACCACGGAAACTTTTAAGCTTGGGACACATGCATTCCGTGGCGTGAAGGGCTTCCCATTTCAAAACTTCTCTCCAAGCGTCTTCATTGTTAACGTTATGAATTTTGATGATGGCTTTCATATCTTCGGCCTTAATGTCACCTTCTTGCCATCGCCATCCCTTGCGTAACATGGCATTCCAGAACATCTGTGAAATGAATCAGTTTAACTAGCTATTGACAACTTTAACAATTAGGAATGAAGTATAAAGCTTTTGATTACCTGTGGTGAAGGGTAGACCCATTTTTCATTGTCAGTTCCTGCTTTTGGAATTGACGATGTTTGACGCTCTATTGGCAATGGGAATGGCTGACCGGGAGAAGGTTGCTGGTTTGGTGGAGGCATCTAAATGCAAACAATTCAGCATATTTGTGAATTATAATTTAGTAAATTCACTCATCAGGGTAGATTTTAATTAAGTACAACGTGTACCATATTTTTAGGGTCCAAATCCGCAGTTTGTGGATCGTTGACTAGATGAGCTGATGCAGGACATTCGGATCTCCATCCTTGTCCCTTAAAAATGAAAATAAATTTATAAAATATCATCCATTTATACAATTACATGCAACTACACATGAGCTGAATTATTGATGATGAAAATGAAATTGAAATTACATGATTTGCTGGACACTCCCCCTTCGATGACGGGACATTCCCTTGACTGTGATGATGTGGATATCCGCCTACCTTAACATCACCAGCCCCTTGACCGTGTTGCACGGGACACTCGGATTTTTGAGATTTTTGGCAAGCACCACTCTCACATTTTTGTGGATCTACAACTGCCTGAGCGGCGAGTTCCGCGGCGGATGCCACGTTCCCCATTGTGTTTACAAAATAATTATATTTTTAATTGATCAATTTTAAAAATGAGTTAAATTTTAATGAGATTTAAATTTTAAATGCCAAATTTTATTAATTTTTCTGTGCATGGAGCTCACATGGGAATGAGATATTTTTACTGCCGCTGCCGCTGAGCAGGATTTAGTCTTTCGTCCCATATTTCATGGACTCTCATGCATTTCATTGTTGGATTCATGAAATTTTGCATGATACATCAATTTTAATATGATTTTAATGTTCAAATTTCACCAATTATTGTTAAAGTTAATTTATTTAAAGTTTCCTTAAGCTTATTTTAACCCTATGATTTTGTATTACTTCATATTTATGCCTGATTTTAAATATATCATGAACTGTGGAAAACACTTTCATTTACGGTAGCAAATTGCTGATTTTTGCATGATTTTTTGTAGAAACTTTTGGAAACCTTTGAGTTAGTTTTAGTTTTATCATAATCTCAGTTTTCGTGGACAATTTTCAACTCCTATGATTTTCATACATATGTAAGTAATCATTCTTCACAACCAGCAGAATTATATGATGACTAATAAGATAAATATTCTTTTTTTATTAAACAAAAATAGTATAACACATTGTACAGCACATTGTGCAGGAGGATGAAATAGGAAAACAGTGGATAAAGAAGATTTAACAAGAAGGTGATAAGCGAAAGGTACATAAATTACTTAAGACTTGATGACTGAGGAAAGTTGTAGAAGAGAAGAAGAAGAGATAGAAGATAGAGCACAGAAAGTGACAGATTTTCATGGTGAAGCTCAATAATATGATAATGATGATGAATACATTTAAAATCCGTATTGGGTCGATGGAGCAGATGGGGCACCACCGCCGGAAGATGAACCACCTCCTTGACCTCCAGAATAACCTTGACCTCCTTGGCTTCCGTACTTGATGAAGTAAACCTCTGGCTTTTGTTGAGCTGGGGCAGCTGGGCGACGGATCTTGACATCGGCGGTGTTCTCGCCCTTCTTGAGGAGGACGTAGACCAAGTTCTTGTGTTCGTCTTGTTCTGGGAGGATGACTTCGGTTTGGTGGGAGGAAGAGGAAGATGGGGTCTTGACGAAGATGATGTTGACGTGCTTGTCTCCTCCGGGAACTCGGATGGTTCGGGCTTGGTGGTCTGGAGCCTCATCAGGGGCGGAGTGGACGTAGCTGGGAAAAAAGGTCATAATAAGCATTGTTACCTTATCGCTTTTTCGGATACTTACACATGTCGGAAAACTTGTGGGGTGTGAGCTGGGGCACCGTATTGGGTATCAGCTTCAGCAGCAGCAGCAGCCACGAAGGCGAGGACCAACTTTAAAAAATAATTAAATATTTAGCTTTCAGTTAAGCCACACTTATCAAGAGAAAAGCCGATCCGAAATCCGAAATCCTATCCCGAAATCGTCTTCACCAATTCACGAAACTTTATCCTGAAAACTATATTCCCCTTACCATAACAGCCTTCATTTTAGTATTGATTTTTACAAATCTCTGCAGGAGATGATAATCTGGAAGAAATGGTTGTTGAAGATGAACTGACGACTAGACCCAAGTCCACCCCGCTTTTATAGGCGGTCTCGTGTGACAAAAATTGATAAAAATGTGGCTGGGCAATAATGAAGGATGGTCACTCGATGGGGAGGGTCGTCTTTCATTATTTCTTCTCTAAGGATGCTGATGGGAGATGATCGAGATCTCGATTCCCTCGAGGAGGGCCTTCCACCTCCCTTGAGGGGATGAGATGAGCTGCAAACGTTACATGGAAAACCAACAAATTAATGAAGAACGATCATCATCACGATGAATCAATGTTGCTCTTATGAGCAATCAATTAATGGCCAGCGAGTATTTTTTCTCACTGTTTGTAGCATTGTCAAAATAATAATAAATCCTCGCATTCTTGTGAGTAAACGTATAAAAACTATATTACGTTGTACGTACAAATGAATGGAATGTATGTGATTCTTCTTCATTTGGGTTGGTCAACCATTTAACTGGTGTCCTTTAATGTACTGCTTCATATGCAATACACACACAATTTTCATTTACAACAGTTGGCAGTCAATAAAATGAGCAAAGACGATAAAATGCAAAAAATTTGGTGTAAGCAAAAACTACAAAAAATCTCGTGTATTACACTAATTTCAGAAGAAGTTTGTAGAAAAATTCTGTAGTAAAAATTTCTTCCAAATTTGAAACTGGAAAATGCAGGCCTTCATTTTATCAAATTTCCACATATTCGTAAAATGAATGAGACATGCAGGTTGCTTTTTCGCGTGCCATTTTTCTCTAAGTATCACATCTTATTACGCATCAGCATTAATTTAATTGAGTTGCAGCAGAAGTGCATCTTCTTCATTGCAATGTTGTTTTTTTGATTTCCAAGAATTTTCTTTAATTCGTAGAAGAATGCATGTTCTGTTAACCTCTTGAATGTAAATAAGTCAGAGTTGAAAGGTTGAGGTTTGCTGATGTGAAGAATGTGGCAAAGGGTTGTAGAGCACGGATTGCATCTTCAATCATCATCATCACCATCTTTATTACTTATCCTCTTCTTTTTCCAAATCTAAATTAATGGTCATCTTCTCTCACACTCTTCATTACAAAAAGGGTTTCGTAATTGTGGAAGTGGTCCAATTTCACTACTTACTTGGTCTAAAAGACATGCACTGAACTACTGTCCACCAGTGGCCGCGGAAGCGGAGGGGACATTAACATTGTAGGATAGGGGAGGGAGGGGTTTAAATAATATGGGGAGATGATGGGGACATCGAATAACCGTGGGGACATTGCCCCTCTATCCCCACATCCTTCCGCGGCCACTGCTGTCCACGTCCACGTCCACCTCTCTTTTTATTTATTTACTTACTTATCATCTTTTTCCACTAATTGACGCATTACATTCCTTGGCAAAAGTTGGATTGGATGTTGTCATTCCATTTTGTTGTTACATGAGAATAGTGGCTGATGAGATTGTTTGTAATTGATTTTGATGATACAAATTGTGGTAATTAAAGTGTAACGGTTTTGGGTAGGTAGGTGATTTAATAATGCAAATATTTACGAGGATATTTTTTATTAATATCTACGAATTTTTTAGGATGTTCATGCAAATTAGTTATAGAAATACAAATATGTAGCTTGCTGTATGGGCTACTATTGGCTTGTTAATTACTTCCACAAGAAAAGTACCTCACCTTGCAGAGAAGAAATGAGATTACAAGATTGCTATAGTGTGCGACATGTGCTCCCTACTTGACGCCTGCAACAAGAAAAGAAGACGATTATTCTAATTTATTCTTGATTTATTTTGGCTGATGATCTTATATAAATTAAAAGGCAAGTGGCAAACAGAAGCTGAAAAACGAGTCCCATTCTCCCATAAAATTTGGATGAAAGGGAAAATACTTTTATAGATGAAATCCTTTTAAATGCTCACATTTTTTAGTAAATAAGTAATCCTAATTGAAGACTTACAAAAATAAATAAAATGTACATTTTTTCGTGTCGCGTGTGACCTCACATTTTTCTGCGTGTGGTCCAACTGACTGAAATCAAGTCCAAATTGTGACATTAAGAAAAAGTCATTGCCATAAAGTATCCGTTTTAAATTTGATATCCGTGAAATCCATAAAAAAAACATCTTAATTCAATTGTTATTACTTTGTTTCGAAACTTATTAAACGATTGCGGCAATACTTTTAGATTAAGGAGAGCGTGTAGGATAAACGCTTTTTAAAGGGTTGACCAAGTTTTTATGTTATTCTGCAGTTTTGTCGTCGAGACATTAAAAAAAATTGCAAAACGTTAGTCAAAAATGATTCATATAAAGTGAATTTCATTACAATATTTTATTTAATCGTGGGAGAATTCGATTTAGGGTTAAAATTTATTATCGAGGAAAATCAAGTGACACGATGACATGATTAGTGCAAAAAAATTAAATGACTACATTACATTTGGCAAGGTTTCTGCTGAATATTTATGTAAACATTGTTCATTGAACTGATGTGCAGAATTAATTATGACGATGAAGCGTTAATTGATGCAAGAAATTAATTGATTCAAAAGGTGCACCGTCCTTACGAAGGGCTGTAATCACTGTAATCATCATTATCATCATCACTTAAACTTTTTGTTCTTGAGTGTGTCCATTACGAATCGGATGGATTATCTGATGATAAGATATAACTCTTATTTTTTGTACTTACAATTTCTTCCAGCAGGTTTTTTTATGTTTCATCATGAAAAATAGAGACGTTTTTTTAAGTTGTTTTACTCAAATTAGTTACATTACAAGGTGTTCTCATTCGTACATTTTTGTGCTACATATTGTGACACGACTGAATGTTTTGCCTCATCTCGATCTAATTGGGGAGTTTGATGGATGACTACGTCGCCAGAATTTAGATGAGTTCAATTTCTACTACGTTGATCGTACCAGATCAAGTAACATATTTGCAAATAAAGATATCTACGAACGATACAAATAGTGTGTGATTGTGAAATTCTACATATTTAGAATTAGGTTTTTTTTTTCATTGACTAAATAAATTATGGCAGATTAGTTAGTGTCATATATTGGGTCAATCATTTAAAAAAATTCTAGTTCAACTGCTCACTTGTTCAATGCATGCATGTAAATCTTGATCTTGACAAGAATATGCAAATTTTATGATAATTATTATGATAAGGTCTAAAATTTCTAATCCTGGTCTTTCTTCTAGTTTTAATTTTATGAAATAATCATAAAATACATAAAAAAATTGAAAAATTGCAAAATCAAAAACATTGGTGAACATGTATCTTCTCATTTTGGCAAAAATTTAAAGTTTGGCAAGTCCACAATATGCATGTTAATCACCAAAATGAAGATGATTCAATTTTAATTTAAAGTTGACCAACACTTCCAGTACCTAACACGGTGTGTGATAATACTGCTAAACAAATTATATCATACAGGACAGGACAACAATGAGGAATCGAAATTAAGAAGATTGAGTCCATGCAATAATGTATGAATGACCAGTGATGATGATTGTGGTGCCAAGGAAGGTTAATTGGTCGATCGATGACGTATAACACATGATGAAGATTGCACCGTGACACTGACCAAATTATTTCTACAATAATAAATTGTCACGGTTTTCCTTCAAGAAATTATCGAGGTTTGTCCGACGACTCGTCATCTTCTAGTCTAGCCTGCCGTACGTGAATATTGCTTCGTGAAGACTTATAAATCCAATAAAGTCTCATAAAATGTAATCCAAAAACACTAAAACAATAAAACGTGTATGGCTAAATGATTGGAATTGGTCAGGGGTCTGTAGGTAGAGTGAGGAAACAGCAATAAATTATAGATTGACATTGAAATCTTAGATATTGATGGGTCATGAATGCATATTTTTTGGCTTATTAAGCATCGAAGGCAGATTTTCATTAGATGGAAGAAAAAGAGCGTTATTATTGAGCATTTATGTATATATTTATTTGCTGTGTTATAGTATTTACGGCCTGATTGACATATTTAGGTATTTTATTTAGCTGATGTTTAATTATTTGGCTAATTATGGACAGAAAATAATTACCCCGTGATTTATATGTATTTGCATACACAGAAATCTGGCCAAAACTGGTGCAGCGAAATTTGTATACATTAAATTTATTTTACAATCCGAATGCAAGTGAGACAAAACCTTGGTTTATAAAGGTGTGTGAATAAATTTGATGAAATATGATAATTTTGATAAAATTTTATGAATAAATTACTCTTATTAATATTTAGTGAATTAGTATGCTATAAATTTCAACGTCATGCTAGGCCAAAACCCATGAAATTCCTTATTGGTAAGGTTTGTAAAGAAGATAGAAGATTGAAGCGTCAAAACTTTAAGTTTGTTTAATTAACACCCGGCTAAGCATCTACCGAAACTTATTTTTGACTTGTCATTTAATGAACTGAACAACTACAACTAGTTTATCTCGTCATGCAAAAAGGTGGCATTTTCAGGTGTAGAATCGACTCCATCTGGGATTTTCATCTCATGCATCTCTCTTATGCAATATTATGCTTTATGATCTTGTGCTTGATTACAAAAAAAACATATTCCAACGTTTACACACTTCTTGCATAGTTGACCTTGGCAGGATGCATTGTCCAGCCTCGGTTTCATTGATATGCACATATGTACATACATCTATTCACCCATTCAATGTCAAATTCACTTTCATTTACAAATCCAGTGAAACCGGGTGCTATTAAGCCCAGATGTAGTAAGACGATGGAACTGGAAGGTTAGCTTTTAATAGAAATTTGACCATCTTACTAATCCTAAGATGGAGCTTTCAAATAATATCGCATTTTCCGTAATTTTTGTCACTTCATTCCTTTTCGACATCACTTCTGCTGGAGAACCTTTATTTCTATCTCCACTGATCAAACAGGGCAAAATATCCCAAGCCCAGAAACTAGCAGAGGTTTCACTTCCAGTGCATGAGGACGTTCTCATTTCCGAGCAAGAGTTTCCAAAAAGTTACTCGGGATTTTTGACTGTCAACGAGGAATTTGGGACGAATTTATTCTTCTGGTACTTTCCAGCCAAGGTAAAAAGTAATTTCAAAACGATTTTTAAACCATAATTTTGAAAATTTTCTGGAATTGCATAGAATAATAGTGACACAGCCCCCGTTTTATTTTGGAGTGATGGTGGACCTGGTGCTACCTTGTTGCATTCTTTTTTCAATTTACATGGACCCCTCAAGTTCAATCAGGATAGGAAATTAGTGCGAAGAAGTGATAATGCTACTCTATTTTCGGAGTTTAATGTAATCTATTTGGATAATCCGGCCGGCGTTGGTGAGACAATTGAATTAAACACGTAGTAAATAATTTCACACAATATTATGTCATTTATTTGCGAATAGGATTCAGTTTTACGGGAAATGAGGCTGGCTATGCCAAATCAGGAAAGGACACAGCACCAAATATTTACCAATTTTTGCTCCAGTTTTTCCAACTTTTTCCAAATTTGAAGAAAAATGATTTTTATAATGGTGGAGCTAGTTATGGAGGTGAGTTAATGAATGAGATAAGATTTTAATTGATTCATGAAACATCAAATCACTGCATTTCCCAAATCTTAATATGAAATTAAGGAACTTATGCGACCCTTATTGCACATGAAATTCACACCCAGAACGAAAAACTGGCTCAGGACGCAGATGAGCGAATCAACCTTAAAGGAATCATGATTGACTCGCCATGGATTCATCCTATCGACCAAGTCGACTATGGGACTTGGCTGTACAATTCTGGACTTATCAGTCGCAAGAGCAAGGAACACTTTGACGAAAAACGGGACGAAATTATCGCTTTTCTTAAACAAGGGAAATATTTAGAGGCAGGCAAAGTAAGGGGACTAATTAATCAATTTTATGTATAAAACGCCAACTTTTTCCGGGTGGGTTATCTAATTGATGATAACTTCGTTAGGCCTGGGTCAGTGTCGCCATTATGGACATCGCATCTCACACCGGACTTCCTTCATTTTACGACTACGTTGTTGACCAAGATCCCGAAAATGTTGCTTTGCTGTTGCTCAACCACAACTACACGGAACTCGTCACTTCGTCGGCGTTTAGGTCGTCACTGCATGTCGGAAATGATCAGGAATTTTTCATGTTTAGTCCTCAAACGCAGGGAAGGATGTTGGGAAATTTTATGCGGTCCGTGAAAGAAGAGTTGGAGGAATTGTTGGAGACTGGGAAGTATCGGGTGCTCATGATTGCTGGGGAGTTTGACCTCATCACTGGTACGTTAATAATTTAGTAATAATTTCTGTGGTCAATTAATGATGATGATAAGATAAAATTTTCACATTTTTAATATCATAATGATGATGATAAGCCTACTTGTTAATAACTTACTAACTGATAACCAGAGCTGGGTGATTATTGGTTTTTGAGGGTGGATTAAGGATTATGGATTAACCACAAAACAATGTGGATTGTGATTAAATTATTTCCGTGAGATTAATTCATGTCAGGATTAATCCGGATTAATCCATAAATTCTGAAAATTTCGGGATTATGGATTATGGATTAATAATCCGGATTAATTTGGTGATTAATGATTTTTACACTATATCTAGCGCAAAGAATTTCAACTACGTGGTTTCACATAAAAATGACGCCAGTTTCAATTGATATATGTATGTAGCACAGGGCAGCGAGAACATGTTGATTCTTCAAATGGTAGCTGACAGAACAATATTGTGAGAACTTGAGACTTCAAGCTACACTGTGGGATGAATGGAACTATGGGAATTGAACTGAGTAATCCAGATTGAGAATTAATCATGAATACGTAATCATGATTAGTAATCATGATTTGGATTAATCTGGATTAATAATCATAATTAGTAATCATGATTGGGATTAATCAGGATTAGTAATCCGTAATCACGATTATGGATTAATGAAATCAAATGGGATTATTCCCGGATTAATTCTAATTCCAGAAAAATCGGGATTATGGATTGGGATTAATCTACAAAAAACTCACATTGCCGGATTAGGGATTATGGATTAATAATCCATAATCCGGGATTAAAATCCATAATCCCTAATCAGGATTATCCCAGCTCTGCTGATAACTGATTACTTGATAACTGTGGTAGATATAGAGAAATTACATACAATTTGCATCTAATTTTTCTAATTTCTCAGAATTTGAATGATAAATTTTTGGGGTGGAATCACCTCTTTAAAAACTTTTCAGATTTTATGAAAGTAAAAATGTGGGTTAACGAGTATGCAATGACTCAGCTTATGAAGAATGAGAAGATGAAAAGAGTAAAGTAGCGTTTTTAGTAAAATAAAAAATTGCATGAAATAAAAGTTAAAAGATAAGTGGCAAAGATAACTTTACATTTTTCTCATTTTCCGTTTTCCAATTTCTGTAGATTTTGATCGTTGCGTATATTATAAATATTCTGTGACAATTAAATAAGTATATTTTTTTTACTGATTATTAGGCTCTACTGGAATCCAAGAAGTCGCCCTCAACCTACTCTGGTCCGGAGGGGATGATTTCCGCTCCCAAGACAAACAAGTTTGGATGGACCAGAATCGATACGCTGGAAATATCCAGTCTTCCAAGGATGGATTCTTGACCTATGTCCTAGTCCGAAATGCGGGTCACGGGGTCGGAATAAACCAACCCATCAAAGCGGTCGCATTAATGAAGGGATTTGCCCGTGGAGAAATCGGCGGTGCTTTTGATGACCACAGCTTTCCCGATCTGACATATCCGGTCGATGACGATCAACATGCAGCGAATTCTTTGAAGGAAGAATTGTAGACAAAAAAAAATGTTATGTAAAATATGGATACAACAATAAATCAAAATTAATAATTGGGTCAAGGTGAAGAAAAAAGATGATTCTTTGTTAATTTTGTTAATAAAAATAAAATGTCAATTATTATCTCAAAGAGACCAAAAAGAGATCAACTTTTTATACGTGATGGTTTATTGTCCTTGTTTACAAGTCTACGTTTATGTCATCACTCTCAATTTTTAGTAATAAGTCATAAATGGTACAAAGTTGCACACGGTTTGTGATTTTTATTGAGCAAGTATGTATCAAAATTGATACACTTGTATTTTTCTGTTATTTATTGAGTCTACTTTTTGTAATAAAACATGTTACCAAAATTGTACCAGTAAAAAATATGTTGTGGTTGTGACATGACCATTTAGAAGTAGTCTGAATTTGCTCTTTATGAACTTTTGTGTCATAAATAAAGTCACTTTAATCTTGAAAGTGTAGATTATACAGATATGTTAATGAAGTCTTAAATTGCATATTATTCCGAAGTTATTTAAGTAACTTTAGTCGAATTAATTAATTAGCGACACAAGTTAAAAATAAGATTAGTTGCAGGAGTTTTTATAATCAATTCGATCGAAAAAAATATGACAATCAAAGTTCAACCCTGTTATAGAATTTAATTGCTTAGCATTACTTGATAAGTATCAACAAGTAGGCTTATCATGAATATATTTTTTAGTAAAATATAACCATAACGAGCCATACAATTCGTGCGTCCTCTGGCATGACACTCGTACATTCGCACTAAATGCATTCCAGCCTATAATTTACCAAATATCAAATGTCAAACAGTAAATAAATCTAGAAACGCAACACAAAATGCATTCATACTTAAATTACTAATTACTAATTACCAGTGAAAAAATATACAAATCATTATTTCATTTTAATAATAGGAAGGAAGGAAGAAGATGAGCGTCATCCCAGTCAAATTAGCATCATTTATCAAGGAAAGGTCGCCTACTCCTTCATCCATCCATCCGGCAATTATTATTATCCTGAAAGAGTTATTGTTCCAGTTTTGCATTAATTTTAATTAATTTGAAGTTTTATTTCCATCCATCCACATTCTGATAAGCCTTCTTTATTTTCCTTTTAATTGGATGAACCCAAATTAGGAGAGCAAAGTTAACTAACCTTGTCAGTTCAGTATTATAACTCTGAACGCGTGCTGTGACGGCATCTTTTCCATTATGCAAAACCTATCAATTGATGACAGAAATCAAGTTTTTCCACAAAATGAATGCTAAATAATTTGCAAGTTTGCATATTTTAACTCCACATTAACACTCATGTTGATCTTTCGTATGGTACGTGATACTAGGACGAGGATGATGATAAAAGTAATAATTTTTGTCGCGTTATCTTATCCATGGCTTTTTCAGGCCTTTAGGTTATTTTTTGTGTTGCACGAAAATGCACTTATTTTTCAATTTGCTAAATAAACAATGTCTTATCGGCATGTAATTTATCTTGAGTTTGAGCAAATAATCGTAATTCACTCGCTATTTTTATCCCTTACGAGACGCCAACGCGGTGTCACATCGTTATTTACACGAGTCGTGTCTGTGTGAATGTCATTTTTCGTGGTAGGTGGTTAAGTTTATGTCACTTTTTCATGTACATAGTCTTACCATAAGAAGTGATAGTAGAGCGTAGTTTTTGAACCGGTCAACATAAAATTAAAAGGTCAGTTGCGGTTTGTATGTACATTCAGTGCCTATCATTGGTGTTGACCGTTTTTACTTGACGTCACTAGGTCAAAAGTAGGAGGAGCTTAGCTACACGCGCGCGGCAATAATTTTTCACTTTTTGCACGAGAAAAAAATGCACGATGTTTGATGTAGTGTAGCAGTCCAAGTACAACTACGATCTGGTTGCCCAAACTATTAAAGTAATCCTAGAGACAGTGTCTATCTTTGGTATAAAGGTTTCGGTGGTCCAAAGTCAAGGAGGACTACAATGATGTCCGAAGCTTTAAACACCAGAATAGCACAAAATCTCTATCTGACGCCGGGGACTTTGGCCACACAAATGACCTTCGAACTTTAGAGATCAGATTAGCACTGAAAAATGACCCTAAGATGAAGGTCTTTTAGATTAGAAAGCGTCACATGCTACAGATTTCCCAAGCCTAAGCAAGGGTTAAAAAATCGACCTCTCTCCCCAAACGGTACGGTGAAAAAACCAAAAAAACTAACGCGTTTACACATGATAATTTCTTTACGACAGTAACATATTTCAATAAAAAAACTGACACGTTTTATGTCAAATATTCTAAGGGTTAGCTGATTACAAAATAAAGGTCAAAGTGTTATCTTATCAGGCTCCATTCATGGTTTTGGGGGGAATCGCCGGAATTGAGCAAAAACCACCCAATTTCCTCGATTAAGGAGAGCAGATAGTTTTAAAAAATATTTGATCAACGTGCTGGTGAAGAAGAAACACCCCCTCAACTAGTCCATATTGGGTGATAAGCCACCGACCTTTTTGAAGGCTTCCACAGTAGCATTTACAGCGAAATTCGTGAAAAACTGGATTAAAATCCATATTTCTGAGTTCATTTGCACTTTAGGTTTAATGTTGGAATTTTCGAACCGCAGACAACTTCACCACAAAATATTGATTAAAATTGAGGAAAACGTCTGTTCTGGGCCCCATATTAGTGTCGGGGTCACAAAAAAATTTCTGACCCGGGAATGATACAGTTTGTCAATTAATTTCGTGCGTATTTTTGATGGAGTTTTCTCTTTCGTGACCAATTTTTCATGGTCAGAGGAGGAATATATTTTCAAGTTTAATACATGTTTTCTACTTGAAATTTAACTGGCTTTTCAACGGAATAAGAATAAATTTGAAATTCCTTAAAACTAACCTAATATAGTTGTCTACTCTACTATCACTTTTTAAGTTGAGACTATGTAGATTTACAGAAAAAACATGACCACTACTGCGTTTACTTTGTGTACGGGGAAGAAGATGAAGAAAGTGTGTAATAAATGTGATGGATTCTTGGCAGAATTTGAGCAAAATCAACCTAAATAATTGCAACGAGTTACAAATATTGAACCATAAAATTCAACACTTTCGCCCCAATTCTTTTTCTTGACCAATCTATATTTATCATATCCTTTACTGTAACATGGGATGAGATTGTGTGAGGTAAGGTTAGGGAATGTAATGTTATGTTATGTAAATAATTTTGATTCGCTCAATGGAAAATTATTATAAGGGGATCGATCAAGATCATGATAAACGAGGATGGATGGACCTTCGTAATGACTCCCAACTTGAAGTCATTCCTAAGCCATCGGGTATTTATAGGACGAATTTATACCAACAATTATCAGTTCATCTTCTCATTTTCATCTCTCACAACTAGTCAATTCTTCCAATTTTGGAAACCAAACGAGGAAAAATGAAGGCTTTTTTGGTAATTTTTTGTTCGAGCTAAATGTTTCCGTGAAAAATTTACTCATCAATTTTTCATATCTAAATTTGTGAATGTTTTTTAAAGATGGTCCTCGCCTTCGTGGCTGCCGCTGCTGCCGAAGCTGATACCCAATACGGTGCCCCAGCTCACACCCCCCAAACTTTCCGACATGTGTAAGTCCCCGTAAAAGCGATAAGATAGCAATGCTTATCATAACATTTTGTATGCCTTTTCCTCAGCTATGTCCACTCCGCCCCTGATGAGTCCCCCGATCACCAAGCTCGAACCATCCGAGTTCCCGGAGGAGACAAGCACGTCAACATCATCTTCGTCAAGACCCCATCCTCCTCCTCCTCCCACCAAACCGAAGTCATCCTCCCAGAACAAGACGAGCACAAGAACTTGGTCTATGTCCTCCTCAAGAAGGGCGAGAACTCCGCCGATGTCAAGATCCGTCGCCCAGCTGCCCCAGCTCAACAAAAGCCAGAGGTTTACTTCATCAAGTATGGAGCTGGTGGTGCTGGAGGTGCTGGTGGTTCCGGATCCGGAAGTGGATCTGGATTCGGCGGAGGATCCGGAAGTGGATTCGGAGGTTCCCTTGGTGGCGGATCAGTCGCCCCACAACCCGTCCGAACCCCATCCAGCCAATACGGATTTTAAACAAGAGTCATCATTTCGTCAAGTTGACCATTATTTCTTCGCCTTTACAACAATATTTACCACTTCTGCTTAGCATCACCTAGTCTGTTACACAATCTTGTCTTTAAAACTCTGTAAATCTTTTGGTCCTCTCGACCAAACTTCTTGTTCTTGTTACTCTTTTTCCCTTCTTCTTTCCACACCTGCTGCTGTCAATACCAATGATATTACATTTTTACTATGTATAATTTATTGAACAAATAAATTGAAAAATTAAAAAATTAAAAAATAATAATAATTCATTCGACTTGATCAATTTTATTATTGCGTGAAAATCATTAACGTTTTTCATGCCCATTATATTAATTAAGAAATGTTCCCAATAATTGACCAACATTTCGCATCATGAGATGAGATGCCAAGTCAGAGTGCAATAATTGAATGCACTCTCATTAATGCAAATATACAAAAAATACAGGGGAGCGCATCTTCTTGGCTAAAAGTTGGCAATGAGTTGGCCTTTTTATTGCTTGTGAATTACGTAAGACTTTAATTTCGTGACATTTGCCCTCTTCTTCGCAAAAAAGAGGATGCTGTTCAACTGCGACGGTAATGAAGTAGGAGATGAATCCAACTGGTTACATACCTGTCTGCACGCACGATGCTTTTTTCTTAAACAGTGGCCGCGGAAGCTGTGGGGACATGTGGGGACGTTAACATTGTAGGATAGGGGAGGGAGGGGTTTATATAAGATGGGCAGATGAAGGGGACATCGTGGGGACATTGTCCCTCTGTCCGCGGCCACTGTTCTTCTCCAACTGCAGAAAATATAGTCAATTTATTATCTAAATTAAGTTGAAGAATGCAAAATTAAATCCAATCCAATCCAACAATTTTACCGAAATTCTATTATTCATCAGTTACGTACGTGTGGGCAATGAATGAATGATGGACTATTATCAATTACCATTAAATGAGGTGCGTTTGATATGTGTTGCTAAATTTTATTTTTGCATAGTTTTAAATATATTGTGTTGAAACATGGCAAAAGTGGGAGTTTTTGTAAATTATGTGCATACATAATCTGGTGTAAATTTTGGATAGGAAATATGCCGAATCTGAAATAATTATAATTTTCATATTATTATTTACAAAATAAATATTGTTTTGTGTCGGTATAATAATCAAAATTCATGTAAAATCCACGAATCCTTCATTTGCTGACATCATGATTTAATATATGAAATGAACCGTCCATTACCACGCTGCTCGTGCTTTGAAGTTTTATCCAAAAAAACTTGAAAAGTGTGAACCTTATGCAATAACATGACTGATAAAATACAAGTTCAAACACATAATTATGATTTTTTTGCTTAAGAAAGATTTATTGTTTTGCACTCTTTTGTTTCAGAGTAATAAGTCATAAATAATAAAAACGTAAAAAAATAACCGAAAAATCTCAATCACATAATAATTCTCGTGTTCCCGAAAGAACTCGACTTTTCAAAATATCTGTAAAGAGCAAAAAGATAGAAAGAGACGCTCTTTTTTGGAAGGTTATTATAAATTATTGAAGAAAAGTAAAGCTCGTTCCTCCGACAAAAAGGAGAATATAAAATGGACCACAGACCGTTGGCAAGACTAGAGTGAGTATAAGAACAGACAACATTTTGTAAAGACGACTCTGATAAGCTCACAGGTGGGAGGCGACACACAGTTGAAGACGAATAAGACGATTAAACTTTGCTGATTTTTTTTTGACGGACCAAGAATAGTGGAAAAAGAGTAGAAAAATAGGGCAAGAAGTGGCAGAAGGGATGACTTAAAATCCGTATTGGCTGCTTGGGGTTCGGACGGGTTGTGGGGCAGCGACGAATCCTGAGGATGAGCCGGAAGATGATCCAGAAGAGGCACCACCTTGATATCCTTGGCTTTGTTGAGCTCCATATCGGATAAAGTAAACCTCTGGCTTTTGTGGAGTCTTGGCTTGTGGTCGTCGGACCTTGATGTCAGCGGTGTTGTCGCCCTTCTTGAGGAGGACGTAGACCAAGTTCTTGTGCTCGTCTTGTTCTGGGAGGATGACTTCGGTTTGTTGGGAGGAAGAGGAGGATGGGGTCTTGACGAAGATGATGTTGACGTGTTTGTCTCCTCCGGGAACTCGGATGGTTCTGAAGGTTAAGAAATAATTGTTTAGAATATTTTTTTCTGGAAATTTTGGAAACATGTACTCACCGTGCTTGACGATCTTCTGGCTCATCGGGGGCGGTGTGAACGTACACGTGACGGAAAGTTTGGGCCTGGTGAGCGGGGGCACCGTATTGGGAACTATCACCTCCGGAAGAAGAAGATCCACCATTATTGAAGGAAGGGAGGGAAGGAACTCCGTACCCTTGAGCAGCAGCACAGGCCACGATGGCAGCGAGGACCTAAAATAAAACAGACGATAATCTGTAAGATTATGCACACTCAAATTTTCCAAAAAATCTTATTACCAAAAGGAATTTCATGTTGAAGATTTTTAAAAAATCAAGTCAAAGACTCGAGCAAATGAGATGATTCTGTTCTTGGAAGGAAGGATACCGTGCAACTGATAAAGTGGTCGTGAGCCGGCCCGCTATTTAAAGGAGTCGCGACATCGTCCTGACCGTGATCCCAAAGATACCATGAAGCAAGAATATAAATCCACAACTAACTAAACGTATGTAGCATCTGCAAGTCAAAGATTACCAAGTGTCATGTCATTTATAAGTAAGTAAGTAAGCGAATAGTAGTTATTTTGCTGGTATAAATTGTAATTGTGTGTGGGTATAGGTGATGATGAGTCTGAGTCAGGTTGCCTAACTTTACTTCATTCAAAATTCAAACATAATTTAATAGCAGGGTGTATGTACGTAATGTGGTGTAGGTATGTACATACATAAGTACATTGTTATTATTATTATACCGTTGAAACTAAAAGTGACCCAAGTAGTCAAGAAATCAACCCCAATGAACTGAACCAGAGGCGATATTCATAAAGTGGTATCCAAACAAAGCGTCAAATTCCCAGCGTGACGTGGTCATTCATAACGGAATTAATATGCAGACCGGTCTACTACATATCTGTCTCATGACTAGATTATTAATCGTATTAAAATTATCCCGATTTTGAATTTATGACAAAAAATGTATAACAAAATCCATGTATAAAAAAGACCAGACCACACAGAGAAGATTTACGGAATTGCGAAAATTTTTGCATATACATATTGTTCAAATCAGTTTACCATTTAATCTTGTATCCATTGAGCCAGAAGGATTGTAGGCTGGGCATATCATCTCCTTAAAAAAGTTGGAAATTATAATTTTTTTGACAAAAACGCACCTATGTACACAAAATTCTGTGTATTTGCAACATTGTATGCACTCGCATGCTGCATCTCATCATCACATCACACACTTATCATACATATATTTGGGTAAGCACACATATTACTTAGGACATGATTAGTCCGCCCATTATCACAAGTTTATTTGCCTCTTACATCCATCTTACACCTTTGATTATTACACACAAATAATTATTACCTTTCTTCATCACATGTTCGGTATTGCATTGCAAATTAGATGACAGCAGAGCACGCTTACAGGTATTTGCTTGCAATAATAACGAACTAACCAACGGTAGTTGTACATGTTTCGTTATCAGAATAAATAACATTTCCTAAAGGCTTATCATCATTTTGGGATCAAAAAGTGAACATCGAATATTTGCTTATTTACCTCAAAAACTGCTATTATTTTAAAGGTGAACTGTTATTATAATGGTCACATCGTCATCGTCTTGTGTGTAATGGGATGTTGAGCAATTTTAATAAATTTGATATTTTTTGCAATGCAATTCAAGTACCCACCCCATCGTCGGGACAGGACAGGAGGGATGACGGATGGAGAAATGAAGAATGATCTGTACGTGTTAGTAATGCAATTTAATAAGAGGATGTGAAATAAATATTAATTTTTGGCAATAAATTTCAAGGAGCAATTAACATTGCTTTGTTGTAGAAAATGACACGTATTGTAAAACCTTTGGGCTTTTGGCTACAAGGCCTAACTGACCGATCGTCAATAAATCGTTTCCACATCGAGAGAAAAATTACAGAAGTAAAAAATGCAAATTTTATTACTTGTTGAAATTTATTTTTCTTTGTTTTTCCAATTTTGGTTATGGTTTTGGAATAAGTAAATAACATGAGATTTAGTAGTAGATAAATATAGAATTTATGATTTATATGATTCTGAACATGTTTTTTATAAGTTTTTCATGAAAAATATTTCAATTGTCAATGTAATTGTCGGCTCAATTTTATGCGACATTTTGCCAATTATTTGAAAACTGCCAATCAATCAATCAATCATGCAATGCAGAAAGAATCATTTAATTAATCTCCTTGACCAGCCGACAAGAAATATAAGTAAGTAATACAAGAATACTTAACTTGACATTTTGCGACATTGAAATCTTCTTCATAACGATTACAACAATAATGAGCCATTGTTGCTTTACTTGTTTCTAAAGAAAATGGTACATACATTGTTGCGACGAATAGTGCCATTTCTACCAGTACAAATTAACCTCCAATGTCATGGGAGGTAACGCCCCTTCAAATACTTCTTTTCATTTCCAACCTCGTTGTTGTTATTTTTGTAGCTTAATTACCATGAAACACTTGTAATTTCATTTCATACTGCTTAAAAAACTAAACTGTTCAATTACTTCATCTCAATTTTCATGCGTTCTGATCAGAGCTGGGATAATCCTGATTAAGGATTATGGATTTTAATCCCGGATTATGGATTATTAATCCATAATCCCTAATCCGGCAATGTGAGTTTTTTGTAGATTAATCCCAATCCATAATCCCGATTTTTCTGGAATTAGAATTAATCCGGGAATAATCCCATTTGATTTAATTAATCCATAATCGTGATTACGGATTACTAATCCTGATTAATCCCAATCATGATTACTAATCATGATTATTAATCCAGATTAATCCAAATCATGATTACTAATCATGATTACGTATTCATGATTAATTCTCAATCTGGATTACTCAGTTCAATTCCCATAGTTCCATTCATCCCACAGTGTAGCTTGAAGTCTCAAGTTCTCACAATGTTGTTCTGTCAGCTACCATTTGAAGATTCAACATGTTCTCGCTGCCCTGTGCTACATACATATCATTTTTATGTGAAACCACGTAGTTGAAATTTTTTGCGCTAGATATAGTGAAAAATCATTAATAACCAAATTAATCCGGATTATTAATCCATCATCCATAATCCCGAAATTTTCAGAATTTATGGATTAATCCGGATTAATCCTGACATGAATTAATCTCACGAAAATAATTTAATCACAATCCACATTGTTTTGTGGTTAATCCATAATCCTTAATCCACCCTCAAAAACCAATAATCACCCAGCTCTGGTTCTGATTGAAAAATGAATTTACATTTTTGATTTTTGATTTTTTTTTTCAGAATTATGTATCATTTACGTAATTGTGTATGCATTTATGTATCTCGTTGTTATGTTAGATTGAAGATGAGAAGTTGGTGCAGTTTTTGGTGACACTTGTTCTTCGTGTTCTTCATCAGTAATCCAATCACACACATATTTGATTATTATAATCATGCGACAATCTGCTTAATGAAGGAGATGATTTGTTCATTACGTGTTTACTCGTTGTGCTCTTGGATGATAGGATTCATGTTACACGGCTGATTTATGACAGGAAGAAGAAAAAATTGTAAAAGATTTTAGAAAAAGTAAAATAAAATTGATAAATATATGGTAAATTTTAGCGTTGATTGTAAGTTTTTTGAAGAATTGGTATTATTTTTAGCAATAAAAGATTGAACAAACTTTGAGATTCAAAATTAAAACAAATTTTTCTCAACCTTTTTTTTAATTTTTAAAATACTTAACCTTGTACTTGATTGAAAACAAAAAAATGCGTAATATACATGGCTCATCATTGTTTACATATTAATTCAAGTGCAATCAGCAATGCATATGCAGTCATTTAACAACTTTTACTAGTTTACAGTTACACAAAAATCCATTCTTAATCCTTCTAAAGTTCATTCATAACATGATATTTTTTATGCAATGTGTTCTCCTCAGTACGATCCACACTTCAAACGCTAAATGTTGTTCAAAGGATAATCTTGAACAATAAAAAACAATAGTATGCACCGCCAAAACTACTTAAACATTAATTCACACACCTTTTATTCTCCTTTTCAAGTTGCTGCATTGGATTACATTTTTATTTTTTTTTGCTTGTGAGCGTCATCATTTCATTCATATCTGTTTACACGAAAGGTTTTCCTTCAAGCTCAGCTTTAGCCTCAAGTATTGTAAGTAAAACTATTTTTTGTGTGTGACACAGGATGAATTTTGTAATGCAATAATTCCTCCACAGTTATCTGTCAAGTGACAAATAGCCGACTAATAAGGTAACGAATGCAATAATTCTGCACCACTTGGTGCCCTTCTTCTTCTTTTAGCGTGGAGTGAATGATATGATCCACTTGATGGACAGTGGCCGCGGAAGCGTGGGGACTGAGGGGCAATGTCCCCACGATTATTTATTAAGGGGTGAAGCTAAGCGAAATACCTTTATGGGAATTCTTGTCCGTCTGTCCGTCTGTATCCACGATAATTTTTGAACGAGTTCGAATTTCGACATGTGGTTTTCGCCAAGGTATTTCTAATTTTTGAAGTACGAATGAATTCGAAGATGGGCGTTGTAGGTCATAAGGTCACGGCGCCACGGATGTCGAATTTTTTGTTTTGACCTTTTAGTTTAAGCGGGGATTTCAAAAATCGACACAGTTTTTACGTGCCATGACCGCGTGATCATGTCGCATGTTAATGTCCCCAGATGTCCCCACGGCTTCCGCGGCCAGTGGAGATGGATACATATATTTTTGACCAACATATAACCAAACCAAACCACCAATTGACCACCATTGACCTGCCACAGCTCACTCACTCAGCAGGGGTTAAGCAGTTTACATTCGTGTAATTTAATTTGATTCAATCTTAAATGATTGCTTTTCATTTTTGAGGCAATTCTATTCTGTGTGTGTCCAAATTACACACAAAGCATGCAGCAGAGGTGAATGTGACACTTGAAATAAATAAAATGAGGCTTGCTTCGCTGTGATTTGATTACTAATTAATGAGCCAGTTGGTCAGTTAGGGATGCATTTCTGTTAAAGAAGAGCAGGTTGAGGGAGATTTTGAGATAAGCATTTTTTTAAGTGTTCTTGTTCTCGGCTCGTGCTAAGAATTTTATAGAATTGTTGTTGACTTGACCGTCAGTCACTTTTTGGCTTCTGCTATTAATACGAGATTTTTTGTGTAAGTAACTATAAGAAAATGTGTGATGGTCAAATGTCATGCTGGCATATTTTATGATGAATATGAAAAGTTTGTATTTACACAGGCTTGTCACTTCCTCTTGTAAAGTCAGAAAAGAAGTGCTATTTTTGGTATTTATGAGTAATTGTCGCAAAATTTGGAAGGATCTGTGCAAAAAAAAGGTGTGTGCAGTCCAGAGCAATTAATAACCTAGGTATCGACTAATTTTCATATTTTTGGATTGGTTTGACGTCACTGCAAGGTTTTTGCAGTTAGAGAGTTGATTTAGGATTAATTAGATCGCAACACGGGTTGTACCTTTATTAGAATTTTTGAAGTCTACAGTTCAGACTTGATGTAGCCCGAGTCAGGCAAAATTGTGGGTATCACCAAATCCGATTTTTTTGCATGCAATTTTGTCGTAAATGCATATCAATAAATTTTATAAAATGATTTTTCCTATTTAAATTCATATTCTTCCATTAGTACCGATTTATCTAGCAGCCTGTGTAACAAACTTCAGCCTGATACCACAATTTAAAAAAATCCGTATGGGTCACCGGTCGTTTAACAGAAAGCAGAACTCAGCGAAATCGAATTTTTCATGATTAAATTATAATACCAAACATAATTTGATTGATTTAAAGTAGTCGTTTTGATCAATATAAATTGGTGTTTGCCTGTGCATCAAATTATTAAGGTAGTTTCGTACACAAACATTATTTACTTATTTCATATTTAGTTATGTAATTTGCCGAATTTAGACCAACATTATGCGATTAAAGTGTACTCAACGTACTCAAATTCACATTTGAGCAAACATTTGTATCTACATACAATGACTATGAATTTTTCCATTAAATCCTCAGGTTCGGTTTCTGTCCAAAGTTTCCGCATCCTTGACATTGACACTGGATTACGAAATCTCGGCATCATGGACCTGACGATCATACCTGCTTGCCATCTGTCCATATTTGCCAACCACAAACCACGCCTCACTATTTAAGTAATTGACGCAGACACCTCTAATTGTTAAGGTACGTATAAAATGAAAAGGCCATCTTCTAAAAATGTATCGAAACGTATCAATCCGACATAATAATGATGAAAGCCGTAGTAATCCTCGTCGTGGTGGCGTTGGCCGCGCAGCAGGTAAGGAAAACATTCTGAATTTAGAAATTTTGACCATTATTCGACACAAAATATATTTAGTAATTGGATTGGACGGAGTTTTAGTGGAAAAACGAAGAGAAAGTTTTCCTTATTTGACAATATTTCGTATGCTACTCATTATCAAGACGTAGAAGAAGATGAGAAATTTATAATAAAACTATTATAAATTAAAATGAAGCTATTATATTATTTTTATATAAGTCAAATATTTAAATAGTAAATATTTAACTTTTTATCAATTTCAGTCGCAAGCCATCAGACCCCAAACGAAGCAGACATTAGCCGTGGTCCCAGCTTCATGCATTCTCTTCAAACTTTTTTGCCCTGATGGATTTCTTTCTACTACGACAACAACGACCACCACGACGACAACCGCGGCGCCTGGTACCGTGACCACCACCGGACCACAACTAGCAGTTGTTCCTGCAGGTAAAACAAAACTTGAAAAATATTCGAATAAAAAATTACCTACATCTTCCCAATTAGAAAATTTAAATATCAATAAATAATCCTGCAGGTTGCTTGATTTTCGGGCTTGGATGTCCAACCGGGTACACTGGACCACGGGGGCGACGAAGTTTGGAATAATAACGACAGACAAAGAGCATGCAAATATGGGTCCATAAAGCCTAAAAAAATGCGGTTATCAATTAGTCGAAATTCAGTATTTTACAAAAAAAATCTGCACGAGATCATCATCAATATTATTGAGCCAACTTTCTCTCCAACCCGGAACTGCTTTCTCTGTCATCGCATCGTGTAGTGTAGTTATTTCGAAAAACTATCAGTATTTTACAAAAATTCGGGAAATTTCCAAAATAAAAATCTATGCACAAGATCATAATCAATATTATCGAGCCAGATGTTGTTTCCAGCTTTCTCTCCAACCCGGAACTGGTTTCTCTGCCGTCACATAACATCGTGTAGTGTAGCTTAGTCGAGAAACTATTAATATTTTACAAATTTTTTTGGAAATTTCCAAAATAAAAATCTATGCACAAGATCATCATCAATATTATTGAGCCAGATGTTGTCGCCAACTTTCTCCCCAACCCGGAACTGCTTTCTCTGTCATCGCATAATATCTCGTGTAGTGTAGTGTAGTCTCCTCTTTGATGATGAAAACTTCATCTCATCGTCCACTCCAAAACCACCCACACTGCCTGTCACACATGCCTTCTTCACTCCTCCAATTCCATGCAGAGTACGAATCGATACGAATAATCCCGTGGGAGAGACTCCACTAAAAACTTTCTCCATTACGTCCTCAGAATGAATTTATGAGCTTATTTCACTTTCACTCTGACTGACTTTCTCCTGCGTACTTTTATACTTGCCGAGCGAGCAGAGTGCTTCGTGGAGGGTGACGAAATTATGCTGATCTGCACAACAATACGTACATCTGGACCAGAAAAGAATAGAATTTGAAATAAAGATATTTTCGGAAACAAAAATTTTTGCCAATTTCATTCCATACAAATTTCATACATGTTCAAAAGTAACAATGAGTATTCAAGCGATCAAACCTGTGGACCAATTCACCTCTGCGACAACGCTGGTTATTAAGCAGAACTATATTACGTGTAAGTTTAAGAGAGCTTGAATTTTGAATAATTTATGAATTTGTACTCATTTTTTTGAAAATATTTGATCCCTCAGCGGACTATTGTTGCTGTTGTTGGTCCGTGAATGGAAAATATTACGAAATCCGGACTACCGAAGAGGACAAAGATCCGCCATTGTTCAGAGCTGATGAGGATCCCGGAAAGCCATCCATTTCCATAACGGATCCTGACGGCCTCATGTTTGTCCAACTTTTTGGAAGTGGTCACTGTCAGTGTGGCGCAATTCCTGTGTGGCATCGGGTAAAAATGAAAAAAATAAGTTAGTAATTAATTTTCAAAATTCAAAATTTTACAGAAAATTGACGTCCACTGCACCCCGGGACAGCTCGTTGGCAGTATTCACTACTCCACACCTTCCACTATGCTTATGAAAAATGGGGACGGAGAACCAATTTTTCGCCTCATTCGACAATCGCCCCCCATTTACACGAACCCTTTGAAACGAGCTTGGGTTGATTTTGGGGAGGATCCCAAGTTTCAAGTTTTTTCCGTCAATCCAGACTTTCCCGACGCTCTGACCACAATTTCACGAAAGGGAAGAAATTATACTACGTACGGTTCACAAGGGTTCAATATTGTCATGAATTTAGATGAGAGTTTAGACGTGGAGGCGAAAGCGATGATGTTGGGGGCGGCTTTTCCTATTGTACGTAAAACCAAATAAAATATTAATTTAGTTAATTATGTATTTAATAAATCCAACATTTAGGGACTGGAATACTACGAGGGCAGTGTTTTTGACCAGGATCAGTACGGAATGCCGTGAGTGAACTAAAATAGAGTTCAGTAATATTTATAGCTAATGATTTTTGGTACATTTTTCAGAATGTCCCCACGGAACAGTCTTCACCGGACCAGTCTTCATCGGACCAGTGAAACTACTTTTTCATAAAAAACTGTAACTTTCTCTGCTCGAATGTATACGTAGGAAAATAGTACAAGATTTAACTATTCTTCTGAGAGAAAGTTTATGTAACTTGCATGGCCAAATAATTCTAATGTTACAACAATAAATATTTGACTATTTCATAATTTATTAGTTTAATTGGCACATAAATTCTGTACGCGTCTGAGAAGACGACATACTGTAAATATGAGATAGGTACAAAGATCAAGAATTTAGGACAGGTTTAGAAAAAGAGGTGCAGAAAGTGCTAGAGTGAAAGTAGCAAGGATGAAAGAAGGAGAGTAAAAGAGACGGAAAATGATAAGAAGAGGAAAAATGGTGGCGATAAGCGTTCGTGGTGGCAACATAAATCTGTAAAATACAATAAGTTAGCATGGATTGACTTAGAAGCTTGGTTGGCCATAGGTGCTTGAGGGGACGGAGACTGGAGCACCAGCTCCTGCGGAGGAAGCACCATTTCCGGAATAACCGGCAGCCTGCTCGGACCCGTATCGGATGAAGTTGACCTCTGGCTTTGGTTGGGGTCGGCCTTGGGGTCGGGTAATCTTGACGTCGGCGGAGTTCTCGCCTTTCTTGAGGAGGACGTAGACCAAGTTCTTGTGCTCGTCTTGTTCTGGGAGGATGACTTCGGTTTGGTGGGAGGAGGAGGAGGATGGGGTCTTGACGAAGATGATGTTGACGTGCTTGTCTCCTCCGGGAACTCGGATGGTTCTGAATTTTAGGAAGAAGAACTGTTCAGAATATTTCTGAAAATTTTGCAACATTTCTTAGAAATATGTACTCACCGTGCTTGACGATCTTCTGGCTCATCGGGGGCGGAGTAGACGTAGACATTCTTGAAGGTTTGTGGAGTGTGTTCTGGAGCTCCGTATCCGGTATCACCACCCGATGGGGCCTGTGGCCTGCCGCTGGAATATCCACCGAATGGAGCCTCAGCCACGGCAGCGGCGATCAGGCAGAGAAAGACCTATTTACACCACGATAAAACTCGTATTATTACAAAAATTTTCGTAATTTTGAAAACCAACATTTTTATTTAACTCTCAAAATTTTGAACTTTTATTTATTCACGTACCAAAGCAGCCTTCATTTTTCTCGTGTGTTTTTTGAAGAAGAAGATGTATAGATGACAAGAGATGACAAAGTCAAGTGATATCGAGGAGGATGAGTCGCATCGTTTATAAAGGTCTCAAGCAGAGGTCAGAATCAGAAGAATACCACGCAAGAAGCAGCAGCCATGTCCAAATTACTGGGATCATGTACTTAATAGTGGTGATAATATTGCCAGCGTGGGTACCAACGCTTCCTTCCTTTTCTTGATTCATTCATTGAATCAATTCTATCAAAGTGAAGCATTTAAAGTGAGTGAATTCCGTATACTTGGTACCATTAGTCACTGCTTTTGGTGGTTCCATTAGTGATGCTGATCAGATCAACCTTCGAGTGACTTTTGACATTGACAAAGAGTTGGCAAAGAATTTCTTTCCACATTTCGTTCATCTTGTTGGACTCATCTTCACGCATTGTGCATGAGCATTGTTGTAGGAAGAATGAGAACTACATGTGTATATATGTACAAACAAACAAGGCGTCGTAAATCATGAGTAATAATGAATGTAAAGTGGTAGTCCAGACGGACGATATCGTACAAAATTTAAAGTAGGTTTTCAGATTAAGACGAAACGTGCAATTATTTATGCACTTTGGTGTAATTTAGTGACATAAAATGCACTATTAAGCAGGATAAAAATGTTTGATTCTCTTGATCAAACTCAAGATCTTGACTCAACTCGTAATGAGGCTGACGAATGAAAATATGAGAAAAAAATAATGCAGTAAGTCTAATATATATTTTGTTAAAAAAAAGTATTATGCAAATTCTGACAATCGTCTCATCACGTTTCAAACATCCTTGTTCAATCAGTTGTGTAATAATTTGTGTGTGGATTCGTGTAGAATTATAATTTTGAGCTATTTATTGATTTTTTTTTAAAAAAGGATGTATGATAAAATTTTTAAGTATTTTTCTGAATAAAAATTTACAAATTTTGGTCTAATTTTTATAAAATTTAGGTCAATTTTTAGATATCACCCAATTATAATTTTTCCCTATTATTAACTTTACAAAAAAAGATGCATGGTAAAATTTTGAAGTATTTTTCTATCTAAAAATTTCCAAATTTTGGTCTAATTTTTGCACATTTCACATTTTTGCATAGTCATTTGTGACCAAAAATTTCAAAATTTTGATTCAATCTTTGCATAAAATTTATCGAATTTTTAGGTGTCACCCATCACCTCTAATTTGACTAGTATGGATCACGTATTTTTTCCCCATGGCCATAAAAACGAGTGCAAATCTATAAATTACTTCCTAACCTAAGAAGAATTATTACCCAATTTGTTGACGTTTGTAAAGGTTACCATTTGAGACAAAGAGATCAGATCTACTTTTTTTACTCGGCTGGATTGGATCTTGGATCGCATGTTAATTTTAATTAAACAAGAATAAAAAGATTAATTTAGTGTAATGTCATTCCTGAAACAGAAGACAAAACTTGTTTCATTTCATTGTTCTCGATGTAACATATTTGTAGAAATTGTAGCAATTTGTAGCACCCCACGACTGGATGACATTGTGTGCGATGATTCCGTCGTGTTAAATGGGCAGAATGTTAATTAGATGGTCAAGATTAAAGGGCAGATACATAAATGTGGCCGATTTCAGACGTGTCGTTCTATTTCTTCCTATTATCATAACTTGACAATAATAGTGTCATAATGTGTCACGTGTAGTGCCGCACAAAGAAGGCGCAGAATCGTGTAGAGTACAATTTGTGACATGACTGATACATAAATAAATATGTATCAGACGCATGAAATGGTAATTAATTAAGCGTTAATTGTTTTCAATTTTTTAGAGAGATTTTTTAAATGATCACGTTACATTAGTCGTAATTAAAAATTGTATCGTAATTGTGTCTCATTTTAATTTTAATTGTTTCGTTCCAAACAAAATTTAATAAACTTCTCAGGATTTCGTCATAATTTATGAAAATTACGATGAAAATGATATTGAATTTGTATATTTTTCAAGTCTAAATTAATTTTTGTTAAGTTTCTTACACTAAATTCAATAGACTCAGATTGGTTATCAACAAATCCATTTCAAGTCAAAGGTACTAAAATTACTGTTCAGTAGGCAAAATTTGTTATCAAATTTACTATGAAAATAATTTTGAATTTGTACACTTTTCAAGTCTAATATTAAATTATGCAGAGTTTCTTATATAAATTTCAACCTTATTAGATGAGTTCCATTTCCAATCAAAGGTACTAAAATTACTGTTCGGTAGACAAAATTTATTATAAAATTTGCAACAAAATCCCATCAATAGCAATGTGCCAATAAAATGATTAAATATTTATTCACCTATTCATCTTTTTTTATGGTATCAAGTTAACAAAGCTACAAATATAGGCTTGTTATACGTATTTTTTGTCCAAATTCACCTTATATTATCATTTATGATCCTTATTTTATGACATGATTTGGCTGAAAAAGTATCCTCTTAATTAATAGGCGGCGTGGTTGGTGGTATCGTAGTCATAAAGTGTGGTGGTCGTAATAAGAAAGTGACCCATGGAGAAGGAGATGGTCGTCGCATTGCACACTTTATGGAAAAGTGGAAGTAATCAAGGTCTCCTTAAAAACTAAACTATCGACACCACTTGCATACTAATCACATTTCCATAATGTTGTTCGTGAACAGTGGCCGCGGACAGAGCGACAATTTCCCCACGGTTTTTCGATGTCCCCATCATCTGCCCATGTTATATAAACCCCTCCCTTTCCCTATCCTACAATGTTAATGTCCCCAGATGTCCCCACGGCTTCCGCGGCCACTGTTTGTGAAGCATCTTCGTTCCTACATATCTCACCAAAAAAAGCAATTAGTGAACAAATTTCTGATAAAATTGACAGGCATGCGATCACCAGAATTGTTACGTGATGCTGATCAGACGTGTGCATATCATGCTTATGTCGTTTTGTGGCGACATGTTTGTTTTATTAAGCAGACGTTTATCCATGAATGACTAGTTTGTCTGGCAAAGATAAAATGAGTAATTACCACATTTGCTGAATAACTAGTGACATTTCCTGTCCCCAAACTGGACTTGAGGAGGCGGAAGGATTAATTGCTTTCCGGAAGGAAGAGTGGATTTCGTTGTAAAAGTAATTTAAGAAATTACATATAGTGAGTCCCAGATTGCGCAAATTTAAGTGAAATTACTCAGATTATGTCTGATTTATGTAAATTTGTTACATTAAATCAAATGCGCTTGCAATAAATTTGTTAAAGGAAACGTGACTCCAGTTATTGGGCGACTGGACATTTTACATTATTTTATTATTGGTATCAACCAATGTCATTTGCATTCTCCACTTTTATTGTTTTATGATGGTAATGAAATGTGGAAGGAGTGGCGAGTGACATATCTCGACTCTCTGAAATATACATAGTTGAATGATGCAAAAAGAAACAACTTCCTGTCGCGTCGATGTCTCGTCTGACGAATAAGGTATCGCGAACTACTAAAAAAGTAAATAGTATTGATAAATATACTAAAATACTAAAAGTATTTTAGTAGTGATAAATTAGGTCAGGTAATTTTATTGATGTAAAATATTAAGACAGGCTGAAAATAGTTAAATAAAATTAACAAACTTAATTATAATTTGTGAAGAAAATCTGGTTCAAATAGTACGTTATGTTTTTTTTGCACGGAATAACATGCCGAATTCGTACCCTCATCGTCACCTGAGTTATGTGTCATCCTTTCTGAACAGTAAAAATTTCTGCAAAACGGCGTAGCAGAAATCTAAATAAGTATGTACCAAATTCTTTAGGCGACAGAAATTGACTTTATTCATATGTAACGGAAGCAAGAGGACAGACTTTTATTAAATTAGGAACTGCAACATAAATGCACATTTCATAAATTTTTTAGATTTGATAAACATGTAAAAATTTGCGTAAAACAGTTTGCAAATTACATCATCAAAAATAAATACTGGTGGAGCTTATTTGGCATGGAATAAATAAATAGTGACGAGAACGAGGAGGAGGACTGTTGCATTTTTAGAGAGGAAGTCCGTATCCGCTGGACGGAACATCGGCAGGGGTGCGGATTGGGTTTGGAACGCGGATGCTTCCCAGAGGGGCTCCTTGTTGCTGGTAGCCCCCTTGACCTCCTTGACCCCCATGACCTCCAGATGAGGATTGTTGTTGCTGGTAGCCCCCTTGACCTCCAGATTGTTGTTGTTGCTGCTGTTGAGGTTGTTGTGGTTGAGGTTGTTGCTGCTGTTGTTGATAACCACCCCCATTCTGCTTATCCTGAGCTCCATAACGGATGAAATAAACTTGTGGCTTGGGTTGTGGAGCTGCGGCAGGTTTACGAATCTTGACATCGGCCGTGTTTTCACCTTTTTTCAAGAGAACGTAGACCAAGTTCTTGTGCTCGTCCTGTTCTGGGAGGATGACTTCGGTTTGGTGGGAGGAAGAGGTGGATGGAGTCTTGACGAAGATGATGTTGACGTGTTTGTCTCCTCCGGGAACTCGGATGGTTCGGGCTTGGTGGTCTGGAGCCTCATCAGGGGCGGAGTGGACGTACCTGGAAAGTAGTTTTGAGAGGAAAGGTTGTAAGAAATGTTAATATGGTGTATGTCATGTTTTATTTGTTACTTACACATGTCGGTACACTTTTGAGGTGTAAGATTCAGCCTGTTGTTCCTGTTGTTGAGCTGGTGCCTGAGAGAAGGATGGGGCTTGTTGGGAGAAAGTGGGGGCGGATTGGTGGGAGAAAGTGGGGGCAGATTGCTGGGAGAAAGCTGGAGCTGATTGCTGAGAGAAAGTTGGGGCTTGGTGGGAGAAAGTTGGGGCAGAAACCTGTGGCTGAGTGAAAGCTGGAGCTGATTCTTGTTGTTGCTGATAACCACCGCCATTCTGATGGGCCGGAGCAGCCTGAACTGGTGGTGCTAAAGCTGGTTGCGAAGAAGAAGGACCAATCGGTTCTCCAGGCGTGTGATTTGGCACACTTTACAATTTCAAATAAATTAATTACTATATTACCAAACCCCAAAAATCAATTATTCTCCTACCCATAAATCGGTCGTTCCGTCGTTCCTCCTCCTCCAGCGTTAAACCCTCTTTGCGGAGGTGTATAATCGTACTGGGCACACGCCGCAGCCACCAAGGTAGCAATCACCTTAAACCAAACCACAAATTTTAACACAAAACCAAAATTCCTGTATTACACTTCCCCCCACAAAAACCTTACCACAAAAATCTTCATGATTTCTTTATCAAAATTTTAAAAATTGGCGAATTGACGCGTTCCCAAAGTCCTGACCGAAACAAGTGAAGACATTTTGGGAAGTTGGCCCCTTTTTAAACAAACTTTTCTCACCTTGGTACATAAAATTACCGTGTTGTGGTCACTTCACTGTAGTAAATACTTCATTGATATTATTTGGTTCACCACTTATTATTCCGCGTACTTGCTTTTTGTTAAAGTGCAACTTACAACGAAAATAACATGAAAGAGCGAAAAATTAAAAGGATTACATAACAATGCGACACTACACACACACTTTTGGATATGCATTTACTTGCATAAGACGAGGTATGTAGGTGATGATGGGTTGGGATGATGAGACGACTTAAGAAAGGTCGACCGCCCTGACCATCTCATCCTTACGTTACGTCTTCTTCAGCAGCTTATGGCTTTTGTCTTATCGTCACCCACAACTTTTGGTTTATGACTAATGGAAACATGGCACAATTATATTTACTGCATAATAACAATCACGCCGTGATGATGGTCAAGTGCAAATTAACTACACAGATTTTTAAACTGTACAAAATACATATATATAAATCATGACTTGAGTCGTGCTAAAAAAATTTGCATTTTGTAATTTTTTCGAAAATTTTAGTTTTTCAAGTATTTTCAAAACGAAAACTTATCAAATTACGGAAACATATCCACTTTTAAAGCGATGTATGGATTCACCCTCAATCAATAACCTAATGTTCACGAAAACGACACATCTCCTCCTCCCACAACTAATCAATATTCAATTCCCGTCATCACATCATCTTTTTTTTCCTACGTTGCAACCCACCCATCAAGAAAAATGCATTGCACGTCTCGTTTCTTTGATGGATAAGTCACTTGGCAGGAGGTGTACGTGTATTTACATAAGAAATGCATCACGCCGCATGAAAATGAACGATAAGCCAAAGTCAAGCCAGTCATGAGAGGCTGAGGTTAAACAAAGTTGGACATAAAACATGGATGGAATGCTTAATTAATTACGGTGTGCAGGGTTATTAAGTGTGAAATAAGACGTTAAAAAAATACTTATGATTGAAACAAGAAATCAATTCGCTTCGATAAATATTTAAGTAATAGATATGTAAATTGGAAAAAATTTCAAAGCAAATTGTAAAAATTCTGGGACAGATTTACATAATTGAAAGATTTCTCAAAGAAATTATCATTAAAATGGGCAATTAAGTGGATAAATAGCCACGTATTTAGGATAATCAGACATTCGTGCAGTTCACGCTGGCCTGGTCTTGGTGGATATCAAAAACCTACAAAAACTGGATACACGGTATGAAGTAAAGGTCAAACATAAAATAATATTTACCATTTTTTCGTCATCCTCTTGTTAAATAAAGTGATTGATTAAAGATTTCATTGAGCTGAATTGTATACCAGCAGAGGTTACGTAGGGACATCATCCTTTCGTCGCAAAAAATGGAGCACATAAAAAATTATTGTTATTATTGTGAGACGAAGACTTCTGTCTGAAGAAGAAGAAATAAGTAAATAAACCGTTGCAAACGAAATGTAGCAAAGGAGTGAAGCGACACGGTCACGCGGTCATGGCACGTGAAAAATATGCCGATTTCTAAAATCCTTGCCCAAAATACGTCTAAAACGATAAGTACAAAAAGTTCGGCACCTTTGACCGTTGGCGTCATCACCGTGGCGCCATGACCTTATGACCTACAAGGCCCATCTTCGAACTCATCCTTACTTCAAAAATTATAAACAACGAAACGGCGAAAACGAAAACCACATGTCGAAATTCGAATCAGTGCTAAAGTTTTCGTGGATACGGACAGATAGACAAACCGACGGACGGACGGACAAGACATTTCCATAAAGGGATTTCGCTTCGCTTCACCCCTTTAATAAGCAGTGTGAGACATTATCATTATTATTCAGATCAGATCATCAAAGATTTCTTACCCCAAGTCACAAGTGGTACCCATCACTCACTCACAAAGGAATCAAATGAAACGAAGGTAGCATATTTCACGGATTACTTTAATTAATAAAGTGTCAAATAAATTCCAATTTGTGCATCAATTGAAAATGGTACAAGAAGAGATGAGAGGGCAGAGGTCAAATGTGTCAAAGTGTCATGTCAAAATAAACGCTGTATTCAATTACATACATGTTTCACAAAAAATCGCAGGCGGGGTGTCCAGATAGTGGCATTTTGAGTGTTTTCTTTTTTTGCGACATAAAATTGTCATTCATTTTTTCAAATTACTTTTAATGGTTATCCTCCAAAATAAATATTTGCAAGCGCATTTTTTTTGCAGAAATGCGCAAATTATTCGTACATATTCAGCAATCGAAGAAATTCAGAATTGCAGATTCATTAGTAATTATATTTGCAAATTGCATCAAATGTGAGGATTGAGTAGGTTGATTTCTGCGACACGTGGGATGATGATGAGATGCGCTGTGTACATCTCAATCAATCAGCAAACATACGTAGCAGGACGGTCAAGAAGATTGTAATTATTCAATATTATTATATTACTTATTAGGTGTGGTTAGGGTACTTAACGAATCAAGGATTCGTCTTATTTATGTATCTCGTAGGGTCGTCATCTTAATGGATATTGGCCAGTTAAATCTTGGCATTTTTGACATTTTGTCACAAAAAGTAAGTAGTAATGGAGGTGGAGTTAGTTGATTTCCCAAATCAAGACAGCATGTCAACTTCATTACATATTTCAGATAAGTGTATCTCAAATTGGGATTCTCAATGCTCACGGCAAAATTTAGGTATTTGCACTTTACGTCTTTTTTATCGCGAAAACTTATTTACAACTTATTTCGCAACAATTTACATATTTCTTTGCAACTATTTTGCAATACAACTTAAACTAATAAATCCAGGATCGGGTTCTCTTTACGACATTTATTCCTCTGTCGGTTCTCACGTTTTCGGCCATAATTCTTTCTTTTAAAGGTGTGTTAAGTAAAATCTCATCTTTTTCACTCATTCATAATCTCACCTTAAAGTTGTGAATGAATGGGACAGCAATTGTATTGTATTATTTTTTGCATAATTTTTCTAGCAAATATTCATGATTCCTCCTCCGTGATATGGAGTTGGAGGTAGGTAATTACCCCAAATTATAGTCTTATTAGTGAAGAAGAAGTGCATATTAATTTTTATGATGAGCTGTAGTGCACAGACCTTCATCTTAGATATCCGTTATAAAGCTAAATATGTTAATTGTGCCAGTAAATTGACTTATTTTCATAGATTAACTTATTATTTTGATGCGCAGAAGAATTCACGACGTGCTAACAATCTCATTAACTGGACATCTTGAAATCTTAATTTTAAAATCAATTACGATTAAATTAAATAATTGAATTTTAACGATGGACGAGACCACCACGTTGGCAGATTGACTTGATTGATTTGAACCTAAAGGTCAAGAATATGGAAATTGTGGGCGATAATTATAAAGCCTGGTTGTAAAAGGTGTTGGAAATTTGGATCATTTTTTTATGAATTGGTCACGATTTTCCAACATTTGTACGTAAACATCTACGTCTCAGACTTCTGTCTGACATTGGATTATTTGATGTCATTTTGCAAACAATAAAATGAAATCATGAAGGAATTTGATCATTAAAGTCGCTTCTCCGCAGTAAATTAGGATTTTGTGAGGTGCATAAATACGCATAAGCAAACAAAGTGAACCGCACGATGTCATGGTCTTGGCATAGGATTAGTTTTATTGTGTTGAATTTTAGGATTATGTTCTTGTCCTGAAAAGCTTAAGGTGTTTGGTGAAGGAACGTAAATAAGCGTAAATTTGGGAATAAAATGTCTCCTAAATTTCATGAACTGAAATTCTACTGCAAATTGGAAAATGCAACATTTACATATGCAACTATTTACATATGCAACTATTTACATATTTAGTACAAAATCTTAATTGTTGGTCTTAATTTACCCTCTGAATCTTAGTTATTTGTTTTTTATCCATATTTGTTTAATAACTTTGCGACCATAAAGTTTTAAAAAGTCTGGTTAAAATGTCCTCTAATTTTCTAATACTTTCCCAAAAATATAACTTCAACAGTAATTCACATACTAAATATGTAATTAGTAATTCCTACCAAGAACAAATTTGGCCAGTTAATTAGAAATTGTGTAAAATTGAGTACACGAAATTCGTATTACGAATACGAATTATCTTCCATGTTAATGGATGTATGTACCTAAGAACTTCGGATCTTAAAACTTGTTGAGTCTAGAAAGCTGAGATAAACCCAAAACCGTTATTGACCAGACATAATTATTTATCTCTTATGCATACTAAACTAATAGACACTGACGAACTACAGACGCATGGAAATGAATCTAAATTTTAATGTTTTGATAACAAAAATCATGCTCATGTACATGGCCAGTATACAGAATAATTCATATTAAATAAAATTTGTCATCTTGAACCCAGTTTATACATTCAATCAGAAATAAAACAGTGTACCCCTTCCAACATTGAAACTACATTTTGTCATTGAGGATGTCACCTATTTAATTTATTAATCAATTATTTTTTAATGCCGTCATCTTGTCATTGTCACTACTACCACTCGTAAATAATTATAAATGGATATAAGCAGTCCACATCCCCACTCGTGACAAAAAGCGACCGAAAAGCCGGATTGTTTTCAACATTATTACCTTGAAAACATGAATGGACTCTTTTGTTCTTAATTTGTTGCTAAATATTGTTCATTCAGTGCATCATCACAACTTATTTAGGCAGCTATTGAACTCAAGTTTGCTGCGTTCATAGCGTATATTTTTTATCCCAAAAATGTGGACATTATACCGAAAATTATCATATCTTCACGTTATCTTACTCCTTCACATATTTGTTGTCCTCTATTTTACAGCCTTGTTGTGGAGGTGGAACAATACTGGGAGGACCAGCTTAGAAATACCTGTAGAATCGAGTCGTCGTCAGGTGGGGAGCATTAAGAAACGTTAAATTAACTGAAATATTTGCAATTTTGCACAAATTTTGCACAAATTTGCAATCTATTGCAGCATGGCGCCATCAAGAGAAAAATCGTTCTATTTACGACACGCTGGTGGCAAAGTCACTTTCCATATTTGGACGAAGCGAACCGTTTCTGCCCTCGGTGTGCATTTACAGAAAATCAGTCCTTGTGGAGGGATTCTGACGCAATTGTGTTCCACGGAAGGATGCTGCCCGACGTGTATTGACATAAATTAAAAAAAATTAAATTTATATGAAAAAGTGACTTAACTGCTCATGAAATTCGTCTATGCAGGATTCCACCACGCCAAAAACCCAACGAGCTCTGGGTCTTCATGCTTTTTGAAGCCTTAACGAATTACGACTTAAAAAGCATCACAGACAAAATTGTAAAATTTGACGGCGTCTTTAATTGGACCATGACGTACCGGAGGGACTCTGACATTTTCATGCCGTATGGGAAATTCGTGAATGTGACGAAACATCAGAGACCAGGGTACAATGAGAGTTGGGCTTTTATTATGGGTGCCAATGGGAGGCAAACGTATGAAAATGCGGTGTATCAAGTAACTCCATCAATCATTAGGAATAATTCAAAGTAAGGAATCTTTCAAATTTTGTAAAAAAAAATTGGATAAAAATTTTACTTGGAAAAATTATCTATTTTAGAAACCAAAGCCTCGTAGCGTGGGTCGTGTCTCACTGTAAGTCGAAGAATAATAGGCAAAATATCGTAGCCGAACTTCAGAAATATGTTCCCATCGACATTTACGGAAATTGTGGGGACAACCCGAAAAAATGTGATGTTCCAAAGGCTCACGCGTTGGCTGGTGTTGATTGCAAGATACAAATGCAAAACCAGTACAAGTTTTATCTCTCTTTTGAAAGTGATAATTGTCAGGATTACGTGACGGAAAAGTTTTTTGACATTGTGAGCGCAACAAATATGATTCCGATTGTTTTTGGTGGGGTGGATTACAAGGGAATGTTTCCGGAAAAGTCGTTCATTAATGTGAGGGATTTTAAGGGGGTGAAAGAACTGGGGGAATATCTCAAGGTACATAATTCTAGTAGATGGGGAGCACTAATAAAAAATGTCAAAGCTCTTCAAATGCAGATATTAATGTGAAGACGAAAAATCTCATGAGGAATGATATGGCTTCCTGAAAAATGTAATTGTCTACAAGAATCCGAAACCCTAGTACTTCAAACAAAATGAAAATTGAAAAATGAGAATATAAAATTCTGAGCAAGTCGCAACAATGCTTGGCCACTGTTTTGAGGTCGTTTTTATGTTATGTAATGAAACGTTATTACATCAGCATTAGGCGAAATGAATTTACATTTTTTGTCGGATTTTGTCCTTTGGAAAATTCCTTCTTGAATAATGACAAAGACCGTTCAAACTGGTGGGAGTCCCACGGTGGGACATTTGGAACGTTAAGCATCACATGTTATCCGAATCAGATACTTCGACGGAAATTTTCCTTTGATTTGAATTTTGACTCGTTTCGGACATTTTTCATGCTAGCAGAGGAGTAAACCTTTATTCCAGGATCTTCAGTGCAGTACAGTTTGAAACGTGGTCATCAATTTTGTGAATTTTGGTCGAGCACGGCTTCAAAAATTTTTGGACAGTCGGTTTCAGCTATATATTTTTGTCAGTTATTTTATGACCGTTTCTGCTTAGGACGTTTTCAAACCCATCAAAGTACTTGCCTTTATTTTACTATATATTTGTACATGATGTCCATACTCCCACCATAGTTTGAACAGTTTCATCCAATGCGTTGGGGTTGTCGCAGAGGACTCTTTTCATAGTTTTCTGCGACCCCACGTCGGACAGGTTGACAAATTGATTTGTTAAAGTCCACATTTCCTTACTCATCAGATCTGTCCTGTATCCGATAAATTGATTTTGGGTGGATTCCTTCAATAAGAAAAAAGTTACGAGTACATATTTTTCTCATAATATTATTCAGAGAGAAAACACATTTTCGTAACAGTTGCAGAGTGATTTTGCGACTTGTTCAGAATTTCTTGACCTCATTTTTGAACCATTTGAAGTACAGTCCTCTGGTTTTCGGATCCTTGTACACAATTACATTTGCCACCTATCGTGGTGAGATTTTCGTTTTTGAATATCTGCATTTGAATAGCTTGGGTATCCTTTATTGCTCATCCTTCATGTTTAGAAATCAGGTGAAACTTGTCAATATTTAAGAAATCTGTTTCATTTTCAGTACTTGGACACCCATCCTGACCAGTGGTTGGAATATTTTGAATGGAGAAAACATTTCTGGGTGCAGAACAATCGATTCGTGGCTGGTTACTGTGCATTATGTGATAAGTTGTGGGAGTTGGAGAAGCTTAAGCAGGAAAATCGAGAAAGTAAGACTTATCATCACATTTGGGATTGGTGGTTGTACAGACGAGATTCTAACAAAAGTTCGTCTCTGGCGTGTGAATAAAGTAACAGATTTTTGCTTAACATTTCACCGGTTGAATAAAAATTTTGATACTTTGCGTGTGTTAAAAGTATATTTGTTTCTCTAATAAATTGTGTATTTTTTCATGTAGCACGTAAAACTTGATTTTAATTTAGTGCAGACGTGCATATATTTTGCTCATCTTTTCGCCGTCTTACTTCTGGTTCTTTTAGAAAACTGTATTTTTCACATAGATCATGTATATTAAACTAGGAAATTTTAACCTTCTCTTAAATTTAAACCACCGGCATTAGCGGATTAATTAATCATTCATAAGTATTTCATGGTAGGGTAAAACTTAAACTAGTATCCCGAACAGGAAACGCAAAGAAAACATGAACAAATTTATGAGGAAGCGGTTTCCAGCCAGGAACAATACAAATGAGATCTAATTTTCTATATGCATATTTTGACCTTTCTAATAACCTAATTCTTAAAATACAAGAAAAAAGAGATGATCAGATGGCATTTATTTTGGAAAGGGTTACTTTATTGGGTTGTATTTCATCAAATTTTGAGTGACAATACATAAAATTTTGACTATGCTTAGGAAAATTGCACATTTAACAAAATGAAATACTTTCTTTCTCTATCCACACCTTTCGAAATTATTCCTCATATTTGGATCATCATACAGAGATTTCACAAGAATTTTGTAATAATTTTTTAATAAGTCCGTCATAAATGTTCCGTGTTGAGGTAGACTTGAAAGTCGAAACGCTCGTTACGCCGGAATCTGGTCAGGGTCTTGCGTAGCCGAAGGTTGAGCTTCCGGTTGGCTGTCAAGAAAAAATAAGATCAGTCAACGTGTCATTGATGAGTTGTCATGTTCATCTTACTTTCCAGGATTGGGCATGATTATTGATTGTTGCGGCTCCACTCTCAAACTCTGATACGGACAGGAAGTTTTGTCGGTGAACGAAACGTAGAACGAAGCCAAGTACAAAGTGGCGTGGATGCAGGAGATGAACTGAATTGATAAAATTAGGATAACCTTTGACCATTTTTTTAAAAATAGCTTGTCATTTTGTCACTCACGTAAGTAATGAAAATCAGATAAATCTGTAACTTTTCGAAGCGGCAGGGAGCAAATTTCCCGCCTGTAGGTGTAGGCGTTTCTGCTTTCATGCATGTATTGTAATCGGCGGCATGCTCATTCCACCCGAGTCCGAAGGAGGAGACAGCGATGACGATGCAGCCGCAGACAAGATAGTAGATAGTCAACTGAAAGGTCAATATTAGGTTAAAGGTTGTGCATATATACATAATTGTATGAAAGAATGATGCAACTCGGGCCTTTGTAACTCAGTAAACTCTGAAAGTTCTAATATTTCCACAGCTTAGAAAGATTTCAAAAGAAAATCAGACCACAAATAAAAATGTGAATTTACTCGAATCATATGGAAGTCTTATTAGTTTGTGAAATAATTTTACAAAATTTACAGTTACAAACACTCTCGTGAATTGTGCTAATACACGACGAGCATACTCACCAGTATTTTTGGTAGACGGATGATCCAACTCAAGACGAAGACGACAAGGGCCCCGATCCCGAGCAATCCAATGACCTATGGCGGAATTTTGAAACTCATTTTCAGCCAAAATCGGGATTTTTCAAAATGCTCTAAATTTTTGAATTTTAACCCGATTTCAAAAGGTTAAATAACATGAATGCTCAAAATTACTTACAGCACCCCAAAGTGCGCCGGAAAAATAAGTCGTAGGCTCCACTGGTTTCAAATTTGAATATTGCCTTTCGGATGGCCCTGAACTAAGCTCAGGTTTCCTGGTATCGTGGAAATCCCAGAGCGCGCTGTTGAGGTGTAGTCCGATAATGGTAAGAACGCAGAGGAAGAATTGAGTCAAATTGAGAAAGATTCGTAGACCACCCCCACCGTTTTGGAGGAGCGGCATTTTGACAAAAGTTCAGAAACTGTAGGAAATATTTCCGAGAGGAGAAATTTATGAATACAAAAATCAAAGTACTTTTCCAAGGGCTGAAACATACTGTCTGATTTTTTGAGAAAATTTGCATATGTCGTTGTCGTGTCAACGATTCATTTGGTATTTTTACTTGATGCTTGGTAGTCTAGACGTAGTGGAAGGAAATATTTATTGTGATCGATCTTGTCTGTCGATCCTCGATAACTTCTTTGGTTTGGTTTTCACAAATTTTCAGATACCGACGTCCAATTTTGTAAAACTCAAGAAGTTAGTGGCCAAATATATCGAAATTGAAAATTGAAAAGCATTACTTCTCTCGCTCTGTAGGATGAAAGGGGGGGGGGTAGCCGTACTAAATAACAGTATGAGTAAATAGGAAATGGTTCCAAAACTCTATTTTAAAGGGTTCAGAAAAGTAGTCGTTTTTCTTAAAACTGTCCAGAAAATTATGCTGAAGACGATGTCGTGTTGCGGAATGTTTATTTTTATTTTCAGCATATTTCTTTCAGGTCAACGTTTCATACATGAATAACTACACTGCAGACTTGATAAGGGCATTGCACCAAATGTAGACAATTTTAGCTTGGATAAACAATATTGTGTCCGATAAGCGAAACTTATGTATCTGCATAATCGTTCAGAGTCAGAAGAAGACTAATTGACATGTGCATCAATATGGAAATCAGGTAGCCTGGTTTAAATCCATGTACATAAATTACATGCTGTAATCAACCAAGAAAGCTTAATGTTAATTAATGTACTTATGTAAATCCTACTCTTCAATTAAGCAGTATTAGACTCAATGTTGTTTAATAATAATACAAGTTTTTTTCTTCATTTTTACAAAAATATAAAAAACATCAATTTGTAATAAGATAATAAGATACACGATAAAAAACTGAGCAAAGTCAAAAGGTCAAGAAGATAATGTAATATTCGTATACAGCGACTCGTTCACTATTCACTCTGGTTGATTATTCTTCTTCATCTTGAAAACACCAAAGTTTAGAAGGACGACCCATATTGGGAAGAGGGGGGTTGTGCTGGAGATGGCGAACCGTATCCTGACTGAGGAGGCTGTGGGGCTCCGTATCCTCCCTGCTCCTGATTCTTGTAACGGATGAAGTACACTTCCGGTTTGCCTGAGGAAAAAGAGAAAGGGGAATAATTTTTAGGTAAATGACACAAATTTCTACTAAATCATCGACTCACTTGGCTTGGTTGGTGGGGCAGGGTTAATCTTGACTTCCGGTACTGGAGGAGGCTTCTTGAGGAGGACGTAGACCAACGTCTTTTGTTCAGGGAATGGTGGGAGATCGATTTCTTGCTGTTCTTGCGGTGGTGGCGTGGGGGCCTTGATGAATAAGATTTTGTAGTGCTTTTCTGGTGGTGGGGGTGGTTTATAGGGTCGGGATGGGCGTGGTTCTGGCGGCTCGTCGGGTGCCACGTGGACAAACACGTGTTTATGAATCTGGCCCCCGGAGGGTGCCCCATACCCGGAAGAGGGGGCTGATTGTTGGGGTGGCAAACCGTAGGACGCCATTCCTCCGAATTGTGCACTTATCTCGCCGATAAGCATGCATAACGATGCTAACACCTGTGGCAAAATGTGTACTTTCGTTTTTCAAAGTTCAAAAAAAAAAGATTCTTATTTTTACTTACCACGAACGATTTCATCCCGAAATGATGAACCTCCTCTCCTGAGGAAAGTATAAAATGCAGATATCACAGTTTTTCAACACAACCGAATGATGCACTGACAGGTTTATCTTGAACACTTTTTAATCCACTTATTTATTTATTGCACATAACCAACCCCCAAAAAGTGATACGCTTTTGCTACTGTCGATTCGAAAGTTGAGCCAAGACTGGACTAGACCAAGTGAATCTTTCCTTTTAAACCTTTGGTCTGGTGCCTTTGAAATCGAAATTAAGCGTTGTGTGTTGTGTTCCCCTCCTCGTGTCATAGTTTCATCATCACCATTTTATCCTCTGCTCTATAATGTACGTACATACATACATAAGCCTACCAATAAGCAAGCATTATCGCCCCAGTAAGTAAGTTGGTGAGCAAAAGCCAACGTATTTAATACCTACCGTCGCATAAGTTCAGAAAAACCTTTGCAACAATTGTCGTCACAATCTTCAATGAGATCAAAAGCTAGCCAAGGCAATATTAGATGTGCCACGATTCAGAATTACGAAGATGCATGAATTGTGACATTTAACAGGCGAAAATTAACTTTTAAATGTGACTGGAGTCATTAATTTACGAAATATTGTTTGCCCTAAAATTTATTGATTTAAAGCCACGATTTCATAAACCGTTACAGATTATTGCGACTTACCGAAATTTAAAAATTCACAGAGTATTAGCGACTTCATTAAGTTGCAAGTTTTAGGACCAAGTACAGTTTTAGCAGACAAAATCAAGACTAATTTCCCTCATTATTACTGAAGCATAAAATTCCTGGTAAAATAATACAAAATATCCCTCCTACTAGCAGTATTTTAAAAAATTTTCGTTCTCTCTCTCCTCTCGTAAAACCCACCCACCAGCAAACTTTTACATACGTAAAATATAGTTCCACATATGTACATACATATCCACATGAAAACGTGGGAAATGTAGGAAATGCATTTTTGCATAAAAAATATTCCATGTGTCATTCATTATTTCTAAATAATGAACCACTTTTACACACATTAGACAAATTACATAATGACCCACCCGACTTGTATGACGACGAACGACGACACTACAATAAAGCCATCACACTCACTCACTCATACATAATAAATAATAATAATAAAGTCTCTTCATCACACTCTCACTCACTCACCCACCAAAACCACAAGCAATAAGGGATTAAAGATGAACAAAAAATAAAAAGATGCATAAAAGTGCGTGCGACTGACTGCCTGCTAATGTCTCAATTTTAAAACTCTTCTCATTCAGATGACCAGTGGCCGCGGGGACAGAGGGACAATGTCCCCACGGTTATTCGATGTCCCCATCATCTCCCCATGTTATATAAACCCCTCCCTCCCCTGTCCTACAATGTCAATGTCCCCACATGTCCCCACGGCTTCCGCTGCCACTGACGGACGATGATGAGGATGAGATGATGCCGTTTGAATTGTGCCATTCATTTTATTCAGTTTATTATTTATTCATACTAATTTTTAAAGGAAAGTAAGTAGGCGGTATTATTCCACATTATAAAATTGCTAAGTAGGAGGAAGTCGTGTGGAGGGGGCTTAAACCAGATCACTGCAAAAGTACCGATAGCAGTTGTCGTCGTCGTCGCAGTGTGTCAACTTCCTCACTCTTTTTTTGTTCATCCGTATCTTGCATTTTGCAGGATGATTGAGTGTTGTAACGAAAAATGCGACGTGTGCTCGATGAATAACTTGCATAAATAATCTATTTTGTGTAAAAAAAAAATTGGTGTGTAGGTATCAATATTTTTGTCATGAAATGTTTCATAATCGTTTCGAGGATGACGTGTCATTTCCGAGATTTTGTCGTGAATACTTTGTTTGTGGACGAAAATGAATTGTTTTTAGTTGCCGTTTAGACCATCTCGTTGTGTCAATCATGTTATGCAAGGGCGTAATTGAGTTGTAAAAGCCAGGTTTCTGACCAGTCCACCAAGTAATTGGTGAATGGTTACTTATCTATTTACTCACTTATCTTTAGGTAGTCTGCTCACAAAGACAATGCACCAATTTTAGCGCAGGAAAAACAATGCAGTTGTTGGTATTTCAAAGTCAAAATTGATTTGATACATGAAGCACAATTGGTTATGTCATACACGGGAATCTTACATTTCAGATGGGATGAAAGTTCACCTCGTGTCAAATTGATCGATATGCATGCCTCCAAGAATTATAGTGTGGCTGCAGATTAAATATTAACCAAAATCTGCAACGCCTTTGTCTCTACCTTTTTGACAGGATGCAAATTCATGCAGTAAATCCAACAAGATATAATTACGACTTGCATTCAAATGCCAGTAGATAACAAGTATCTGCAATTAGTCAAGAATCAATAATTTGCATTGATTGATTTTAAGATTCGATGAGAAGATCACGGATAAGAAAAAGTTGGGGGACTAAATTGATTCGCCTTGCTGATTGTGTGAAGGCACGATCCATTTATGGAAGAAATTCAAATTTTTCATTCAACCCAGTTGCAGAAGTGCAATGTGGAAATTTTCATATTTTTTTAAGGGAAGAAGAAGAATAATGGCGAGAATTACTTAAAGTGCATCAATGTCATAAGTTGAATTGCGTAAGGGAGGAGGATAAGTACGTAGTACTAAACTTGTTAAGAAAATCATCTTGTTGCCCAACTTGCCTTGAATTTGGGCAAAAATTGGATTTACGATCATCACCTTATGGTACTTGGTATATACGAATTACAATATTTTTCGCATAGATAACACGTTGACACTGACTTGTTATTGCTTTTGCTTGCTTAATGGTGGTTGGTAGTGGCAATTGTGTGAAATGATTTCATTTCTTTGTAACAATTTAAAGACTGTAAAACTCATTACAAATTAGTTCCATCCACTTACAGACTAACCAACCAATTTTGTTTTAATTTTAGTTACGCAACTTTCTCATCTTTTTGAGGTGACAAAATATAAATATGAATTAAGACAGTCTTGAAATTTTTTTGAAGACGAGTTTTTAAATGATGGTAAAAACTGGTCTGTTTGTGAGAATGGTTACTCCAAATTGAAAAATACGTCAATATTAATGGATTTTTTTTATTCGTTTTTTTTTGCAATAATGAAAATCATGTCAAGTTCGTTCGTTCTGGTTTTGATTAGGTTTTTGAATTTATTTAAATAGTTACAGTTTTAATATTTATTTACTATGTAAACGTGCACTCCTCTCTTGAAAAGTTAGTCAATCCGTTAAATTTAGTCATCATCATTATAAACGCAAATCTTAATTAATTACTTAATTTCACTTTCTGCATTTAAAGCCAATCTTCTTTCACTCTCTTCTTTATTATTTAATATCTCTCGCGTACCAATTTAATATTCATGAATTAATGAAAACGTGCCTAAAATTCATCCCTTGAGATTAACTCTTCTCTTCCCAATCAAAGATAACAATTGGAAATATCGACTTTTTAACACATAGGGTACTTGTGCTCGTCCACTTACTTGTGTAAAAGTAAGTATCCCAATTCAAAATAGTACTAAAGGAACTAAATTAAATTATTCAATTCACATCAAATTGCCCACAGGCTGCGAATTTAAAGGACAATGATGAATTGTTATGATTATGAAGAAGAAGTAGAAAATTGGCCGAGTCGGCCGAATGCATCCGTAGTTTTCCGTAGTCAAATAAATAAGTACAGAGTACTTTATTAAATTAAAACTAATAATATTTTAATCAGTATTCATCATGTGGCAAAATTATTATTAAGAAGAAGAAGGAAAAGTAGGTATTTCCAATTCTGGGGGTCGGAGGACCCAAAAATATTTACGTCCTCTGTTTAATATTCTAGACTAATAAATTGCAAAATATTCCTTATTTTCTCGCATTACACAACTGTTTTTGTTTGTAATATGATTTGATTCAGTTTTCATCCAATTTCGTTTCGCAAACCATTTCGTTAGCTCATAATTCATTTTTGTACAGCTTTTTAACATTTTGAACAAGGATGAATTATGCTTTGCTTTTTTATATGGTGCATGCGGTGAGAGACGCTGCTGGCTGCTCGGCTGATGAAACTTGGCATTCTTCTGTAAAAATGGTCGTTGATTTGAAGTCGTCGTTTTGTTGTTGGATGAATGACAATATAAAAAAATATGAAAAATTTATGATGGATTAAATCCAATTCATATCATCCATTCAGAGGAATATTTTGGGCTGGATTACATTCCATTGTCGCAGTGCCCAAACTTGCCTGGCCCGGCCCTGGGGATTTTTTAGGCCCGGCCCCATTTATTATTTGGCATTTGTGCGTGAAATTTTGAGTCTAAAAAGGTATCTTTAAAACAATTCTGATCGTAAGCAAGTCAGCAAAAGAATTAACAAGATGTCAATATATTGATTGTGTTGACTTCAACCACTTCTTACTTCAACGTTACAGAATTATGATTGTGCAATCTTTTTTGGAGGCGAAATTATTTATAACCATTTCGAAATCAAAGGCATTCAATCGTTCTTGCCAATTGTTGACCTCAGATAATTCTTGATTATTTTCATCTGCAAAATGGCCCCTCATTTGACGGAACAGAAATGGGCAGACTGAGAAACATCCTCAGTGCCATCTCGAAGTTTAGATACGCACACGCGAGACCATTAATATGTATATATGTAGAATTTTCAGGATATCCAAGGGTCCTAGTTTAATTAGGTCTTTTTCAACTTTGTTAAACGCCGACATAGTAGTGCCCAGACTTTGAACTTCGTTTAAAAATGTAGGGCCGCAAAACCCGCATGGGTACAATTTGCGTTATTATACCTTACGCGCTATAAAGTTTGAAAATTGAACTATTTAAGAGTTTTTAAAAAATTATTTTGATTTGTTCTTCGAACTATCATTTTCACCGAAGGACCTGGTATGCATCTGCATTGTGTACAAATAAGTGCAATAGCTCCAGATTTTTTAATGTCTTCGGTGATACAAAATCTACCCGGTACGTTTCTTTATTTGGTCAGCAAAAATATCGAAATCGAAGTTGGGCTTATCATTTTGACTGCACAATTTCCTGCTTTAGTAATTTAGTAAAATCAAGCATGTCCTGTTTTCGCCCTGTGACAATGTGACATAGGGTCTTACACAAAATTTTCAGGTTAGCGACGAATGGTCGACAAACGTTTCGTCGAAACCTGATTAGTCGACAAAACAGATATGTGGTCGGCAGAAAATTGGTCGAAACAGTGTATATGTCGAACATGTCATACTGGTCCCCAACTTAAAGTGGTCGACAACATATTAGTCGACCAATGTTACAAGTTTTAAGTAATCCTTGCATGGGAAGATGTATAATTTTATTACTACTTATCCAGAAATTCTGCCAAAAGATAGCATTACATCGATAAGTGAAAATTGCAGTCGCATAAGTTAAAAATATTACCATATTTGATCCAAATTAACATTTTTCTATCACGGTATGTGGACTTAGAATTGATACGCCGGGCTTGTTTCTCCCAGATTTTTTGCAACATGCACAATTCCGCACATCTATCAAATACACAAAGTTTTAGTTCAAAACTCGGGCCGATAAGAAAAAACCATCGTTTTTAATTTTAAAATAATTACTTAAAACAACTCCATTTCCCATAACAGAATAATGCGTTATGCAGGAAGACTGCAAATCAATTGATTTCGATGTGGATATGGAATAGTTTTATTTATTTTGAAGTTAAAAATCGATGATCGAGTTTTTAATTGAACTAAAGGTTATTCATTTAATACATATAAATATGTGTGAAAATGTACATGTTGCAAAAAAATCTGGGAGAAACACGCCTGCCGAACCCATTGGTACCGAAATCGTGAAGACAAATATTTTGTCGACGAGCTGAGATTGGGGACCAGCTGGTTGTCGACCAATATGATGTTGACGAGACAGTTTGTCGGCCACCCACTCGTCCGGAGCCCCAGATTTTCAGCTTAAATTCTACCTTTTATTCCAAGGTAGGTACATAACCATTGTTAGCTATTGTTCTTTTATGATCGACAATGTGATGGCATAGGTGCCTTTGTAGATTCGACATTTAAACCCAATGTGGCTGCTCAAAATCTTCGAAGCAATTAAGGACTTGTGATAGGTAGCGAACTTGTTCGTACAATAATTTTAGTGGACACAACTACCCGATACCTTCTGGGGATTACACCTGCCCTAGCTTTTTTAGTGTTTTCGGAGAGGTAAAAAAGGTTATGATGCATTTTTTACTTGGTCAGCCCAAGTAAGAATGCATAGATTGGGCTTATAATTTTCACGCCATAATTTCTCCATTTTAATAATTTGAAAGAATCAAGGATAAATTATTTTAGGCTCACAAAAGTGAAAAGAGTTTTTTTTTAACTGTTTTAATTTTAGGGTAATTATTGTTTATTTCTGTTCGATATTGGCACGCTACGAAATTGCTCAAAATCTTCGAAACGTTTAAATAATTTTCCGTGAAATTTTGTAGTGGACACCAGGGCCCGGCCCCCTTCGGGGCCCGGCCCTGGGGAAAACCCCCACCTGGCAGCCCCTCGTAAGGGCCCTGCATTGTCGTGCTAGAATTGTATAATGGTAATAATAAATAAGAATATGATTAGATTATAAAGAAGAATTTAAATAAGAATTAAGGGTCGGAAATAAGTGTTCATTGTGTTTTCCTCGCATTGTTCACTGTTTGTTGTTGGTGCAGGTAAAATCTTAATTTCTGACCTGTGTTGTGAACCTTGTTGAACTAAACAAAATTAATTTCGGGTATGATTCTACACAAGTTTTATATAAATCCTGGAAAAATTATGGTTTTGTATGCCTGTTTTCTGTAAAAATGGTACATTTTCAAAGTTGCGAAACTTCTTTATGTGCATCTGCCTACCTCAAAAAAATGTTGCAACGTCACCTTCACGAATGTTTTGATACACATATGCATAATGCACCCACCAAAACTAATAAGTAACGCCAATTACATTACTTAATGTTACGTACAGCGATTACTATCGCTTTAAATATTTGTGTAACGTGTAACGCAACAGACGAATTTAAAACGTTACAAGTCATCATCATCAACACCACAACGGCGACTTATTTTCGCCATCGTCGTCATCTTCCTTCAAGAATAACATGGTACAATCATGCATTAATTTTACTGCAAATACATTTCGAACAAGTAAGTAAAATGTAACATTTTGTTGCGTTTAAGAACATGATTTAGTGTATATGCAAATCAAGTTACGAACAACACTATACACAACAAAAAGGTAAAACCTCTTTCTTTCTTCTCACGATTAGAGGTAAACCACCATTTACTATGCGATTCAGATTCGTTTGTTCGCTTCTGGCAAGGAAATTTTGTCACGATTTTTCCTACTGGGTTTTGTAATGTGATTTAATGTTGGTCAGTTATGCAGGAGATAAATTTTTGAAGGGGCATGAAAAATTAATGTAGAGAGAGAGATGACAAATTCGGGAAAACCCACATTGATGAATGAAAGTTGTATTACCAAATTATGTGTGGATGTGGTTTATACGAATTTTGGTACAATGGTAAAGATGTTCTTTGACCCATAGTTTTGACCGCATTGACTTAATTTATGTGGGGCAGAGGTTGAACAGGAATTCCTAAGCGATATTGTTTCATTTCACGAATTTAGACAAAAGATGCCTCCATACATATTTACAACTAATAAGTATATTTATTAGCTTGCATGTGAACATAAGAATTATATTGGTAATTTAAATTTGCATGTATGAGACGGATGGAATTAGGAATGTCAACAATTTTATGAGATATGCGGAAGCCACGTATTGTTTCGAAGTACCAATTGTCCATGTGACTGGGACTTTCCTATTGCCAAACGACATCGGACAAGTTGTGGAGTAAGGGGGCCAACAAGACTGCCATTTCAAATTCAGGCGAAGTTCTGATAAACATGGAACTAATTGCCTTGTTTGCATTACGCCACGCAAAAGTTGTGTTGTATAATCATTCCTTACTGCAGAACGAATATGAAGAACAATTAGTCAATCATTAAAAAATGGTGATCCAGCCGACCGGCTTCCTCCTCCTTGGCGAAAAAAAAACCCGCCGGATTTTATTAAAGATTAGAGGGATTCGATTTCAGGAAATCGGGAATTTTAAATACCCACCCAGTTGTGGAACCCAGAGACACCGTTTTTCAACTCGGCAAGAAAAAATGTTTCATCCTGGACGATCCCAGTGTCCTCAAAACCCGATTTTTCAAGAAATTGTCACATAATTAAGTATAGTTTTGGATTTTACTCAATTTTAAAAATAGAAGCCCCTACTAACGTGAGCAGATGCGCCTACGAGGAATACGTATACGTAAAAGAGCAGTCCCCAAAAACTTCCAGAAGTCCAGGCTTCATTTTGTTTTTTAGCTCAATTTTCTTATGAAATTCACCACTTGAACCCAACTTTTATTCCTGAATGCTAGGGGACTAACTTCAAACTACATTGACACACAAATAATCTCTGATTATTATCATAGAATGATGGACGTTATCTAACTTTAGTTCGTAGTTGCTCCTCACTCGAAATTTAGAAGGTGTCACCGAGTTCAATTTGACTTACACTGATAGGTCGCATTCCCAATCATTTGGGTTCATCGATTGACATTAATGGAACAGAATTTAAATAGTACTTCCAAATCGATGTAAAAAATAACCAAGAAATTAAGTTAGTTTATGTAAAAAAATTAACATCAGGAAAAATCTATTTTGATGAATTATTTGTTAACTTATGTGTTCATTATTTACACATGACTAAAATCCTGTGAAATGGAGGTTTCTAATTGCTGATAAGCTTGTACGTCACAAGTGTCATCTGTCAAGCTTGCTAATCTAAATTAATTTCATTGCAATTGAAATATGAATTTTGATTTTATCCACACAAAATATTGCCACTTGATCCCTCACTCTTCTACATATATTGACGCGTAGATGAGGAGGAAATGTTACATGATTGATTTCTGCATCATAATTTGAATTTGTATGAAATTTAGTACAGGTTTAAACAAATCATTCAATTTCAGCAGAACAGTATTGCCTTAAAGTCGGTATGCAAAAACTTTTTTATTTCTTTGAGACTAAATTTTAGACTTGAATGGTAAACTCATTGAGTTACATAGCATACGCCGAAGCAATGAATTGTTTGTTTGAACCAATGGTCCATGTGGTAACTGGGACTTTCCTATTTCCAAACGACATCGGGCAAGTTGTAGAATCAGGCCTGGTCAACCAACAAGCAGAGTAGACGGCCATTTCAAATTCGGGCGAAGTTCCGATAAACATGGAACTAATTGGCTTGTTTGCATTACGCCACATAAAGTTGTGTTGGACAATTGCTCCTTGCTGCGATAAATAGAAAATAACAGTCAAAATTGTCAATTCGTTAAGAAAAGCTCTTTTTATGGTCATATTACCGGTCCAAGATCCAAAAATTCCATCCATCCACGGTAATTCATTCGGCCAGCTTCCTCCTCCTTGGCGAAAAATACCTGCGGGGAGCAAAATATGGAGATTAAGTAATTGATTTCGGAAATTAAATTTTAGAATATTTTTCAGACAAAATTTGTGTTTTAAATACCCAGTTGTGGAATCCGGAGACACCGTTTTTCAACTCGGCGAGGAAAATGTGCTCCAATCCGGATGATCCCAGGGTCGATCCGGATCTCGAGTAGAGACCAAACCACATCTCGTGAAACTTTTCTCTCGTCAAGGAAATTCCTTTCGACGTGAGGAAAGTTTGGAGTTGTTGCATGATTGGAGTTGCAAGAACGGCATCGAGGAAAGCGTTGATTTCTGCGGTCTCTGCTGCTGTTTCAGTCTCGGCAACTGCGACATCAGCGTTGTAATTATCATGGAGGGCGACGAGCAGGGCAACCGTTCCGCGTGTGTATGCGGTGGGATTAACGGCGAGAAGGCTATAGATTATAATTAGAGAATTATAATTATATCAATAAATTGAGTACATATTTGTGTAATGAAATTTTTGCTCTTACGGGCTTGGGGCCAGATCGACAGTTGAACCTTGAGTGGTCCTTCCCTGAAGATCCCAGGTCACGAAACCAGCGACGTTGTTTGGATTTGTAGCCTCAAGTACGTAAAGCTCTTCGGCCAAAGCTTCCAACTCAGCGTTAGTGATGGGGGCTGTAAATAATTAAGGTATGAAACAGTGCGACTTTAACTTGGACATCTCCAACATGAAGTGTTGCATGGGCGTTTTACCTGTACCGGGGTCCAAACAAAGAGTGTAATAATCCGGGCCTTTTAGGTACATGCAAAATTAAGAAATATTATATTTGTTTTATTTATTTGTGTTTAATTAATAATTGGTCAGTTAAATACTTACAGCAGTCGTTGTACTGCATGCAGAACGAGTTACACTGGCACCCATTTGGAACGGTACCAGACCTATTGCATCGTCCCAGACAGGAAAAGAGGTCTTCTTGGAAAAGGTGGTTCTCCTCGAAACCAGAGTCTATAAGAAATTAACACATGATTAAACATGAATTTAACTCAAATTGAAGAATTAAAGCCCTTACGAACGCGAGCAGATGCGCCTACGAGGAACAAAAGAGCAGCCCCCCAAAACGCCACAGCAGCAAATCCAGACTTCATTTTGATTCTTCTTTGTTCCTTTCTGGAATTGACCAGTAGAAGCCCAACCTATTTTCCAGAGTGATTAGAGACTAGTTTGAAACTTCATTTATACTACGCAAATACCGTTTTGTAATATAATTGTAATCATTGTTTGATAATGGACATTATCTAACTTTAGTCACGTAGTTTAGCCCCACTCGAAATTCAGGAGGTGTCACCGAGCCATTGTCAATTAATTTGGCTTATCGTGTATAATTTTATCTTGATGGGGAAAGCTTCTTCTTATGCAAGGTTTGATTTACAAATATATTATGCATACACTGCAAACTGCAACGCAACACCTGACCCTACCAAAGCGAGATATCATGCAGGTAAAAAGTGAGGATTACGTGTTCCGGAATTTGATCTAATGTGACCAGCCAGACCACATTCCTGCACCCGTTATTATAGATTGTACAGAGAAAATGGGCTTAATCATCGTAATCCTGGGCAGTCTATGAATCAGCTTCAGATCTGCAGTTTTCGGAATAATTTCTTTCTTTTCAGAAAAAGCTGAGATTCTGCTGCTCAAAGAATTTTTCAGAGAAATTAAGATAAAAATTTCCGAAAGGTTCAGAACTGCAGCTTTAAAATTGAAAAAGCTGCAGGTCTGGAAATTGATTTTTCCAGGCTACAAAGATCTGTAGATCTGCCTTCCAAAAGCTGCATAATAACAGCTTTTAGAGCTGCAGATATGACGCTGATTTCTGGACTGCTGGGTGACGTACAACTAACTAATTGCTCAATTTTTCCTCCTCCACGAATCATATAATCCCACAATTTACACTTCCATTAAAAACTTTTATTATAAAAACAATGGATTCACAATGCAGTAACAAATAGAGCAAAGTGCACACATAAATCAATCATCACAATAATCATTCACTCATTCCTTCTTTCGTTTCGGCAGGTACTAAAGTATTAAAAAAGAGTTCAAGATAGAAAATATTTTACAACTTGATTACAATGACTTAGAAAATTGCTCCTTCTTGTTTTAGGAAATATATGTCTGGCCCATTGAGCAATGAAGGGTGAAGAAACATGAAAAATAATAGCTGGAAGAGAACAATGTCGAAGAACAAAGTTCTTAATATCCTTGTGGCTGAGGAACGCCATAAACTGGGGCAGAAACAGCGACTGGGGCGGCGACGGCAACTGGTCCGTAAACTGGGGCTGGGGCGGCTTGGTGGTCCTTGTATCGGATGAAGAAAACCTGCAACCAGAGAAAATGGCATCGATTATAAAATTGTACCAAATTTATGCAAATATAATTTCGAACCTCTGGCTTTTGTGGGAGTGGGGACGCCGGTTGGCGAATCTTGACATCGGCAGTGTTGTGACCCTTCTTCACGAGGACGTAGACAACCGTCTTTTGCTGTTCCTGTTCTGGGAGGAGGACTTCAGTCTGTTGGTGAGATGAGGAAGATGGAGTCTTGACGAAGATGATGTTGACGTGCTTATCTCCACCGCCTGGGACACGAATGGTCCTCTGAGTGTGTTCTGGGGCCTCATCCGGGGCTGAGTGAACGTACACGTGCTTGTAAACTTGACCACCGTACGAAACCGCGGGTCCTGGTCCATATTCGGTGGCTAAAACGGCAGGGGCGGCGTATTGGGGGACTCCATAAGCGGCTGGGGGTTCTGGCCGGGCAAGCGTCACGGCGACGAAGGACGCTACAATCTAACCATATAAAATAAGATATTTACGTAAAAATTAGCACTTTTTTAAGACGAACTTTTAGTCACTACTTATCTATCCAAGCTTATCTTTCTTCTTACCAGAGCAATCTTAATCATTTTGCTTTATTTTTTCACGAAAACTACACACCACACACAGAAATAGATTTTACGTAACTGTTGAGAGGACTGGATGATAACGTCAACTGTTGACACTTGCCAGGGGACTACACGCTTTTATACTAATTGGACCACAGAGGCAGATACTCTGCATAATATATGTAATTCGTACGACATCCCCCTTATTCCACCCAGAGGTATGCTTGCTGCACGTTGTGTCGATCCTTCTAATAAGCACAGCAGGTAAATAATAAATAGGTGATTAATTGGTTCATCTGGTTAGTCTGGTCAGTCAGTCGGCGTCATATTTACAAGTTCCCTGATCTCATACATAACATATAAATGAGCAATCTTCCACTAAACAACTGACCCAATCGTCGTCCATATTGCACACAGAGACGCGATGCCAATTAGCAAGTTGTTATTGTAATCAAAATCCGTACCACACGTGGATTGAATTTCTCATTTTATTACAATATAGACCTGATTTCTTCACTGAATTGACACTTTTTTTTCAAAGTTGTCATCATCATCAACTTGTTGTCGCCAACTTAATACATATTACTACACTCCCACTAAAGAGAATTTCAAAAGGAGGAGAAAATATGGATGAGCGGAGGTTATCTTCATATACATATTTCGAACTTTGACCCTTATTTGGTATGGACTATGGACGACACCACAACAAGAAGATCTACCTAATTGAAATATTTTAATGTGGTTAATATGTAGCAGATTTGCATATTATCTGTTCATTCCTGATCACGATCATCATCATTCTTTGTTATACAGATGCACAAACAAATAGGAAGTTGAGGAAATAAACTCCCACTTTTTTAGGCTTCAAACATTACAAATTCTTGATCATGATGCCTTTTTTTCTGTACGTGCGTCAGTCACATCTTATGCTAAAATACTAATTGGCTTCCATAATGGAATGAAAATTGTAGAATTCTACCTGATTATATGCAGTTTAATGCATGCAGTGCATACTTATTTACATCCATTTAAATGTCATGTACTTAAAAAAGTTGACCTGCATCATCATCATCATCAGTGTAAGTAAATAATAAGTAATTCAATAACCAAAAGGAGCTGGATTGGACTTGATTCAATTTATTGCTTACATATTTAAATAAATATAAAGATCCATATTAAATGGCACAATTAATATTTGGGTAATAATTTTGTATCTCCGTTATTAAGAGTGTGTTATGTCACACTCGTTCGTTTTTATGACTTCTTGTTTCACTTTTTGTAATATCTTGATGAAAAAGTGATTCAATTGATGTATGCTACTTCTCGAAACCAGTCTACTTCTTATATTATAGGGCGTTAGCCTAGCGAACATAAGCAGTGGCCGCGGAAGCTGTGGGGACATGTGGGGACATTAATATTGTAGAATAGGGGAGGGGTTTGTATAACATGGGGAGATGATGGGGACATCGAACAACCGTGGGGACATTGTCCCATGCTTCCGCGGCCACTGAACATACAAAAGTTTAATAACTTTTGACGTTGACATCGACACATGAAATTTTATGCATGAATAGTCAACTTGAGACGGATTTGTTTTGCATTACATAGATAAGAACAAATGTTTTTCAGACAGTGTTAAAAAATTGGCAGGATCGAACTCCTTACCCGTCATAAAATTCAATTTGAAGACGTTTCATGTCGCAATAATTGCAAAGTAAGTCAAATTTGGTGATCTACTTGTTGCACTTACAAGTCGTAAATAAATCTAAATCTGTAACATTTAGCGTTATTTATTTTTTTAACTAAGGCACATCTACACTTTTTAGCAAAAAAGGTATGCCATGTTTGGTATTACGGATGGTAAAATTTCCATTAGAAAAAGATAAATCCAGACATGCTGTAAAATTTATGATCATCATTTAATTTGCCAAGAATTAATGCAATGCTGACAAGAGGATGTGGGGAGGTGGAGGTTTATTCGTACATATAATTTGTACAATTGTTGTAATTATTATTGCATAAATCTTTATCTTACAAGTAATTTGTGTTACATTAAATCCATTACTTTACACGGCAGAATTTATGGGATAAGAGACAAACAAAATGCAAAATAATGTCCACCAATCTCTCGAAATCAAATTAACAAAACATGCTAAAACATTGTATTTATTACATAAAACTTTCTTTCATCTGATCCAAGAAACATGTGTAATGTTGAGAAAAGTGTTAAATTCTCTAATTGTCACTACTTACTTATTAATGTCATTTGTTATGATTTAATTTTACATTAAAATTAGCATATTTGGCTGAAAAATATCAAAATTCTAGCATAGAGAAGAAGGAACAGCGCCTTTCTCTTGGCGTTGGCGGTTGAAGCTCACTCCAGTCACTCCATTGTTAGCGAGACACGTTTTTTTGTCCCAAAACTTTTTATTTCGCAGCCAATTTCGATACAAATTAATTAACAATTTATAAACCAATTGAAATAAGTTGACGATAATAGAACAATATTGTTGGGAAAGGTTTTTTTAATTCAAGGTAGACACTAAATTAACAAGCATGTCGGAAGCAGGGAAAATTAAGCTGGAACCAATTGAACACGAGTTCGATGAGCACGATGTAAGAAATTTTAATTTTTTATCAATTAGAATGTTACATACACACAAGAGTAACTCCACCAATTCATAAAGTGACTCTACTTTTTTAATTGTTTTTCTAGGAAGTTCCTGAGAAGAAGAATGATAAGCAGCGTGTCGAACTCCGCAAGATCAAGACGGAAGAAACATTGAAGAAGGTGGCCACCACCAAGTTTATGGACGAAGAGGGTGACGAAACTCTCGTGGATGACAGTAAACTTCTAGAAGTTCTAGTTGAACAGGCAGCAGACTCGTCGCAGCCAGAAATCCAGCTCAACGCGGTCACCGCGGTGCGAAAGATGCTCTCCACGAGTCCGGATTCATACCTCGATCCATTTATTAACCTCGGGATCCTCCCCAGCTTGGTTAACTGTCTGGGTGGCAATAACTGGTGAGGACAATTAAGTTAACACAATAAGTATCTAGCAATAAATTAACTAATCAATTTGATGTTTTGTGACTCAGTGACACCCTTCAATTAGAAGCCGTCTGGGCCTTGACCAACGTTGCTGCCGGGACATCGGAGCAAACTCTGGCTGTCGTTGAGTGTGGCGCCGTGCCCAAACTGATCGCTCTCCTCGCCTCTCCACATGAAGCGTTGTGCGAACAGGCCGTCTGGGCACTGGGGAATATCGTCGGGGATGGACCAAAGTGTAGAGGCTATGCCATTTCTGAGGGATTGTTGGGCCCCCTCTTCAACTTAATTCATCCAGGGGTCTCTATCACCTTTCTCCGGAACATAACCTGGGTGATTAGCAACCTGTGCAGGTGCAATGATCCAGCTCTGCCGCAGGAAAGTGTGGCCGAAATTCTGCCCACGCTCAATTTACTTATCGACCACAGTGACAAGACCGTTCTTGTCAACACAGTTTGGGCCCTCAGCTATCTTTCGAACGGACGGAACGACCAAATTCAAATGGTTATCGACTCTGGAGTCCTTCCCAAACCCGTTTCCTTTTTGTCCCATCACGATCCCAAGATGCAAATTGCTGCAGTTCGTGCTGTTGGAAATATTGTCACTGGAACGGACGAGCAGACACAGGTCGTCATCGATTGTGGCGCTCTCGGACATTTCGTCAACTTGCTGACCCATCAGAATGAGAAGATTTGCCAAGAGGCTATTTGGCTTTTGAGCAATGTGACGGCAGGAAATGGCGCACAGGTGCAGGCCGTCCTTGACGCGGGGTTAATCCCTTTGATTCAATCACATTTGGATAAGGTGGGTAGAAAAATTAGCAATTTTTTTTAATCTGAGGGATGAGATTAGCTTGGTTTATTGTAAGTTGATTTATTTCCAGGGTACCTTCCAAACCCAGAAGGAAGCCGCGTGGACTGTGACTAACATATTGGCAAGTGGGACTAAAGAACAAGTCTTGCATGTAATTTCGTGTGATATTGTCCAACCGTTGTGCAATTTATTGTGCTGTGGAGAACCAGATGTGGGTAGAGATATACTGCTTTATTATAATAGCATATTGTTATTGATTGGTAATCATAATTAATTAGATCCTCCGTATTGTGCTGGACGGGATTAATAACATGTTGAAGACGATTGGTGGTCGTTGGGCGAATGGCAAAGAAGTGGAACGAGTCTGCTGTCTGATTGAGGAATGCGGAGGACTTGATAAGATCGAGAGTTTACAGACTAACGAAAATCTCGATATTTACAAGAAGGCTTACGACATTATTGAAAACTATTTCTCCGAAGATGTTAGTACTTGATTCCTAATTTAATTTTTATCAAAAATTTTCTAAGAAAAATTTTTTTCGTCCATTTTCAGATCGACGAAGATCAAAAACTCGTTCCGGAGACAACCGTTGAAGAAATGTTTGAATTCGGCCCCAATGACGCTGCCGGACCTCAAGGAGGCTTCAATTTTTAATTTGTCAAAATAACTGTTCTTCTCATTCTTCATATCGTTACTTACTATTTTTCATATTTTAATGGATTAACGTTGCTTGCTCTTTTTAATAGTAATATTTATTACATACTCAAAATTCTGGAAATTTGTTTTTATGTTCTGGGCATTCTACAACTCTACTCCAGAGTTGACTCGTTCCATTTAAGCATTTTAGTTTATCCGTAAGTAGCTCTAGTAGTAGTGTAATGCAATTTATAGCGTGTCAGTATATTTAATGTACCAACTTTGAATTGGGAAACCAGTAGTCTCACTTTTACGATGTGAAGAGCAGCAGAATCAACTTTTGCTCTACTTTGAACACCCATTTCACATAACTATTAAACACTAACGTTGTAATTCAGGAGGTCATGATATGAATTTATGAGATTTTGATAAAAATAAATCACCCCTCTATAAATCTGGATATAAAAAAAGTTTGCTACACACTTTTATCTTTTTTTTATAAAAAACAAAGTCTGTTTTATTTTTCTTATTTGAACAACAATATTGTCCCAAAATCTGGACAATTTCCGTAATAATTATGCCTCATTTATCCTCATCATAGTCAGTACATCAAAAAATATTTTTCTTAATACAGATACTAATAATACTAATAAGTTCTACAGAAGAGAACGTTTGTAAAGTAGTGTTAAGTGTAAAGTGTTTTTTATATCACATCACAGATTTGCAAAGCTGTAGTAGAAAGCTATTATAGTTTAAGAAGATTTGCATGGAAATAATGTCTCACTCAAGATAAGCACTTAACCCTGATGATATCCCCCGCTGGGAAGCCCGTACTCTTGTTGTGGTGGCGCTGGTGCAACCCCAACTGGACCGTACGCTTGGGCTGGAGGAGGTGGACCGTACGCGGGAGCGGCAACTTCCTTGTTCTTATACCGGATGAAGAACACTTCCGGTTTGTGGGGTTGCGTTTGTTGGGGTGCCGTGACCTTAACGTTGTTATAATTCTCAGGCTTTTTCACAAGAACGTAAACAACCGTTTTTTGCTGGGGTTGTTCTGGAAGGATGACTTCCGTCTGTTGAGAGGAAGAGTGGCTGGGGGCCTTGACGAAGATGATGTTGACGTGCTTGTCGCCCCCTCCGGGGACACGGATGACCTTGTTTTCCGCATAAGTTGGCTCATCCGGGGCGGCATGAACTAGCATGCAATAAAAAATATGCAAATTTCCATATGCAAATTTAAAATCAAGAAGGGTCACATGACATACTGTAAACATGTTTGAAAACTTGTGGGACGTAGGCTGGTGCTCCGTATCCGCCTTGGGATTCATACCCCCCGGGAGCAGGAGCCCCATACCCCCCATTGGGGGCAGGCCCAACCGCTGCGGGGACACCATATTGCGGTTCCGACGCTTGATATCGGTTTCCTCCCCCGTATGAAGATGGTGGTTCAGCCGTCGCTAGCGCGGCAAGCGATGCGATAACCTATTCAATGTCGTGGCGTTGTAGAAAAATAAAAAAATTTCCACTATTTCCCGAAATTTCCTAAAACTAAAATTCTTCCAAAAAATGCTACTTTCTTACCAAAAAAGTCTTCATTTTATCCAATTTTTCCCTCAGAACTTTTTACAACTTCCTGTTGAAACTAGGTGATGAACTGTGACTGAAAATTGGTCTACCCAACCTTTTATACCTTACTTATATTTGTGTAAAAGAAGGCAATACTGCCACGCAGGGAATAATAATCTAAAATATTGCATGACACGGCGTTACACATTATTTTACATCTTACAGAGCTTGATAAACGTTGGAATAAATTTTAAATTCAAATCCAAACTTCATAATACGTACATATTTCAAGGAAAAAATGTAATAATTGTGCATCATTTTGTCGAGTCTTAATAACGCTATCGCTATTATGAATCGCAGCCAAGTCACAATTTACTAGTAGGCACGTGGTACTTACTTACAAAGCGTCGTCATCATATACCACCCCTGCTTTTTTTAAGTCGCTCGCGTACATAAAGTTTACCTTATCACCGTTCTTGATCTCTCCTACTCATGATGCTTAATTGAAGAAAACAGAGCAAACCTACCTGCTACATCGTCTACCTGTGCTGCACGTAGGTAGGTAAAAACGGATGCACATAAGTACACACGTGATGCACACCTTTTGTGATGTAACAATAAGGTTTAATAACACGGTGAAGAAAAGAGGAAGCGATATTATTATTGTTGTGAAGGTGAAGCAAAACGAGACGACGACTTGCACTTTTCACAGAAAGTGAATCATATCATATCAGCTTAAAAAAAGTTTTTGAAAAACAAAGCAGAGTTGGAGTCAGTCAGTATAATGGAATTGCAGTATTCTCGTCATTAGTTCACCTTCCGTCATATCTGTATCATTATAGAAGACCAGATAGATATATGTACATATAGGTTTCGTGTAGTTATTTGTATGGGAAGGAGGGCACTAACGCTAGCTAGCACATAAAATTTTGTGCTCGTAGCTAATTTCGACAAAATTACTAGTTTTGTTTGTTTCTCTACGAGCCAAGTGCAGGCGCATTCCTACGATGCAGTTGTATATTTATTTACATAAGATGCATTTTGTATTTATTAGGTTTTTTTTTACTCGGAACTTTTCATATGAAAATCCAAATTTGTATGTGTTTGTAGAGTAAGAGAAAAACATAACTTTAGTTAAATTAGAGAAATTTATTTGATTTGACCGACATTAATTTGACGTTTTTGCTCCATTATTTGATTCGATTGAACTTTCGTAGAGGAGATCTGCTAGTACATTTTTACTAGTTTGATGTATAATAGTTCCTGTCTAACAGGGCTTATTTTTCATTAGTTGGGTTGATTTTGGGGTGATGAGATGCAGGTAATTTATGTGGATCGGACCAGACAGCGATCATTACGAGGTGCTTGGGATTACCACAAAATAAAAATCACTCCATTACATTTTATCATCATCATTATTCGCAGGATCATCATCCCTATCGACATCAAATCTTTCGTATTTTTGGCTATCGGAAAATTTCTATTGACTAACAAATAATACGTTTGCTTTCTCTTAAACTTAATTTGAGGTACCTCAACCAAGCATTCATATCGCACACGAGACTTGAATTTGACGTAATCAACCAACCAGATACGATCAGATCGATCCGCATTATGAAAATATTACGGCCCCATAAAAATCACGACGATGCCATCTTAGGTCAAATATAATTCTGTATTTGCTCTAATTTCTGGATTTATCTAGAAAGAAGTGCAAGTGCAGCAAAATGTATAAAATAAAATCAGTCCTATAATTACTTGCAAAAAAACATGGCCTAATTATGATTATGCGATACAAAAATACGTATTTACAGCATCGGCAGACATTTCAAGAGATAATTTAATCTCTTCTAGGGAACAAATCATGATAAGTTTTAATCGGTCTTGTCCTGTGGGGTTGAAATATGGTCAGGTCATGATGCAACTTCCTTCTTCATTTTAGTCGTACGTATTGCAAATGACACGAACAATGTTTATGTACAAAACAAAATGCAAGAAATATTTTTTTTTTCAAATTTCTGGTAAAGTCATCATAACTTTTTTTGTATTCATTGTTGCATTATACCGGATCAGATAATGCATGTAGAATGATAGTAATTATTAGTGACTGCCTTGTATTTTACTTACAATGCTTTATATTTCTTCGTACTAATCGATACATACGTATTGATCGATATACAACAGAGATTATTTATGTAATAGTTCTGCTGCATAATGGACTCCTGAACTGGTTTGGTTTGTTGTCGTGATGAATATTGTATTGTGGTCGTTCAACGGCAAATGAATTAGGAGGAGGAGAAGAAGAAATCAAAAGTGTAATTTTTGGCTGTTGAATTGAATATCTGTAAAAGGATGGGATTGATTGATTGCTTCAGTAACTATTAATTTCCTCAAATTGTGTTAAAAGAAAATAATTCGCGTTTTTTAAAGAAAATGTAATGATTTGTATTTGGCAGAGATTCCACGGATGGGAATGCATATTAATTAATTGACGCGACAGTACGGAAAGCAGAAGTTTTTGGCAACATGTTTTTGTAAGGAGGAGGGCTTCTTGTATTGATAAATATTTATTAATTACTGTTTAGCGAAATATGTAGCGATTTGCAGCACCTAAAACAAATATGGGATCCAGTAATGCTATAAATTAGCAATTAATTGTAAACTTGCAGCAATTAAGGAATGCGAATTGTCAAATATTATGACATTATGGCGATGAGATGTTTGATGCATGTGCCAAGTGCCAATTAATGACCACGAAGTAGGATGATGTAATTAAGTCAGATAGTTGAACCATATAAATTATTTAGTTAAAAATATAGATATTATTTCATTTATTAACATTAAAAATTTTTAATAAATAACAAAAACTGGATGTTACTGAATAAATCATCAAGAACATTTAATTTAGAAACCATAATGAAAAATCTCGTGAATATTAATTAACATTGTCACCCATTAGTGAGATCGTGTAAAGATTGTAAAGAAAATCCTGACGTCGCTTGTTGAAAGAAAGAGTTGACAAAGTGCAAAATGTCAACTTTATAAAAGGTGCGTCACCTTTTTGTAAATTTTAATTAATAATGCTCACTTTTATTAAAGATTTTACCTGTAATTAAGTTTAGTGGATTGTGACCTATGTCAAAACACTATTTAGTATCGAACCAATTCTAACTAGAATATGAAACTCATAAATCTCCTTGATTGACTCAGTCATCAAGTTAACGACGATCGCGTCTTGTTGGTTGGTTATCGTGCAATACATAAAACAGTTGGGGCATAAAATTCAATTAAATTGAGTCATCACAACAATTAAATAATGAATGGCACTTGATCCTAGCGGTAGTCGAAACGCACGCAATAAAATGTACGTGTTGCTTAAATTCTATAATTCAGCCAACCGTTAAATCATCCCTCCTTTAAAAAATCTTAGAATTACATCATTATTTTGGAGCCGATAAAGCTAAACGGTATGATAAGCATATCTTGGAGTCATCATCATTTGAGCTGGTCAACAACTTCCGGTGTGTGTAGCCTTTAGCTCAGCCCAAGCTCTGCTGTGGGCGCCTGTTTGACTTTTTGACTTCATTTCCATTATTGCAATTTTAATTACACACGAACGCATTAATTAATGCAACACAAAGTAATATTTTGTTTCCAACTAAACTAATGCAACGCAGTGTCAAATGGGGTCAGGAAGAAGAAGAAAAGTTAGTGTTACACTAAAAACTTGAATGCATTTCTTTCACAAATTCCATTAGGCGATCATCACAAGAGCGAAATGAGATGATTTGTGCAAAGTGGAGATTAGGCGAAAATGATGAGTTTTTCTAATTAGAAAACATTCCTCTGCAGCAAATTCCATGTCTGATTATGTAGCTGTCAAAAAGCTGGGATGGAAAAAAGTGCAAGTGATGACTTTCGATCTCGAAACATCCAAGTGTAGTTTCTACGCTTGATTGTGTAAGAAGTAGCCAACAAGAGATGAATCAATGACAAGTATTCACATCACACTTTGCTCCTTGCTGACCACTAAACTGGTCGAGTTGCATTATGCATTAAAATCTAATCCAATTCTGAAAACGTAACCGTATAACGTGTGAGTGACAATTAAGGGATGCTCCATTTTTTGCAGAGTCATACAATTTCTAAGGATTGCAAAAATATGAATAATTTTATTTTTACGTATGAGTTCGAGGAAAGAGTAGATGACGTTTGGGACAACCTTTTGGCAGCCAAGAGGTGTTTTTTCTAGCGATGCAAAGATTATCTATGCATATTAAATTTAATTAAGAATGAAATTGTAGTATCTTTGAAAAATTTAGGACAAATGATGAAAATATTGGATCATAATTTTTAAACAGTAATGTGAAGTTTAAAATCGCACTTGCTAATTGTACACTTACGGCAATGTAACCAATCATCACTTGGGCTTTGGGAGGGCTTTAGGGGACATCAGAACCAAGAATTGTGCAATGGTGTGTGTGTGTGTTACCAGTTGAACTTGGCGCTTGATTCTGATTAAATTACACACGTGTCTTACATTGTCCAAGCTAACGTCACCTAGCGGCAGTTTGAGCACTATGTTGCATTTTCGTTTCTAGAGGGCGTTTTCCGCTAAAGTGTCAAAACGTTTCCAAATCGTTGACTAACGCTACACGCATTTAGATACGACTTGATCACATGAACGGGCACGCCCCCCAGAGTTGACATTTGACCTGGGACCCAGGCACACGCACGTAACTTGACATTTGACCTATGACCTTGGCACACCCACTAGACTTTGGCTTTAGCCTATGACCTGGGCACACCCACTAGACTTGACATATGACCTGTGACCTCGGCACACTCCCCCGAGTTTACAGTTAACCTGTGACCAGGGCACACCCCCATGAGTTTACATTTGACTTGTGACCACTGGGAACCCACGCAATGGTTTAACTTACTACTTTAATTTACATCCCGGCGCCACCTACAGGATGTGGGTTGTTTTTCAGCGCTAGAGGGCGGGCTTTCGCTTCAGATTCTTAAACGTTTTTAAAACGATAAAACAATTGAACACTCCTTGGAATTGACTACGCCTTTTGCTCTGGACACGCCATGTAGAGTTGTGACTGAACGTTTTTCGTGGTCACACCAAATTAGAAACGTTTTTCGTGGTCGTCACACCCTTTAGAGTCGTGACTGAACGTTTTTCGTGGTCGCACCCTTTAGAGTCGTGACTGAACGTTTTCGTGGTCGCACCCTTTAGAGTCGTGGCTGAACGCTTTTCATGGTCACACCCATAGAGTCGTGGCTGAACGTTGTTCGTGGTCACACCCTTTAGAGTCGTGACAGAACGTTTTTCCGTGGTCACACCCATAGAGTCGTGACTGAACGTTTTTCGTGGTCACACCCTTTAGAGTCGTGACTGAAGGTTTTTCCGTGGTCACACCCATAGAGTCGTGACTGAACGTTTTTCGTGGTCACACCCTTTAGAGTCGTGACTGAACGTTTTTCCGTGGTCACACCCTTTAGAGTCGTGACTGAACGTTTTTCGTGGTCGCACCCTTTAGAGTCGTGACGTGACTGAACGTTTTTAGTGGACACACCCAATTAGAGTCGTGACTCAACGTTTTCCGTAATTGAATAATAAAATCGTTTTTCTTAGAGCCCGCATTGCGGGCTCAGGAGACTTGTCATAACAAGAATTGTGCAGAGTTGTGTGTGTGTGTGTGTGTGTGTGTGTGTGTGTGTTACCTTTTGAACCAAGCGCTTCACTCGATGGCTGTATCACCTTACCCCCAATAGTTCTCAAAATTACCACCCAGCGCCACCTATCCACATTTTTGGGTACTAGGTTGTATTTTATCCGCTAGAGGGCGCTTTTCACCGAAAGTATCCGAACGTTTCCAAAACGTTGACTAGCACCAGAAAAACCGAATACGCCACTAATGGAAAAATTTGAATGCCCCCTAAGATTTGATCCGTGACCTGGGAACTACCCTTTAGTCGGCAGTTGTACCGTAACGCGTGCAAACTCCCGCAGTAGACCCGGAACCTGGGAGGCACGCCCATTAAGGTCTACAGTTGACCCAGACCCTGAACACTCGCTATGGTTGGCTTATGAACCTATACCCTTTACACATTATTTAGAGAATTGCCTGACCTGTGACCTAAGCATACCTATGTATAGCCTATAGGTGACTTCTGGCCTCGATATCTTTATATAGATTTGTCACATGACGTGAGACCTAGGCGCATATAAATGTTGCTAAACCTGTGACGTAGGCAAATGACCTATGTACTATGTGGGGTGACCAGACTACTCATTAATAGAGGCAGCCAGGCCAGCGGCGGTAGCACATTCAAGGCTAATTGCCGATAGGCAAATGACCTATAGTCCTCATGTAACTTGGGACACACGCGAAAGTCATAAGGTGACCTGGACACACCCCTTTGAGTCGTCAATTGGCCCCTTACCGCATACGTAACGATTTGTTCCGGGTTATTGTTAAGTTTCTCATAAGTTCGTTAATTAGACAAATTTAGTTAAGGCCTGAGCATTTTTGAAAAATGGTACAACATGCCGCAATTCCACGTTCTGTTTCCCTTTGCTTATGGATGTCATTCAGCAAACGCTTGACTTAATAATTAAAATCTTTCTATTCTCGAGCCCGCATGCGGGCTTTAGAGACTAGTTGTCTAAGAACGATGCGATCTCAGTGGTTACGCCCACAATGCATGCATATTGTACATTTGCTAATAATTTTGCTTATTTACAAAAGAAAATAATTTCTTTCTCATAGAATTATATCAAATTGTAAGCATCGTAGTAAACTATTCCCCTCGTTTAATTGCTATTGCTACCCATATCCACAATCACATATGAACATATTTTATGTATATACAGAATGTATAAATCCGCTTATCGCTACGATGCCAGCCCACGTTGATTTTAGCCGCTTTTGCAAGATTTTCATAATGACAGATATCTTGTATGTACTTAATCCGATCAACTCACCAGAGTAGAATTAAGAGGAATACAGTAATAAATAAATTATAAACTGTGACAGTTATCAACGAGAAAAAGCGGAAGTTATCCATGTATCAAGAACTTTATGTAAATATGTAGCACACAAATTTCAGTTTCAGGCTTAATTTTGATTTTCTAAAGCACTACTTCAATATAAATACGTAAAGTCAGCCTTCATGTAAATTCGGTAACTTACCCAAATCAACTACCTCAACTTCATTATGACTCGAATCCACAATTTCCACCATTTTTGACATTTCTCTAGCAATTTGCTGCACAAACATGTCCAACTCATTTTTCGATACCCAATTAGAATCCCCAATTCCGCTGAACCTTATCTCATCCCCGTAACACAACAAAGTGAAAGACCTGTTACGGAATCGTATAAAAATTTCATGTCAAGTACACATCGTAAAGATATGAAGACCTACCAGTATCGGTCATGTGTGGAGTAACACCTTCAATTGTTTCAACTGGAATGTCACATCGTATGAATTTATGTATTTGTTTTGTCCTATGCAAATTATGAATCAATATGTAAATCATAGAGTTATATAATATAAGTAAATATGTCCTTAGGCTCTTCAATGTGCAATATACATACTAAATGCTTACATCAAATTTCCTTCAAGTTTGTATGCAAGGTGATGAACAACCCTCAAAGAAACTATTTATTTGGTTCAATTACTGATAACCTCTGTGTATTATTCTGCACGTTGAATACGGTCAGTTACGATTAAATCCAGGATTAGTATCGTCATATCCAAAATGTTGAAACTGTGAAATGCACAAAATGATATATAGGTAAAGGAAGATTCTTTTTAATCCACATCAAAGCAATATGACGACCGTCAACCGTGGTAAAATTGGTGATGAATGAATTTCTCTAATCACAATTTACTTCATTACGCCATTTATTCAATGGATGGTACGTGACATTTAGCAATAAAGTGTGATATCATGATTAGTAAAAAAAAAAATGCTTTATTTCAGTACACAAATTTCAGTTCCAGGCTATAGCGAATTTTTTGTTTTTGAAAATAATACGTACGTTAATACAAATAGTCCAATTATCCCGGACTTAAAATTTGACAACTTAAATCAACGCCGTTTATGACTTGAATCCACAATTTCTACCATTTTTGACATTTCTCTAGAAATCTGCTGTACAAACATGTCCAACTCATGTTTCGACATCCAACTAGAATCCCCAGTTCCATTGATCCTTATCTCATCCCCGTATGTAAGACAAAAAAGGATAAGACCTGTAAATTTTCAAAATGAAATTAACGTAAAAATTTCCACAAATATGTATGAGGACCTCACCATTATTACTCACGTGCGGAGCACACCCTTCAATTGATTCAATAGGAATGTCACCACTCGAGAACGGTATTGAACTCTTGTGTTTCGAAATGGGCAGGGGGGAAACAATGATGGAAGCAGAATCACTCTTCAAATACGATGATGCAAAGATGCGTGGTAACTTTCCTATGAAGCTCATAACATAATAAAATCGTAGGATATCTCCGCCAGTCATTGCTTTCTTTGCATTTCGGTTGAGTTTCTTTAGATCTTGTAACAATAACTGGGTCCTTTCCGTGTGTTCCATTTCGCCATCTTTTACAAGTATGTATAACAAATGTGCGTACTTACTACTTAACTCAAATTTTTACCATTATGCAAATAATTGATTACAAATTATCAATAAAAACTTAATCATTTTTACCATTACCTTTATGCTTGGACGGCAGTGAATATTCAAAGAAAGTGGCACGATTTGTCAAACTCTCGTCAGGATAAGGTAGAAGGGCAGTTGCTAACAATAAGTAAGATTTTGATGTAGATATTAGTAAGCATTTCGGGAAAGTCAGAATTCCGAAGTCTTCGGGAATTTGAAAATTTTACTGTACGCGTCAGAAGCAATCGGAAACTGGGTTTATTTAGCTTTGCACAATTTTACTTTAGGTGACTATACCTTCCATGAAAGTTAACTCTTTAACCAACCGTTCTGGTGGAAATGTAGTTTTTAATGCCCTCCATATCGCGGTGTTTAGTACGTTAGATATCGAAACAGATGCTCCATTTTCTACGGAGGATGCCCATCCTTTGATTTTCTTTACGTCACCCAGACTCACTGGGTTTTTCCCAAATGCATAAAACTTTCTTCTGGGCAAGATTTTCACAGGATTCGGAATCCACATTTGTGTCAGTCCAAATCGTTTGGATAGGCCCCCAAGACTTAAAACGGGGAGGTAGAGAATGGTTTTCAAATGTCCGAGGATATTGATCATCAGCGGTACTTTGACGTTGACTGGGTCCATTATTAATTCAGCATTTCGGGAGAAGACGTTCATAAGCATTGCGGCACACAGCCCGTCGAAGTAGCAATGATGATAAGCAACAAACAGGATGGACTTTATGGTTCCACTCCCATCTAAATAAGTAATAGTAAAAAAAATATGTATGTATTTTACGAAGTGTGATCAAATAGATTATTTGAATATACCATCAAATTTAGGGACGATTACCAGCCTCCATTGTGGTTTTGATTCGTCCAATGGTGCCGTATAATTCGTATAAAGTACGTCTTCCAACATATTCTTCGAGTAAATCGTGTCAGTGTCCAACTGGTCTATTTGATTTCGAACATTGATATTTGGATCACGACGCCAACAAGAATATCCGTACGCGGATGTGATGATAGTTTCAAGTTTGGAGTATATTCTTTTGCCAGTTTTCTTGTCCAGATAAGGGTGGATTTTCTCTTCGTAGCGTTGCGCAAAATTTTCAGGGGTCAAAATTCCCTGTAATTTACAAATAAAACTGGAATGGTCAGAGCGTTATATGATTAATTTCACTCACCTGTTGCAGCTTAAAAATTATGAAACAAGTGCGTGTCTGCCCTTCAATATGGACAGCGTAAAAGGCGTCTCTCCCATTTTCCATGAGGGAAACGTTGTCGAAAGTACAGAATTATTCGCACGATCAATCTCATCGGCTCGTTGAGTATGAATCCGATAAGTAACAGGGAGTATGTAAAGGGGAACAGAAGGATGGTGGTCAGAAACGCTAAGACTCCCCTTATTGAAATCATGGTTATTTTGTATTTTAGAAATATTTGTGTTAATTGGAGCACAAATTTATGGACTTGTTTTCCAGCGTAAATAGTATAGCAAGACTACTGGTCATAGTGAATTTACCTTTGTTTTCCTGTTACATGCATGTATTTCTTGTGCATTCGATAGGATAGTATATATAGAGTATCTTATTCCATGGTATTGACTTCAGGTGCCAGGTATGTATGTCGTATGTACGTAATAAATACTAGAGTAGCAACATTATTTTATTATGTAGATTCTAACTTTAAGGCAGGTTAGGATAATGCACTCATTTTTTGCGACATATTTACTTCAAGGCCTTTGTGACAAGGTTAACTTCTAAGAAAGCGGTCTTGCGGGATGTGCTAACGCCTTCCTGCTCTCCATGCACATGATGCACATATTTGCATATATTTACATATTTATGAACCTGAAATCTATATACCTTAATTATTGATTTATTTATAATTGGGTATAAAATATTGTAACTCAAATTAATTGAACATTCATATGCGTAATCACTTGGATCTGAAATAAATTAAGTTTCTGACCTTAATTTATTATCAACAAGAACATATACATACATTGTTAAAGCATTCTCCGTTTTATATCATATTTTTATGGGAGGAATCATGTTTATTATAATTCTGTGCATTTTTAGGTTTCTTAACTTTTTGCACTCTTTTCTTCCCTTTTCCATTGATTAGTCTTCTTGCCAGCGATGGTTTAATCTTTCTCCTCTGTTTCTTTGTCTTCTTGCCCCCAACTTCTTCCGAACTTTCTTCACTTTCCGTTTTCATGTCGGAAGAGAGATCCTTCTTCTTGTGGCCGGAGTCCATGGTCATGTCGTCATATTCCGCGGTGGAAAAATCCTCCGGCATTTTACTGGATTCAAAGTACAGTGGAATGAGAACGTGGTCATTGTCATTTTTCGGATTATGATTTTCATCATCAGCAATGCGAAGTGGGTCTTTTTGATGTCCGTTAGTTTGTAAATCTTCATTGGAAGGCGCGTCCTCGTCTAAATATTCTTCTTCTGAAGAATATTCGGAAGAGTTTGGGGTCACGTCTTCCGCACTGTTTTGTGATTTTTCTCTGGAAGTACTTTTAGCTCGTCGAGATTCCGAAGTTTCTTCGTGATCGTACGTTTTGGGGAGGACGGATACCGTAAAGTGAACGCTTTCGCTGGTACTTTTGGATACAGTTGTGGTGGTGGTGGGAGGGAGGGTGGTGGTGGTGGAAGTAGATGTTTCTGGAGGATTTGTACTAGTGGTGGTTGTTGACGTGGGGGTGGTTGTAGTTGGAGACATAGTTGTTGAGGTTGTGGGAGGAGTAGTTGTAGTGGAACTGCTTGCTGTGGTGGTTGGGCTTGGAGTAGTTGTGGACGATGATTGTGTAGTTGTCGTAATTTGGGTGGTAGTAGTTGGTATCGATGAGGTAGATGTTGTCGTGGTTGGCGCAGGAGTTGTTGTCGTAGTTGGCGTTGTAGTTGTCGTCGTTGGAGTTGTAGTAGTCGTAGTTGGCGTTGTAGTTGTCGTCGTTGGAGTTGTAGTAGTCGTAGTTGGCGTTGTAGTTGTAGTCGTAGTTGGTTCGGTAGTTGTCGATGTAGTTGGTGTGGGAGTAGTTGTCGTACTTTTTCTCTTACTGGATTTGTTCTTACTAGATGATTTGCCAGAAGTACGCTTCTTAGACTTGCGTTTTTCCACTTTCTCCTCTTCCGACGATTCTTCTTCACTATCCGAGTCATCACTATTAATCGTATTTTTCCCCTCTTTTGACGTGGATCTCGTAAATTTTTCCGTTTCAGTTCCCAACTCTGCACCAAAAATATTAGGATCGATTCCATACGCTCTTCTCAGCATTTCTTCCATCGATAACAGTGACCCCGCTTGGGTCGGGAATGGGGCAAAATTCTGACTGTAAGACGCGGATGGGACAAGCTTCGCCAACTGTTCCCAATGTTCTGGTAGAATTTTCCCTTTGAAACTCGGATTTAAAGCAATCTTGTATTTTTTGGGTTGTTTCCTTCGATTCTTTCTTCGCCTGTGTTTATGCCGATGCGTCCTCTTAAACTGTTTGGATAATTGTGCTGGGAAAAGTGCATCGAAAGAATTCGGTGGAGGGCTTGGCGTAGAAATTTCCGTATCGTCATAAGAAGAAGAAGGTGGATGGTAAACTATGGGTTCGGGAGGAGGGGATGAAGGTGGATGATAAACTATGGGTTCAGAAGGAGGGGATGAAGGTGGGTCTGGCAAAGGACGACTATGCACAGTTGCGGTCGTGGCATGATGTGCCGACGCCGCAGATGCCGCACTTTGTGCCAAATAGTTCAAATAAGCCAGTGTCCTCTCGTCCGGATTTTCCACCGTTGATGGCGGAGCTTTCATAAAAATGAATTTGTACTCTGCCGATGGATTTTTCACGTGGCCATGAAACTCATGTAGAAGGTGGTGGGGATGTCCTACCCCCGTGGAAGGAGAAGGATGGTGATGGTGTTGATGTTGAACCCCAAAACTTGGGGGAACTGCTAGTTGGTGATCATGACTTTGGAACTGATGCTGATAACTGTGCGAAATTGGGTGGTGATGTTGAGGTTGGTGGTGGTCTAACACTGGAGGAGCTTGTGGAGGAGGAAAATGTTGAGGAATATGTTCATGATGCTGAATCCCACCAGAAGAATCCAGTAAAGATTGATGCAAACTTTTAGACGGTGGGCCTAACGGACCAAAACTTGGGCTGAATCCAGAAGACATGGCCGGTGGGTTGAAAATGCTTTCTCTCAAATTGGTAGGATGCACTTCCGGAAATTTCGACAAGTCTGGTTCTGACGGACGGAAATTGGCTTTAAGATGGTCCCCGGAAGATGATGGAGATGAATATCCGTGAAACTGGATGTGACTGACACTTCCTCCGCCTCCTCCATCCGGAGATTTTGGAGGGTAGTGAACTGTCGTGGTGGTAAAATCTTGTGGAAATGGGAGCGGTTTTTGGTGGAGATTTTGCTGTTCAATTATCTGTTGTTGGACACTGATCGGAATACTTTGAACGTCTCCTTTGAAAAGTGAGGTGGATGATGGGTGGCCCCCTCCCGAAGAAGAAGGAAACCCACTTCCGGGAGAGATCGTGTGAACTTGTGGAAATTCTGGGGCATGATGTGGAATGGGTGCACTTGTCGAGTAAATTTCTGGAAATTGAGAAATTCCCGGATTTATATGCATTTCTGGGAGGTGCGGTTGAACAAGGGATGGCCCAATATTTTCATATCCTTGTAAACTTTGAGGTTTCAACAAATCCAGAAATGAAGCTTGTGGTACGTCACTGATAAAATCTGGTGTCGGAATTTGTCCACTTTGAGACTTCAAATGTATCAAGCTTTGTTGGTAAGAAGATTCAATTTCTTCCGGAGTTGCAGAAACGACACTACTTTCCCTTGAGTGAGACGATTCATCTGACCCTTTATAATTTCGATAACCCGAATTTGGATAACCTAAACGACTCGTGTCAAACTCATTGTCACCAGCACTACTACTACCACTCAAACTGCTCACTTTCACTGAATTTTGCTGCAAATTGTTCAGATTCCCGAACGAATTCTGTCCCAAACTGGTCTGCGGTTGTGAATACAATAAATTATTTTGTCCCAGAACTGACTTAATTACGAGGTTAATTATCTGGAATTATAAAAATTATGACATCATTTATCACTCCAAAAATTACTACGCAATCCAATTTTCATGTATTCACTTACCACACAAGAGATCCACATTTTTCCTAAAATTTCTGCCCCTCAAATTAAATAATCAACAAATTATTACTACCACACAAAAGCTCCCTTTATTTTGCAGCGCACAAACAAAGTCATTCTGCCTCTTTGTCTTATCCGTATCAAAATAAAACCAAGTTGACAAGTCGCACAACGAACGACGAAAGTCAGACTCAATGAATTTTACTTTCATTACAAAACAATTGTTATACACGTAATCGGTGGGTAATCGATTTGAATGGATTTCCGGTAGTAGGAAGGAACACTAACCATTAGACGTGCAGGCACAGTTTTAAGCATGCCACATGTAAGTACTCAAGCCTTATTTAACATCACGTCTCTCTGTATTATCAGAGTGCATCAAGTCGTAGTCACTTTTTATTGCCACCTTCCTATGCACTTTGCGCACAACATTGTAAAATTATAAATACAGTGGCCGCGGAAGGGTGCGGACAGAGGGACAATGTCCCCACGGTTGTTCGATGTCCGCATCATCTGCCCATGTTATATAAACCCCTCCCTCCCCCATCCTACAATGTTAATGTCCCCAGATGTCCCCACGGCTTCCGCGGCCACTGATATCACACACATTTTATATTTTTAGAGCTTTAAACAATACATAACTAGAGCAGTAGTGGTGTGGTTCTCGCATGTATAGCTGCGATTACATACTGCACCATTATTAATCTCGTTTTATATTATGCTAATGACATTAATGACAAGTTACCGGTATGGTTTTACTAGTTGAGACGCTGATTATTGCTATTATTTGGCTGGTGCCTACATTTGTTATTATTATTGGTTGAGAGTAGTTATCAGATGGGAAATCTTGGGGTGAAAAAAAACACAAAAGAAATTAAAAGTCAGCCCTGCAGTATTATTGATCTCGTCAGGAAGTTTCATTCACACGCGTTTCGTTCATATATATTTTTTATTACGTGAATGTGGACAAGACAATGTGATGAATGTGTCATAATAATAAAAATTTAGTTACGTGTTTATTTCTGGGGTTAACTCGTTTTATTTAGTTGGTGCTAAAAAACGACGCTCTGATAAATAATTGTGTTGGTATTTTCTCTTATTCATTGTGTTGCTAATTTTGTAGCAGTAGTTTTGCGGCTATTTGTAGTAGGTGCGAAATTATTAATTGGGAGGAAGGAACAAGTAATTATTGTGAGACAATGTCGGGTATTAATTCAATTAGTCCAGTAAGATTGGAATAGTGAGATTTTTTCTGGCACGTCGTATAGATAATCGCTTAATTTATTAAGCGATTAAAATTAATGATGAAAAAAATAAAATTTGTTAACTGCACGTGATACATATTTAAAAACAGCTTTTATTATAAAAAAAGTGTAAAAATGTACAAGCGTATTCGATAAAAATATTGTAAATCATGAAAGCTATTATAAAACAAGTATCATTATTGCACGCTTACTAATTAAGTAACAAAAATAACTAGCTAATGTATACTGTGAAACCCTGATTGGTAAATTATTTTCTGCTAATTATTAAACGTCCTGTTCCTCTTCTGGTTGTATGGAAGGGAGGATTCGAAGGGTGTAAATCGTCTTTGGTTTCGTGACTGGGGCTGAAACCTCTCTCTTTTTGACGTTATAGCCACCACTCATTTGTGGAGCGTAGACATCAAAGTTTTGTGGAAGTGGGGGGATATCTTCCATGGCTCGATTGAACTGGTTAAATGTCGGCTCTTTAGGAGCATTTGCGGCGTAACGGATGAAGAAAACTTCCGGTTTTGGGGGTTTCGTTGGTGGTGGGGAAATGATGCGAATGTCGTTATCGTCAGCGTCGACCTGTTTGGTCAGGACGTAAACCTTGGTTTCTGATTGAGGCTGAGGGGGAAGGATGACCTCGGTTTGGATTTGTGGAGGGATGGGGGCCTTGACGAAGATGATGTTGTGATGCTCGGGTTCTTGTTGGGGTTGGACTTGAGTGTTTCCACCGAGTGGGGGACCTGGAAGGCCTTCCACGGTGTCGACAAAGATTTGTCGTGGGGGTTGAGGTGGCTGTGGAATTTGACCACCACCACCGAAGCCATTGGATGGACCGGAATCGTAGCCACCGCTGCCTAATGCGTCGCCTCCGTCGCCTTGGGAGGGAGGGCCGTATTGTGGGGGATTTTGCGGGGAAGGGACGCCATATCCGCCCTGAGGGACTTGACTGCCCACTGGGGGTATTCCGTACTGAGGTTCGCCAGAGGCGAAAGAACTAGAGTAACCGCCAGAAGGGGGATTTGTGTAAGCAACAGAGTCTCCAAATCCAGAGGAGGAAGAGGAAGATGACCCTGAATATGCGGAGGATGGTGGGCCATAAGATCCGAGAGGGTCTTCTTGAGGTTTAGGTGGACTTGAGTACCCTCCACTTGCGACTGCTGGTGCTGCATATCCTCCACTTCCACCCGCTGGTCCTGATGAATATCCACCACTTCCACCTCCACTGACCGCCGGTGCTGAATACCCACCACCGTTGCCAAAATTTAAATCTACGGCAGGGATAACGTCAACATTTGGCGTAAAGTCGGGTCGTTTTCCCAGATTGTGCGAATATGCTCCGGCTCCTGCTCCTTGTGACCCTTCTAAAATGTCGACAATTTGTGGAAGAAGACCAACCTCTGGTGATTCACTTTGAGACCCACGAGCTCCGCCAGAATAACCCCCAGTTGAACCAGATGAGTAGCCTCCCGAAGATGACCCAGAGGAGTAGCCGCCACCCCCAGCAGAAGATCCAGAAGAATAACCTCCAGTGGATGACCCAGACGAGTAGCCTCCCGACGATGACCCCGAAGATGATCCAGATGAGTAGCCTCCCCCAGAAGATCCAGACGAGTAGCCCCCACCCCCACCAGAAGATCCAGATGAGTAGCCTCCCCCTGAAGACGATTCCCCAGGAAGATACAAATTATGCGAATTAATCGCTTTTTGAATGCTGACTAATGCGCTAGGTTTTCTATAGCCACCAGCGCCACCTCCCCCAGAAGAAGGTGCCCCATATCCGCCTGACGGAGCTGAGCTGCCACCCCCACCGCTATATCCACCGGACGAAGGCGCCCCATAATTAGCCGAAGGTCTTGACCCACCACCACCACCACCATTCCCAACAGTATACCCGCTGGACGGCACCTCAGACCCAGGCGCTCCCGGTAACACCTTCAACAAACCTTGGAGTGCATTTGCAAATGTATTTTGTACCGTTTGCCACTGTTTTGTCAGAGGTTCTCTTTGTCCAACTATGGAAAAGTTGCCTTAATATTATTACCACCCACATTACCCACACTATCAAAATATTCGACCTCTTACCTGTAACGCCGGGAGTGGTCCCCACCAGTGTCAAGCCCAATGCTATCAACGCCTATACATAAAAACCAACCACTTTTTTCAAAATTATCGCCGAAAAAATATTTTTCCAAATCCGATTAGCACTTACAATGAGCTTCATTTCAAAATTTCCAAGTTGACCACTGCTTCTGCTGCTATCTGAATTGTTGTATCCCTTCCTTCCTGCCGGCCCAATCAAAGTGAGACGACTGAATGCAATCCATCCGGAAGAAAAAATAACTCACAACTTTTCAATCCCTTCAAATTTTTCATTAACCAAAAAAGACTAGTTTCTTCTTATGTAAGTAATCATCATGTTACCTTCTTGCCCCCGGTCTCTCTCTCTCCCTGCTGTTGGCATAATCTTGTTCTTGTTTTGCGATTGACCATATCGACGCGAGGAAGGAAGGAAGGAAGAAACAGTAAGTCTAAATATTTTAATGGGATGATATGCATATTTACTTTATTACTCGTATTTACATATGTATACATGCACAACGGGGCAAGATCTGCCTAATTTGTAGATACGCAACCATTCTTATTTATTATTTGACATCGCCAGCCATCAAAGTAAAAGGTAAATGTCACAGAGCCAACCATTCACCAAACCAAGTAATGATTGGCAGGGCAGAGGGTGTACGTGCAAAAAATGAAATTTCTACACATTTTTCACTGCCAAAGCTACATATTATTTGTAGGTATCCTTTTATCCTTTTCATTTTGGTGTAAAAATGCTGTAAAGTTTCTAAATTTGAGACAAAAACAAAAGTTAAATAAATGGGAAATTCATTAAATTAGATAATTTAATGTGAGTTTTTTTAAACTTGATCAGTTTTGACTTCGTATGTTTGTGCAGAGTGTAGACCAGTTTCATATTTTGATGATGTTTATAATGATAATGACGGGTTTCCTTGATTTCGATTTTATAGGTACGAAAAAGGCAGTTCACTTTGAGAATTTGGCAAAAAATGTGGAAAAATTGGCCATGATTTTACTCGTACACACCTCACATTGACTTTCTTACCAAAGTGAAAATAAATAAATATGTACCTAAATGTAAATAATCTAATTGTACACAAGTTCCAGTAAGAATAATCCAAAATTGTAAATTCGACGTTCCAATCTTACATTTTTAAGCACCAAAGTGAAAGTAAATAAATATCTTAAGATAAGGCAAATATTCGAAAATAGTGCATAAATCGATTTAAACTTGGGTATTAAAATCTAACCTGTGAAATTAGTAAATTAACCAACCATCATAAAGTCTACCGCATTAAACTGGATCAATTTTGTCGAAATTTCAATCAATCCCCATCATCACCTACACATTTTGTGTCATTCATTTATTTTCCATCTCATTCATGTCATTCATCTCTTGCCCTAAATTTTAGCGAAGTAGAAGCGTTGATCGCTTTTCGTTGCACGCATGGATTCGATGATGTAATAGGAAGACGATAAAAATTCGACAACGACGACGACGACGACACCAAACCAAAAAAAAAATGAGGGGAACTGGTTCATTTAATTTTATGGGATCATTTACAACAACTTACTTATTACGCATTCCATTCACTTCCCATTTTAAATAGTTTAACGTTTGTCACGTTACATTTTAAATAATATTAAAATTAAAAGTCTCGACATAAGAAAATCTTGTCCACCAAAACACGAGGCACAAACCGGTTTTTGGAATGTCGCCGATTTATTTATGAAGTCAAACTTCACAATTTAGGTGTAAGAGGAAGAAACTTGCGATTTTTTGCGATGTTGTATATTTATAGGTGCTAAAAATTCTTGAAAAAATTACCTGAACGACATTGTGGTCGCGTCGCTATTGGGCAGGTAGAAATAAAAAAGTGACATGATTAAGGTGTGATCATGATTTGGTACATATTCAGATTTTTAGTCTAATAAAATTGGAGAAATCCTGTAATTTTGTAAATTTCTAGATAAGCAACTCCAAATAAAGCTGAGACATACATATGTTGCAGAAAGATGCAAAATTAAAATCTGTCATCTTAATAAAAAACTCCGTAATTTGAGTCAAGGAAGGCAATAATTTCAATAACTACTTAATTAAGTGCGTAATAAAATAATCAGCTTATTTCACAATTTCTATTCTTGCATCTTTTATTTCAAAGGCAAAAATACGGCAAAAAAGGAATCAATTTATTTTTTTCATGCTTGTCAATTTTAACGTCTGACTTAAGATTTTGGCGATGTCAAGCGATACAAGGAGTTAATGAGATGAGTCGTCGATGGCAGGGGTCATTATGCATTATGCGTCGTGGATATAATTAGCCTGTCGTGGAGATATATCGAAATTCATTATCATGCACACCTCTTAATGACCCTTGTTACCTTGTGTCCGCATTTTTTTTATTACGTAATATTAAAGTCCATACGCAAAATTAAAAATCAATCAGGTTCAGGGAATAGATAATTCTCGAAGAAGGTGTCGTTCATCTTATCAAACAAATCAAAAACTTGACTAATAACTGCCAACAACGTAACTTCAGAAATTGCAAAGTAATCTTTTTGATTGATGGACAGATCTCTCTGACACATTTGACATTAAGTAATAATCTCCAAATGAATGAATTGATATCAAACCTCCCATTTTAAAAAAATGTGAAGATGACATCTATTTCCTCACCTAGTGTCTGATTTCAACCTGCTCCAACGCATGCACAACCAACCATGAAAGCAATTTAAAAATGTCATCCAAAGTCATGATCAGCTTGCCAGATTCTATTAAAGATGACATTAAAGATGTAATTCATTTAAAAAGAATGGTAAGAAATTTTTAATCGACCTACAAAGTGAAGACTGACTTATTAATGCATAGTTAAAATTTATTTGACGAACAACTACAGATATTTAAGTACGGAAAGGAAAAAGATTATTATCAGAGCGTCCCATTATAATAAATAAGTCAATCAATGAATCAATACAAATTCTCAATTTTGAATACCCTTGAGCTAAAAAATAAGGAAATGAAACACTTTAAACAATTCATTCAATTCACATCACAACAAGGGCGCTTTCTTCTCAGGAATCTCTCTTCCAAGTAAAGAAAAGTGATCACATGAAAACATGCAAACTTCAAAAACCAACCCTGTCATTAAGCAGACTTTACCTACTTATTATTCCGTCACTTGGTCATGAATTACTTTACACAATACAAAAGCCATAGAATCGATTGCATAATACGACAACAATCAACCAACCACTCAATGCCACCCACCCAAAAAACTCAAACCGTTGTAATCTTGCATAAAAACTGTCCAAATCAAAACCGTGTCACTCGCTGTCTAGCCAAGTAAAAAGGCAAGTGTAGATAAGAAATTGATGTCAATTAGGGAAGTGCCCATCCGCATCTCGCTTCAGGTCCGTCTCATCTCATCAGATGAGAAGAATGACTCAATTTAATAATTTGTTGTGGAATGCCGCAGGAAATAATGTGTGTTTGGAGACGATAATTCAATTTTAATTTGTAAAATCCACCTTAATTTCATTCACATTTTTCCAAAGTGGTACGTATGAATGAGTCAATGAGATGTATGTATTTATTTTGTAACCACTTACCTATTTCACCAACATACCAATGGTAATGGATCATGCCCATCATCCGCATGTATGCACTAACTCATCGTCATGATTTAAAACTGCTGTATTCATTCACCCATTTGTGTAAAATTCTTGTCTAAAAACTTTGTGGAATTTATATTTACAAGTATGTTTCAATTTCAGGAAGCAATTTCAATTATTCGAGGAGGATGTGAGTGATGAAGCAACAACAGCGACTCGTCTCAATAATATTTAATGGCACTTTTAAAAAATTGCAAAATGTTATCCTATGTACGCATTTTGATGCAAGAATGCGGTAAAGCTTTTTACATTTTTGCACAAAAAACAACAACTTGTAAAAATCTGACATGGTTTTAAAATTAACGGGAGAGGATGTTTCGAGTTGACAATGCCAATTCGTGGTTTATGGTTTGTTACGCCCTCATCCCCGTGTGACATAACGTGACAATGTAATGGTGACAATGGGTGATATTTGGTGATGAATAATGCCTCCCTTGCTGTGTGGAGGACCGCATACATATTTTTATCTATTATTGTCGTGGAAAGTAATGACAATCAGAATTAAAACCTAGGGTGCAGACTGGACGTGGCCCGAGCCAAGTAAGCATTTTTACTTAATTTTGGAATTGGTTGGATGGTTCGTGTGTGACAAAGGGACAGACCGACATACATGAATCTTAGATAAGCCTTGGGTCGGCCCACAAATGAGGTTCAGATGAGCAAAGAGAATAACATTTGCGGTAAAAATGGAGAAAATTACGTCAAAGAATTGCAGCATGTTGGGGATAAAATTGATTGAATTTAAGTGCAACGTTTCGTAATAATTTGTATCAATCAACTCGGTGTGGGTACAACACGAAATGCACAAAATTTTGGAAAAATATTTCAAAATGAAAATCAGTATTTGGTAAGGTTTGAAGCCTTAGTAAAATAATTTGTAAAGTGAAACTACGCAAATAATTCGAAATCCAGATTGACCATTTATTTAGGCACCGTTTTGTACACGTAATTACGCGGAGTTATTAATTACTCAAAGGAAATAAATCCACTTCACGATCACTAATAAAGATTTACATACTTCTTTTTAAACAATGTTGACAATTACATGGGTACAACAAAGAAATGAGAAACATGTTTAATTGTTGTTGCACAAACAAAAATTGAGATGCGTTATTACATTCTTGTCATTTTAAAAATTTGCATGTATGATGCGATTTCTTTGATGGATTTGTTAGTTCAATGCAAATTCGTAAATATTTGTTTTCTTTAACAGGAGGAACATAGTGGTGGCAGGTGTGGTATTTAGTATTTAGTTGTAGGATCACGTACCACATGCGGCTACTTATTACCTACTTGCTGAGATGAGCTTCTGCATTCTGTGTCATAATCATCACACTTTTGACGAAGAAGAACACGGAAGAAATTGAAAGCAGTTTGTTCACTTGCAATATTTGCAGAGTGTACATTTTTTTATTGCTAATTGTGAAGATGATATAATTTTTCGCAATGTTGAAAAATTTGGAAAAAATTAATTTTCAGGGATAATAAAATTATTTTAAAATAAAAAAATTGCATATTTCGCTGCAGATTATTAATTTTGGTATTGATTTATGTAAGTTTTAAAAATATGCCAATCATTAGTTTCAAATGAACTTTTTTTAAGAAATCTTTTCTTTCTCACTTTCTGCTTTAAAATTTCCAAACTACAAATAAAATACAAAAACATTTAACAAATAATTATAATTTTATTGCTTTCCTGGTTCTCCTGGCCGAATTATACGTATAAATGACACCAAAAATGGTAATACACAAATAATGTTGATGTTTCTTTTTTATTATCCCATTGCACACTCGCATCATAAAAAAATCCTTATAAAAAGTCAAATACTTCGTAACAATAAATTTATTCTTTTGTCTTTTCACTTCTGTAATAATGAGTAGTTCTGTTGGTAAGTATTTATTGCATATGAGGTGGTCATGTCTCTTTTTGTAAGTAATACTCGCATAATATCGTATCGATAATAACGTGATCATCTCATCCTCATCATCATTGGAATATTCACCTAATTAAAATTGGACTAGTTCTCCCACAACGTTGTGTAACACTATTTAAAAAAATGAAGATTTCTCAAGAAAAAAAGTCGATTGCCAACAAAAAAAAATATAAATCATATCGTATCTTATGGAAAAAAAAACTCGTTTGCATCCATGTACTCCACCCACACCATAAAATTAGCATACGGCACATTTAAAACAAAACATGAGTAAAAGAGAGATAAGTAATTGTTGATAAGTAAATACGTTTGAGAGGAAGGAATTATTTAAAAGCTTATTTATTTAGATTTCTAATCCCTCTCGAACTTGACCCTATCCCCAAAACCGGAAGTTTCATCATCGTCTATTTTTTCATTTACTTCCGAACTGACCGAGACGACTTCTCGTTTCCTTTGGGTGGGCTGAGTGGGTGAGGGGGCTTCGACGACGATAGGTTTTGGAGCTGAGCCGACGCCGTATTGTTGAGATGGTGCCCCGTACAAAGAGTTGCCGCTGGATTGTTGGGGTTTCTTCTTGGGGGCGGCTTTGTATCGGATGAAATAAACCTGAAAGAATTGAATTGATAAGATGTTATCAAGTGTCATTGTACATAGATTAAGTGGGGCTAGGTTAAGGTACATACCTCTGGCTTGGATGGTGGCGTTGGTGGATGGGTTGGGACAATGATTCTATTGAAGAACAAAGTGTGAACATAATTGACTAGAAAATTAGTGCCGATAACCTAAAATGATAAGCCACTTACGGATCCGGAGCTTCAATCCTTGGCACGAGAATGTACACGATCGTCTTCTGCTTTGGTGGTGGTGGTGGAAGGATGATATCGGGTTTGGGCGCCTTTACCGGTTTGTAGACGACTCTGTACTCAATCTCGTGATCCGGTCCGGCCCCCGTTACCACTGGGGGAGGTCCGTACGACGATCCGGGAGGCAGTTGTGGTGGGGCACCATAACTAACCTGCACATTTGCGGGTTGGCTCTGACCGTGATATCCGGATTGTTGCTGCTGGGGTTGCCCGTACTGCGAAGAGGGGGCAGAGTAGGACGACGCCGCGGTGGAAAATCCCCCCGAGGAGGAGGACGACGACGAACTAGTTCCGTACGATTGTGACGGAGCATTGTAGCTGCTTTGCTGTTGGGAAGGTTGTCCGTAGGAAGAAGATGGCGTCGAATAGCCTCGACTCGATTGCGAAGAATATTGAAGGTTAGCGACGGAGGGGACGTTTTGGAAGGAAACGCCGGCAGATGGTTGAGAACTGAAGGAGGAGTAAGACGTGGGTGGTTCTGGTTCCGAAGATACCAGCATCGCGAGGGATGCTAGCAGCTGTAAAGTCAAAAACAATTTTAAAAATTATACAGACATCCATTCAAAATTTTTTAAGCGCACCCAATTACACCGTCATTTAATATTTAGTCACCAACCATACATAATTTTCCATCCCTTCACTTTCCGCCTCAGTTCACGAAGGATGTCACAATTAAAACGCTTTTATAAAGTGTTGCCTTTACGAGTATGTATTTGTGAGTACCTACACAAAAATGTATGCACTCGTCTTCTTCCATGTACGGAATGTTGAATCAAGAAGACTCTTCGACGAATCAAAGCAATTCAATCAACTTTAAATTCGAAATAATAAATCGATAATCACGACGGAATCAAGAATTGGTAAGTAATTATCATGATTACACAAGTATTATTATACAATATTGTGACTTTTGCCAATGTATGCACATGCTCACTCACTTTGATCTGTCTGCTTATAAATAAAATCCATTCATAATAAATAAAAAATTCTTGAATTCATTTTCATTTTAGGAAAACTTATTCAGCTCAGTCAGGCTGATATGATAGTCGTGGTGTAAATCTGATAATAATTACTCATCGCATAATAATGCCGCGAAGATGGTGAAGATGATAAGAGATAAACATGACGTTGATGAGATCAACCAGCACGGCTGCTGCCAGTGACATTTCGACGTGACAGGTATAATAATCCTTGTTATCAAGTCATCATCCCCACCCACCTCGTCGTGACATGTATAAAAAACCTAATACCTGCTGCCTGCCTGCACACTGTAGTGTCAATCATTAATCATGAATCAATTATGAATATTGATTCAAGATAAATGATTACAGGGTAAAAATCCTTACAAAAGAAGTCTACCCACCGAATTTCGTTTGCCGGAAGGAAACAACCCACGAAAAAAATATCCTTCAACTTTTACTTTTTAAAATGACGGACAGAAGCTGCTGCTGGCAATTTTATTCAATTTATCATCCATCCATTGCATAAAAGGAATAAACGATAATTCCCCCGTGGGCAAGTCATTTAAAGGAAGTTACCTCCTCTCTTATTACTTACGACCACTTTTATTATCGACTGCTGTTTGTTACACATAATTTTTTTCCTCGTCTTCTTCTTCTCCCAAATATCCGTATGGGGTCCTTCATTTCATTCATTCATTCTTTCATATTTTTACCCACATTTAAAATCCTGCCTCAAGCTGGTTGGTAAGAAAAAAACGCTATTGTTTTACTACCGTGTAGAAGTTTGATACGTAAAAAAATTACTCGCTGTTCTGTGATCCCCTTGTTTTCATTATTATGTATTTATGATTGTATGTATTGCTCATCAATTTTTTTTCTCATGCAGTGCAGTGCAGCACATGCAACCAACCGGACATTCAGTAAATAAGGACCATTTTTCATTCAATTTTTGCATTCTTTTCTTGCTGACCAACGAAAGGGGAAAAAAGATGATGCATGTTTACCATGCACTCATCATCGTCTCGTGTTCTGTATTAGTCAATCATAATAAAGTATAAGCTTTACTTGGTTAGTTGTTGGCTTGGCTCTCTCAGTAATCGGCCGTCCTGTCATCCTCACCTCATTAAAGGCAAACTTTCACTTTCAAATCAACTCCAATAAAACACACCACGACCATTTACTGCTCACTTGCTGCTACCACCATCCACCACCAAAGATTTTGAGTAATCATAAATAAATTCACGTAATAATCATGAAACGTCGTTCGTCTGAAGAAGACGAAGAAGAAGGCAGGCAAACAAAGTGCAATAATAAACAGGTTCGTTTAGAGGGTTAGATAATAGTTGGTAGTACTTTCTGCTTATGTAAATTGTACTGTAATCTGAATCACTTCTTTTTTACGTGTGTAAAATCAGCCTGGTAATCAGTAGCGAGGAGCAGGTGTAGGTATTTATTAGGCAGCTAAATAACTGCATGCATACTTTTTATGAAAATGAATGACCTCAATATTACGTATTCTATAAATGTAGCAGATTTTTTTCGTGAACGGTTTGTTCTCCAATTGTAAATAAAAAGTGACAGGGTAAAAAATAAAGTTTTGCCAACAAATTATTATTAATTGCTTGGGCGCTGTTCGTAAACTTCGTAACGCTGGCCAGTATGGGCAGGATAGGGAAAAATCCCTATCTTCCTATGGTTAGCCAGCGTTACGAAGTTTACGAACAGCGCCTTGGATGGCATACTGATTTGTCTTTCTTGGAAAATGGTCAATAAATAAATTGATGATCCGATAAAAAATCAGGATCACGAATAATAATAAAAGTGAATTTAATCCTCTCGATAAACTTCTCACGTATTCATGTATCAATCAGCCTCATTAAACCGCAATCCTTCTTCCATCATCCCATATTTAACCATTAGCGATGATAATACATACATAATAATAAAACCAAGTAAGTAAACGTTGTACGTACCTTACAAAGTACCTAAAATACGATAAATCGAGACCTACCTAATAAAATAAGCAACTAATTGTATCCTGAACTAAATAACTCTCTGTCTGTCGAGACACGGAGAAAATCCCCATTTTTCACGTACGTATCTCTCCCAAATCTATCGTCCATCGGCTTTTAAAACCAAACTTTCGCTGATTTGAAAGGTAACAACAAACAATTGCGAACGAAAGAAGATGAAAAGAGTAATTAGTTGTTTGGTGAACGGCAATGACATTTCTTACAAAATGAAATGATGGCGACGGTGATTATTCCAATTTCTACGAGGAAGAAGACGTAATTCAATTACGATAAGAATAATAATAATAAGAATAATTTGAAAACATGATTATGATTTCGAATGGCTGCTTGCTGCTGCTAAATATATAAGTTGTCATCCTCGTGAAAAACACCTTTTGAGTCGGATAATGGACGAGAAATTGTAATTTTTTCTACTGAAGGTGACAGCCGGTGGGTGACTAATTTATTTTTTTCTCTTTGTTCCTTAGCTTTCTGGCAAATTTGGCTCGTTGGTTGGTTAGTTATTATTATTACTCGGTGTGGTCTAGTCTAGTCTTCGAAATGTTTAGGTAGTCTCTTGGATGAATTTGTCAATGTATTTTATTCCTTGGTTTCACTCACTCACTGAACTGAATGGATGGAATGAGAGGAATAAATAAATGGAAAAGAAGAAGAAACATGTGCATCTTTTTCTTTGCATTTTTGATATGAAAGTCGCAAATTAGTTGTGGGTGGGTTGACCAAATGTATATATGCAAATAAAAGTATTATAATAATAATTGAATGAGAGAAGAATACAAAAAAAATGAAATTATGACGAAAAGAATGAAGGAATTAGTGGGCTTAGTCGACCGGAAATCATTCATATTCGTAGATAATTATTAGTAGAAAATGAGGAGAGAGGAGAGAAGATGCGACGAGTGAAGGAAGGATTGTCTTTTAAGAAGACAATCCTTCCTTTATTTGGAAAATTTTCAAATATTTAAATTCGGGTTTATATAAAATTGCATAATTACAAAATTTGCACGCATTAGAGAAATCGAATCTTCACAAATTAAACTAGTAATAATTTTCCAGCAAAAATTCACTAACGGTGTCTCAACTTACCACAAAAACTCTCATCTTTCCAATTTCTTCTTCTTCTTGTTGGAATTGCTACTTAAATTCTGCACCAATTGTCCAGAAAGTCAGGTCACTAAATGAGCAATGATCTTATTTCACTTTAAAAAAATGTCACTCGTTTACTTGACTTGACTTATTGCGTCCACTCCACTCCACTGGACGTTACAGAAAACCGTGTCAAAAGCCGACTGAGCCGTCTCCCCCACCAAATTCTCTTTTTATACCGAAATATTTCAAAGATCTCTCTCTCTCTGTCTTATCGACGGCGACGACGAGTGAGTGTTGGTCGTGTAGTGTAGCAAGGTGGCCAAGTGTCCAATTTCTTTATACCTTGGATTCCTCCGTCCCCACGAACTAACTCATGCCACACAACACATCATACGAACATACATACGTACGTTCGTATACACACCACAATAAACAAGATTGAGAATCATCCTTTTAGTATGAGAGGAATAATGTAATAATAATTCCTCCCTTAATATTTTTTAAGATTACTACATACATACATCCAACAAACGCATGCATAGCACGCCACGCCACGCCACAAGCGCACAGCGTTGCTTTACCACGAAGGAGATCCCTTTAACCAAACCACAAAAGTCAAGCGTAAATGTGTACATAGACAATATTGCATTACGTACTTGCTGGTTTGGTTGGTCGTGTTTATGCAATTTTAAGAGTTACCTCGGCAAGAAAGAAGCGTCAATGTGATGGTAAGTACATTTAGTAGTCAATTTATTGATCATGGTTTATAAGGAGAAGAAGGTTGGTTATTTATTGGTAGCAATATGTAAATGCATACATAGTTTACTTGATTAGTTGGTGGACTAATTCGATTTTTCAAGAATTGGTAAGGAGCAGGTGGTGGTATGGTGGTGATCTCGATCTAATGAATGATGGATATGAGAGAATGTAAAATGTAATAATTAATTGGGTGATGGGGATGTTTTGGATTTGTTTTGAGTACAAAAATTGAGACGAAATGTGGAATTGATGTAGTTTTTATTGCTCATTTGGGTGAGATGAGAGAGGTGATTTGTCGTTTTGTGGGTGGTTTGGTTATTGGTCTCGTCTAGTTTAATTAATGGCGTTTAATATTAAATAAATATTATGTAATTTAAATAAATGAAATGAGACGGACTAGAAAAATGTTTGATCTGATACAAACGGAGACAATTGGGTAATGTTTTTTTTATTTATAAAAATGATGATGACCACTTTCTTGTTAATTGATTTCGCTTGACAGTTATTTTGGGCATTAGTATTCCCCCAAATGCAGTGAAACTTGATATCTATCTAGCCGTTCTGATAACGAGTCTGGTGAGATTTGGGCATTTTTCTCGTAACCATTAAGAGATGAAGAGATCGTTATTTTGTATATGTGACCATCTTCTCGTCATTTTTGACACTTTTTTTCTACTCAAAGTGTCACCAATGCTGAAAAAATATAGGAATTCACATTCTAACACTTCTTTCAACTGCATATAACCGGTCACTTTTTTTTTAATTATTATTTTTTATCAAATTGAGTCACCAAAACTGCATTCAAATACTTATCACAACTTAAACCAACAACTTTGTATAGTAATTTACTCATATCTTCTTCTGCTCAACCATAATTAATATACATAAAGGAAGTGCATCAGATAAATTAATCTGGCATAAAATAGGAATGCGGTATATTTTTGTGTGAAATTGCTCATAAATTTTGCACTTGTACGTGTTCTTAAAGAGTCATAAAAAAATGTATAACAGATTGCAACTTTTTATACGTATCTTTCCACCCATATCAAGTGGATTATTGGATTATGTACCTCAACGTGTGTATGCGTGTTTATATATATTTCCTGTTTTTTCTAAATATTTCTCACTAAAACTGTGTACCATGCGCATAATATTGCGGCGTGAAGATGATAATATTTTTAAAAAATCGTTAAACATCGAAATGCTATAAATTATTAAATAATTGACAATTAAGCTAGACACACAAACACAAGCGGCATAATTTTGCTCAGCCGAATACATAATCCTGCAAGTAAGTGACGATGTCGTAAAGTTAAGCAATGTGTGCGATAAGACGGATTTTTAACTATGTGTAGCCTTCGTTTTTCTAATAAAAAAATCGACAAAAAAGATGATGAGTCTCTCGTTGAATGAATTTTCTGACATGAATGAAATCCTCAGGTCGCCTCGGACGGTAAAATGGCAGTCAGTGTGTAAGAAGTTATGATAATAAATACTTTGTAGTGCAAAAAATATTACTTATTTTCTATAAGTTTTGTGCCAAATTATTAGTATTATTACATTACAGCTACCGAGTGGATTCGCACAATGGGAAAAATGCTGTACTGCTAAATACATGCGAAAATTGTGCCTTTGTTGTATTTGGATGGAAGCAATAACAAGGCACAAGTGCAACAAAACAACAAATCATCACGTAAATACATTAGTATTTTGTTATTACTTATTACATTCAGCTCCTGTGCGTCTCTTTATTGACGAGATAATGACAAGCTCTGCTGATAATTATTGGAACAAAAGTTGCCGTGTTTCAAGTTTTAGCGATGGATGGTTTACAACAATATTGGTAATTATAAGATTGCAGAATTACTATCGATTTCAAACTAACGTATTGTTCGGTGAAGTAAGAGTTAAAAAAAGTATGGTATTTTTGTGAATGTTTGTTGTTGAGCAAGTGGAATGATAAGAAAACATGGCGGATTTGCAAATACTTAGTCTCAAATTTTGCAAGGATTTAGGAGATATATTTTTTGCAATTTGCGTATTTTGTGAGGAGCCTAAACGCCGGGTAGAATTAATTCGTACGGACAAATATTTTAAAAAGTAGTTAGATTCCATTGTCTTGCACAGTCGTCGCACGTACATAGTTTACACTTCGGTCTCGTAACTTTTGAATCCAATTTCATTGTTTGAACTAAAATAAAGCAACAGTGTATAATCCTTTTATCCTTATTGTTCCCTTAATTTGGTTCAGTTTGGTTCCCTTCTGCCGTGCATTATGAACTCATTACTTACTTACGGTCGTAGTAGGCACATCACCTGTCAAAATATTACGATTTAAGATGAAGGATGATTACCTACGACGCCAACTACTGTACTTACCGTTGTTTTTTTACGTGATACAGATAATGAAGGAGGATGAAGGGTACTTGTTACTTATAGGAGTCGCATAAAAATAAAAGTTGGGTGGATGGATGATTTTCTAACTGATCCATTTCCCACACGAGGAAACATTTATGTGTGTATCTACAACTGTCATAATTACGAGGAGGAAAAAATCTAATGGTCATATTACTACTGAACTGACATTTCTCTTATTCTCGGCTTAAAAAATTTGATGATTTCATTTTCGCCAGGAGGAATAAATAGTGGAACAATTCGTAGTACGACAACTTTTAGTTTCATGACAAAAGAGAAGTGGACGACGGATTGTTCCAATTACCCGAATTTTGTACGTAACAGTTTAACTTTTACTTTGGATTGTATACAAAAATGTAATCTTGGCTTATTTACTGATTACGCGTACTTGTCTTCTTTTAACTTTTTGAAAGGATAATAAGAAGTGGAGGAAAAGGCGATCTTTTGTATTCTATTGGAGTAAGTGAGATTGGAAGATTTGATAATTTGGCTTAATGTGTGTATGGGTCCCGACTGTCATTCTTGAGTTTTGTCGCAGATTAAAAATCCAAGAGATTTGTGGATTGGATTGGATTGTTAAGTAATAGTAATGATAATTACGAGATATTTATTTAATTTTATTGATAAAAGTATCGATTTTTTTCTCGTTGACAAAGTCGTGAAGGTAGCATTTATTTATTTATTTGAAGATGCCAAGTTTTATACATTATATAAATTTATGTTAATCCTCCCGTTGTTAAATTGTTGTTAGAGTTGAGATATTAGTTTTTTAGTGAAAATAGACATGAGATAAGGGATTCGACTTTTGTAAAGGTGGCCGAGTTCACAATAACAAATCGTCACTTAAAAATTACTTACATACGTCTCTTCCTATTTTATTGTGTTCGACAGGTTCTCGTCGGTCATTCAATCGCATTACATATTTTATTGCAGGACAGGACAGGATACAAATTTTTAGTCACATTCGCACATTCCATCCTCTCCCCACTAATTAAAAAGGGATCGATCTCAATAAATTGTGATGCAGTCAATCAATCCACGAAGATTGTCGTTTTTCTTCCTTCCTTCCTTCCTTTAATCGGAGCCAACGTGTTCTGTTCACAATGTATGACCACTAAATTAATGGTTTCGAAGCAAATAAGGACATGAATTCTTAAAGTGAGTGCATAAATTCAAAAGTGTCTCACTCAATCTTTTAATTCCATTCTCTTTTATTGAACTGCGTATGTATCGATGATTATCATCTACAGAGCAGATATTTACTTTATGATTCAAGTGTATGTACATATTTATTTATGTATGAACACAAGTTTTAATGGGGCCAAAATTAAACCAAAATATTGACAAGATCATTAATAAAATTGTAATAAAAATAAATTGAGCAGGGACCGTTTAAAACAAAAACAAGTCATAAGTGCCCATTTCCGTTTTCTCTCTGATATAAATAATAAGACATGAATATTAAGTCGGTGCGACGAATTGACGAGATTACATACGAACCTTTATGGAATAACTAAACCAATATTTGTAAAAGAAAGTGGTTGGTTACTCTTTAGTTTCACCAAATTGAGAAGATTATAGAGTTTAGAAGAGTGCGTTTGCACACAAATTATCCAATCTGACGAAAAATGGGATGAGGTAAAGGGTGAAATAATAAAAAGCAATGGGCAACGCAAAAGTGGGTAAAACGACACGGTAATAAATTAAGGATTATGATTATAGATTATAAAATATGAGGCATGAGATGAGATGGGCTGGGTGCGTAAGTACGGCACATCACACACGGCCTTAATTACAGGTGGGCTAAGCGAGTTTTGGTGAATGATGAGGATTTCGTAGTAGAATTATGTTCTTATTTGCATAACACAATCTTTCCACTTGAAGAGAGTAAGATATCATATTTAAAATTATGCAAATAAGATTGTAAGTAAGAAATATTATGGAGGAAGATTTTTGTATTGAGAAAGATCAATATTTGTTCAATTAAGTATCTCCGATTCCTATTTTTTCCACCTACGCATAAATTTTGGCACTTTTCCCATAACATTTTGGATGAACTGATTGCAATTACAAATATGGAACAAAATCATATAATCATAAAAATAAACTGGACCAATAAATGATTATAA